GTCAAGGTCAGGGCGGGAAACAAGGGCAGCGTGGTGGCAGAGGAAACTTTGGAGGTGGCAGACGTGGCGCGGGGGGTGGACAAACAAATGCAAATACAACCGCTGTTGCTGCTGGTGCTGGTGGTGGGAGCTCAGCTGCAGTTGAGGGCGCTCCCAGCGCTTCCTCGACACCTGCGGGCAAAGAAGACGGGAAGAAAGAATGAGCATGACACGACGGGTGGTGAGCTGAGCTGAGCTTGAAAGCGCTGGAGACGCACGTCGACCCTTCTTCAGTATCCGAGATACAGAGCGAGGGGAATACCAGACACAAGCCAAAACGAAGAACAGTCATTATTATAGCCATTCGCTCTTTGAAGTTGACGAACGATTCTACCAGAAGCTCCATGGTGATACCTCGCTTTGACAACACCATTACAACTTTTTGATTGAATACTTGAGGTGACCCGTAGTTGCAAACAGTGCTTTGGGATATGTTGCTCTAAGCTTTTCTCCTCAACTCTCCCTAAAGGCATAGCAGTCAAGATGTACGTACGTCCTGAGATTAACGAGTACATGCGCAACAGGACGGGTCTGTGAGAGAAGATGGCTGGTACTCGGCATATACGACGAGCATTCATCGTCTTCTCCTCGTGGGCGGAGCGGGTTCAAACGCATCATCGTCGTCGTCATCGTCATCGATCTGCTCGTGGCTCTGACTCCGGCTTCCCCCTGTGCTCCGTCCGTTCCCCAATATGCTGTTCTGCGACATGGTGAAGCTGAGGGTCGACTGTTTCTGCTTTGAAGCCGCAGCGCGGGCAGGTGGCTTTTTGGTCGCCAGCGTCGATGAAGCGAAGGAGGTCGGTTTCGTTCTGGCTCCGGCTCGGGTTGTCGTGGTGCTGGCCGCTGCTGCTGCTGATGTTGCGCTGCGCCCTCGCGTACTTGCGGCGGTCTTGCGCTTTTCAGGCACAAACATGGCTTGAGAGTCGTCTTCCTCGTCATTGTCCTCCATGATGATGTCGTCGTCCTCTTCTACATCGTCTTCATCGTCTGAGATTGCCCGCTTCCGCGCTCGTGAAGCGGTTGTCGTTGCGGCGGCTTTCTTCGCTGTGGGTGTCGCCTTGCGAGTGGTGGTCGTAGCCGTTGAACCAGCTCGACCACCTCTTCCTCTTCCTCGTCCCCTGGCTGCTGTTGTTCTTGGTGCAGGTGTTGCCCCTTCACCGTCTTCGTCTTCGTCCCCGTTTCTACTTTCCAAATCCTCTGAATCACGCAGCAAAGCAGCAGGGTTGTCCTCCCATGGTCCATCGATATCACTATCCCAGTCGGCCGGCTGAGGTTTGAACCTAGCTTTGTTTTTGGACACCTTGAGCATGCCCTTCGCAAACATCTCTTCCATCTTTGCACGCTGCTCTTGGATCTGGGTCGCCAGGTCTTCATCGTCGTCGTCGGCGTCATTCGCGTCGGTTTGTAGTCTGACGAGGTGCTTGATTTGATCCGCGAGTGATTCGTTCACAAACATTTCCATGGCGTGTTTGTCATCCTTTTCCACGTATTGATTCACAGCGTCACCAAAATAGTTTTGGGGGAGGATAGTGAGGGATTGGGCTTGGAGGAATTCTCGAACGAGTTTGTCGACCCGGATGGTCTCCAGACCTTGAAGTTTGGCCATGATCTCCTTATCTGCCTGTGCGTCTCGAGCTGCGCGTGCCGCTGCGTTCTTTTTCTTGACATGGAACTGGACCACATCGTTGGTGTTGGCGACCTTGTCAATGAACCTGTTGGAAAAGCGTTGGGGATTCTCAATATCAAACTTGCCGATGCCGTCGGCCGAGGTCGTCTCAACGCGTAGTCTAATCAAGGGCAACGGGCATTCTTCCTGTTCCTCGTCTGGGTATTGTCTTTCTTCTTGCGCCTCTGACCATTCTTCCCTGGCTTGCTCAATTAGCCCGTCCACAATCTTGATCATGTGGCGGGTCAGCTCTGCACGATGATCGTCTTTGGATCTAGCAATCCGAACAGCATCTTTGTCTGCGGCGAGCGTGATGTCCTTGTAGACAAACGGACGGACTGTTTTCAGCCGAATTGGTTCACATGTCATGTCTCGCCCAGTGATAGTCAGGATTGCAACCTTTTTAGGGACGGCTTCGCCTGGGATCAAAGAGGTGGCAACAGAGGACCCTGGTTGCATAACCTTGAAGTTCATTTCTGGATTCAGTCTGGGTTCGATATCACACTCGTGCTCGTGGCCCCAGATCACCAGATCCAGAAAATCGGGCAGAAAGTTCTCGGGCAGATATGATGTCTCTGTATGTGCATGGTGATTTTGATGAACGCATATCAAATTGTACCAATCGCCCATCTGCTTGCTCGGTCGGTGGAATTTGACCTTGCCATCCCTGAAGGTTCGATGCAGGCGCTCATCTCGGACATTGGAGAGGCCGTACAGGGCTAGCTTCGTGCGGCCTTTCTGTATCAAAACCGGCTTGACCACGATGTTATCACTCTGAGGAGTTTTCCCGTAGTAGTTGATCAGTCCAGAAACAGCTAGCAGGTCTAGAGCAGAGTAGTGGCCTTCCCCGGTTGGGTCGTCATGATTCCCGTGTATCGAGAAAACGGGGATTCCAACATTGATATTGGCGTCTTCGTAGTTGACATGGTCGAACGTGGTGTCGAAATGTTCCGACTCATCGGACAGCATTTCGAGCTCGCAAGGTTTGTCACCCAAGCAGTTGAGTCTCAGGGACCGCATGACATTGTACATGGACTTTCGTGAGGGTTTGTTCTCGTGGAAGAGGTCACCGGCGAGCAGGACCATATCAACATCTCGATCTTTGGCCAGACACATGATCTCATGGAACGTCTTCCAGGAGTCGTCACCTCGGATCGGGTCTCGTTCGTGGGCTCCAACATGGTTGTCAGTGGCGACAAGGATGGTGATTGTGTCTGCCATGGCTTCTGCTAGTTCAACAAGGAGGAAAGTCCATTGGAATATTGTTGCTGAGAAGAATGCTGTGAAGGAGTAGCGGTTTCGCGTGTCTCACAAGGGGGCGAGTGGCTTCGTGGAAAATGGCGTGTTTGCTGCCTGTTCGGCGGAGTCAAAGAGTCGAACAAATCACAAACAAACGTTCCGAGAAGAGAGGACGACACAAATTTTGACTTGAGCTCGGGGCAGCTATCCCCTATGGCAGGTAATTTGCAACACGCAGGGACATTGAAATAGCATTGACTATGACATGAGAGGGGGCAAGTGTGCGATGGACAAAGGCTGCGAGACACGATGATGATGAGGAGGAGGTTGCGTCGCCAAATGCAGCCAAAAATCAAGACAGAAGACAGACGTGGTTTTCTCCAGTGCCTGCGCCTCTCACTTTCAGAACCACAACATCCTGTCCCATACATCCTGTCAATTATGGCAGACAATTTTGCTTGAAGATTGTCCTCCTGTCCTGCCACGGTCGATCCCAGAGACAGCTTTAGCCTTACGGAGTTTCTACATCTTCGCTGCTTAGTTAGGCGACCGACGGCGATCAATACCTAACCGAGGGCGACACAATTGACATTTCACCTGCGGTCGGACCAGCTTGATACAGCGAAATCACGGTAGAGAGGAATATAGTGGTGACGCTGGATGGTGTGACAACTGCTCTTTCACTCCCGTCTTTGTGCCGGCCCCTCTTACTGGGGTTGCTGTCGGCCGAGGGAGGGAGCGTCGGCGTCAGCGTCGGCGGATGCGGCGGTCGAGCTAGGCAACACGCAACACCTCCTCCTCCCGCTTCAAAAGCGTCATCCCACCCCAACGTGCCCACCGACGTCGAACCTCCGACTTTTATCCAACATCATTCTCAACGCTCAGTCTTCTCTCTTTCTCCTCCAATCACTAGCCTCTATGAGAGGATAGCATTGCTCACCATCATTACATCAAAATGCCCAAAGGTCCAAAGTCTATCGGCGTGCTGTGCGCCGAACTGGGCATGGATGGTGTTGCCGAAGCCAAATTCCGCAAAGATGCCCAAGCCTACCTCAAATCTCAGATCGAAGATCTTCCTAATGCACCGGATGAATTGATTGGACCTGTCGCCGTCAGCTTCCTCGAGACCGGAGGCGGTAATAAACACTTCTCGTGGGACGCTGCTCTTGTAAGCTCACTTCTGATATGGCTGCTTTCTTCAGATGGCCTTGGTACGTGTCTGCGCTGACGGCGACATATAGAACTATCAATGGGAAGCCAGCGATCATCGCCACACTATCCTCCGCTACGTGACCGATATCATGAAGATGCAGCGCTGGTATACGATTGACCGTCTTCACAAGCGCATCAATGGTGCCGTGAACTGCCCTGGCTGCTTGCTGCACTCTCCAAAACAGGGGAGCCCGGAAACCGTCGATGATGCCGGGACTGTTAATCACACTCAAATCGATGACACCAGGTCCTCTGATGGTAAGCTTGTTTCTTGAAGAAATGACGCCGGGCTGACGGCTGTACCTCTACACTTGACAGGATCCGATGCTGGAAGTCTTCATCACGATTCAGGTAGAGACGACGCCGTCGGGCGCAGTGAAAGCAGAAAGCGACACCGGGCCAGCCGTGACCACTTTTCTGAATCGGAAAAGAAGCGGCAAAAATCGACAGGGTCGCAAGAGGAGACCGGCAGAGTGAGCATCTCGAGAGACGAAATCTCACAGAACACGTCTATCTATGACAACAATGCCTTTCCGAAGGCACGGCTTCCGGCCAGCTCAAACGCGCACGCTGGTTTTACACCAGTCAACCCTACCCCTGTCCTTGAACTCCGGCCCCCATCCAGACACGAAGCTCCATCCCCTACGCTTGCTTCTTCTCAAACGCTCACCCTCCGAGACTTCAACCTCTCTATGCGCTATCGCGGTAAGCAGTGGCACTTTAACAGCGTCGCGCATAAAGCCAAAGTTCTCGAGCAGATCCTCTTGCAAGAAGAGAAGGATGTCGAATCCTACCCCACCCTGGCATTCTCCAAAGGAGCCAAAAAAGCAGGCCTTGGAATTGACGGAAGTTCAGACGATGACGAAAGTGTCTTGAAAGATTACTTCCGCTGTTACTCACATTTCATGAACAACCGATTTCCACGGAATGAGAAGTTGTTGCTCGAGAATGGAGTGAGGCCTTCGGCGTAGCCATGGGCAAGAACAAAACATCGAGTTGGCTCTGGATGTTAATCGGTGGTGGTTGACACTACTGGTGGTGCTGGCGCGTGTTGGCAAATCGTTCAAGGATCAGTGCAGGTATTGAGGTTCACTCGGTCAGGAAGAGGACCTGGTAGCCACGGTGGCAAGGACGGGGTTTGAGAAAAGCATTGTCCTGTTCTACTATGTGTATCTACAGTCTGGTTTGAAGAGTTTGCTGGAGCAATAAAATAATGGAATCGGGTCCTTGAGGCCCGTGAATTGACGCTGCCACAGCTAGGCAGCAGTGCTAGATTCTGGCATCCCCTGACCGTTCAAATGAACCCCAGGTGCTATAGTCCACAAGTAGATAAGGGATGCCTCTGGGTGGTGATCTGACAATTCTCCCGCTAGATCAGCCCTCGCACTCCTGGTCCCCTTCCACTTCCAGCATGCCAGCAGAGGGCCTTTCGCAGTCGCAGTCTCGCTTCATTCTCGTGTTGCAGGTGCATAAGAGTGGACATGGAATAGAGTCGGACCAATGAATGACCCAACAACAGAAAGTAGTGAAGCTACGTTGGAGATGTTGTAGCGCAGTCTGCAAGGTTACGGAATGCCTCGAATTGCGGTGGTGGCTTTACCTAGCGTGTCTAGCCTCCTTCGGCTAGTCCCATTTCCTCCCCCCGAGATTGAATCATCTCTTGAAAGAACCGGGAATCCGTGACAACAACGCCTCCTTTCTGTTTGATCTCTCTACAATTCCCAAGAAGACCCTTTCAAGACCGACCTGCGCAAGACTTTCAGACTGATCCAACCCTTGGCTCAGTCTCGATCATCACTCCAGCTTTCTCCTAAAACTTTTTATGCACCCTGCGCCTTCTGAAGCCTCCCAAAACGCGACTTCAGTAGAACCCGCCCAGCATCTCCCCTCGTCTTCTTCGCAGCATGGACTTCCAGACATTGAACATGAGGCCTCTGTCGGCTTACTCTCCACGAGTAACCTCAGAGAGCCGACTCCAGACCTGGAGGAATCGGCTGACAATGTCTCCGTCCGCTCCGTGGGCACCCAGCGTGGGCGGCCATCCAACACCAGATGGATAAGCAGTCGAGACAGTTCGTCTCAAGGCTCTCCTGGTAGTCGTATCGACGAATATGAGAGGGCACACGCTCAATATCGAAAACCATCCGACGGCATAATCTTTCAGGTTATCCCGTCCGCGAAAGACAAGACCTCGAGGGTCTCGGTTGAAAACTTCCCCAATGGTAGGACAACGAATCACAGACTTGCAGAAGGGTACTAACAAGTAGCAGAGGTTCTCACTCACATTCTCTCGCACCTGCCTCCAGAGACTCTGTCTTCCATGAGCCTCGTGTCTCAACGGTTTCACAAATTGGTCACGACACCGCACGCATGGCGCATTGCGTTTGCCAGATACTTTCCCGGTGCTGAATTGTTGGCCACGGGCACGAACAAGGCGACACAAGAGTCAGTTTCGGATGTCGAGAGAGCACAGCGCAGGTCATTCACGCGGCTGTCAGCCCTTTCCTCGTGGAGGAGCGAGTATATCCTGCGGACACGATTGCTACGGTCTCTCGGCCGCGGCCGGCCTGCGATTGAAGCAATATCTCGTGCTGGTGCTTCCCGTCATGCCAGTAGCGCAGCTGCGGCTGCCGTTACTACGTATGCATCCGGCTTGTACTATCCAGTTAGTCATCTGCACGCTACATTCGGGGTGGGCTTAAACAAGAAGCAGCCGTTGTTCATGCATGGAGCAGTGGAGCAAGGCGCCGTCACTGTAAGCGACCCGGCCAGTGGTAAGCCTGGTTCTTGGGGACTGACGGATTTCGATGCCTTCAAACACTTTGCTGATCAGTTCCCTGGCGAATTGCCTTATGGGTTGGGACCCGGGAACATGGTTGGGATGACCAATGTCATGGACCTCAGTCAACCTTATGGGAAGGTATATGGAGAGGCTTGTCCAGGAGGGCGAGTCTTCTACACCTCGACGAGCGAGCAGCGGGGCCGATTTGTGTCCATTTCCTCGGCGGCCAACCATGCGCTCGGTATCCCTGAAACGACGATGATCGGCTGTGCTGTTTGCTCGGTCTGGATTGCCAAGTCCGAGTCTGTTCTCAAGGCCACCAGTGGTATATTCGGCTTTCTTGCAGGGTTCTCGAATGGAGTGCTGGCAGCGTATGCCCTCGGGGTCAACCCGGTCCATGATCGCCGGTTCGACAAGGGAGAACTTACAGCCAAATGGATTCTCTGTCCAGGTGTCCCGATCATTGCAATCTGTGTCGATGAGAGGGTCTCCGCCCGGAGATTATCTTCACGTCGAATCTGGGCTACTGTGCTGAATGCTCTTGGAGAGGTATTCTACCTCACAGACGTCCCTACAAGGCCAGAGTTTGTCGGCAAAGCTTCGCCCGAAGAGCTTGATCGCCTGGCTTGGAGAACAGGCAGAAGTGTGCAATGGTCATTGGTTGAGGCTACGCGACGAACAGCAAAACCAGACCCGTTTGGCACGGCCAAGGTTGATGGCAGTTACAGCCCACGCATCTCGAGCGATGCATGTAACTTGAGCAAAGATCAGATCGTCGCCGAAACCAAAGAGGTCGAGGAATTCCTACGCCACAAGCCAAAGCATTTTCAGAACATCTGCAACGGGTGGGACATGCAGCGACGACTGATCACTGATTTTGCTGGAGACGACGGTGCCAATGCTGGGGAATCCGTTTTCGTCGTGGAATGCGGGTTGTATGGGAACAACGGGGCTTCGGTACGACGTTTTACTAGATGCATAACCAAGAGTGCCGTCGATCCGGAGCTGGACAGCTGGCCAACGATCCAGTCGACCATCAAGCAGGTTTCCATCTTTGGGACGACAAGCCCACCCCAACAATCTCTGTATTCCTCTCCAGCGCTGAGAAGTGTTCCCAGGTCGCGTACTTCCAGCCAAGATGACATTGTGAGCTCAAGATCTAGAGAAATTTGGCACATTTCGAACTTCTCGTTTGCTGAACATCGAAACATTCACATCTCGGCATTGGCTTCTGATGAGTCAGAGTTCGCCACCCTGCACGTTAGTGAGGATCCTCTCCTGGGAATGTCTGGTGGCTCCAATACATCTTCCCCTCTTGCGTCGCCTCTAGGCCACAGCGGCACGTTGAGCTCGAGCTTGGAAATTCCTGGTCACCGTGCGCGACTGTTCGGGATCGGTACAATGTCTGGCATTGTAATGCTTTGGGACATGCGTGCTGGCCTCTCTCCCAGTCCTGAGGTTGTCAACACCATCTCGCCAGTCAGGGTCATATACACAAAGTCTCCGCAGATTGCCTCGCTTGCTCTCACCTCTCTATATGTTGTTCACGGGGGTAATGAAGGTCTGGTTCAGGCATGGGATCCGCTGGCGTCCACAAATGAACCAGTCAGGACACTCAATTCTCGATTCTCGGATCGAGCAAGACGACGCATCGCTCAAGCTGAAGCTTCTGTGCAAGGCGTTGGAAACAACTACTATGCCGCTGGAGCGATTGTCCTGGACCCAGACCCGACAGTGTTGCGGGGCATGGTTTCGTTGGGTTCTTATGTCCGATACTGGTCCTATAGCTCGACTGCGGCGGATGCGTACAAGACGCGCAAAAGGGGCCAGCTCCGTCGCCGCTCAGAGCGCGGCAGCAACTCTACGCCAGCTAGCCAGAAGGTCAGCGCAACCGGACGTGGACTGATCAAGGACTATATCAGTAATGAGAGGCATGAAATGGAGCGGGATAAAGTCGTAAGGCAGAAAGAGCTTGAACGTCTGAGCGGACGATTTGGTACCAATATCCTGGGTGAAGGGGCAAGTGAGGAGGAGCTACTGGCTTATGCTACGATGTTAAGCGAGGAAGCGTTTTCCAGCGATCAGAAGAAGAGGCAGGAGACTTATGGCGACAGTTCGATTGCCTCGCCCATTCCATCTCACAGTGGCGCAGAGAATGCAACTGATGCCGAGCTAGAGGAAGCCATCCGTCTGAGTCTGCTGGAAAGCGAACCGATGTCGTCTTCACCAGCAATGAGCGCCAGTGACTTTGACATTCCAATTCGGTATGCGAAAGGCTCGAGACATGGGACACCTTCGAGAAGTGGAAAGGCCGGGAGCAGCAAAGCAAAGGCAGCTACGCAGGAGGAGGACGATTTGGCATTTGCCTTGCAGTTGAGTCTCGCCGAGGAACAGAGCCGCATGGCCATGGACGAAGACTTTCCTATGCTTTCGAAATCCACGAGTGGTGGATCGGACGGGAGTGGGAAGGGGAAGGGCAAGTCCAGACGGCGTTGAGGCTGATGGGTTTGTGCTTTGCTTGTGCTATACATTTCTCTCTCGTGTGGTGTGTGGGGGATTGGGTTGTCATATGCGTATATTCTTCACTGGCCCTTGCGGTCACTTTCTTAGGGGTAGCTTGATAGCTAATAAAGTCAAGGTGAACAAGGCACCCACAAGGAGAAGTGAGAGCTAAGTGAAGCCGAAGCCGGATCTCGGCTGAGCCACAGTCCAAGACTCGGTCTTCTTCGAGCTGCGGTGAAGCTCAAGGCCCCCGATGCGCAGCTCCAGCTTTTCCCCGAAATCCGTCAAGCCGTGAAGCCGTTTTCGTCGCAGCCTCGGCCAACACTCCGCACTCAAGCTTTGACTTAACCCTGCGTCCATCTGTCGCAGTTAGTGCTCCCAATGCTCTCTGTGAGTACCAGACGAGCTCAGCAGCGATGACACCGTCTGTTATGTCCCTCGCCCTGCTGCGGCGGGCGTCACCGTCGCCATCCTTGTACCATGGCCTCAAGAGACACTTTTCCAACACGGTCGCCCGCGAAGCTTCATGGGGCTTCATTGGCCTGGGTGCTATGGGTTTGTTATCCCTTGCTCGCCCTCGAGAGAGAGAGCATTACGGATTCTGATTCAATGTGTTTATACAGGATACCCCATGGCGAAGAACCTACGAGCCAAGATCCCCGAAGGCGACACGATGACCGTCTTCGACGTCAACACTGCGGCGTTGGAGAGGTTCTCCCAGGAAGCTACACCGACTGGAGTCTCCGTGGCAAAGAACCCTCGCGAGCTGGTCGAGAATTCTGTGAGTCGGCACCACCTCGTCCATCCTGTTTGCGAGGGTTTCTCTCCAGTTCTCCTTTAGATGATGAGCAACTATTGTTCTATCTATGATCTAAGTTGGGGACGGGGGGTTTTCCCCTTTGCGGGATTCCCCCGTCCTTTGCCATGATTTCCCTTTTTAGTTTATAGCCAATCCTCTGAAAAAAAGAAAAAGAAAAAGCAGTCACGAAAACATTGACAATCGAAGACAAAAAACACATATAGCCAGGTCAACTGGCCTCAGAAGAAGCGCGATGCACTGACTGTTTATGCCCATTCCCTGGGTATCTAGGACAACATCATCTCGGCACTCCCCGAACCACGACACGTCAAGGGTGTGTTCGGAGACATCCTTGCCTCTTCGCTCCCCAAACCCCCCACAGAGCAATCCAGGCTCTTCATCGACTGCTCCACGATCGACCCCGTCACGTCGCGCGAAGTCGCCAAGCTGGTCAAGGATAAGGCGGGTGCCGACTTCGTCGACGCACCTATGTCGGGCGGCGTGGTCGGTGCCCGCGCCGGCACTTTGACGTTCATGGTCGGGTGTGAAGAGAAGGACATCCCCAAGATCGAGAAGATTTTGCTCCTCATGGGCCGGAAGGTGTGGCACATGGGACCGCAGGGTACGGGGTTGAGCGGGAAACTGGCCAACAACTACGCGCTGGCGATCAACAACATCGCGTGCGCCGAGGCCATGAACCTCGGGGTGCGGTGGGGCATCGAGCCCAAGGCCCTCGCCAACCTGCTCAACTCGGCCACGGGCAAGAGCTGGCCCAGCGAGATCAACAACCCCGTCCCCGGCGTCATCGAGACCAGCCCCTCCAGCAGGGACTACGAGGGCGGCTTCGGCGTCAGCCTGATGAACAAGGACCTGAGGCTCGCAATGGCCGCCGCGAACGAGGCCGGCGCCAAACTCGCCCTGGCCGACAAGGCCAAGGAGGTCTACGACCAGACCGAGAAGGAGTACAAGGGCAAGGATTTCTCCGTGGTGTATCGCTGGCTGGGTGGGAAGGAATAAAAATAGATTAGCTAGAGACTGAGAGAGAGAGAGGGATGGCCCGAAAATATGTAGGTCAATGGACTGTGCATCTCCCATATGTATGTATGTATGCATGTATGTATATGCACTCCTAGTACCTTTATATACCTCGTACAAGTACAGAAATTCACACCGAGAAGACATAGGGCTTTAGTAGACAAAAGACATTCGTTGTTCGGAGCCATGGTTCGAGACATGGTTCGAGACATGGTACCGAGTATATACATACCTAGAACATGTATATGGACCATCTACATGTTCTAGGTATGTATATATGCCGAGTCCCTCCTCGTAGAGTCCGTGAGTCCCTCATAACGCGTGCTTGTCAGGATCAGTCACCGTGGGCGACGCGACGAGTCCAGTCCATGTCCAGTCCACGTCCACGTCCATTCCCTGTCGAGTACATTGGTCCATAGTACTTACGCGTAGAGGAGAGTACTCGGTCCGCGTAGAAAAGCCCGACAGGCGCCGTGAATAATATTTGTCTTACTCGTTCGTCTGTGTCAAGTGACACGAGTACCGAGTACTTCATATTCCGTAGATACTGGTTACAAGTAGTACAGTTCTTCATACTCCACTTGGGCTCCCGCCCCTTTCAACTGAGGAGGCCTGAAATGCAGGGATACGGGATAGGAAATCATATATCCATTGTACATATACGCGCTATATACCGTATGAGTATACCGAGCACCTCGTCCTTCGTACTCGTACATTGAATAGACAGATCCCAATGTCTGGCTCAAAAAGAGCCTGACAATTGGCTCGTTGGTTTCCCTAACAGCAACGTAATAGTAATCTTCTGGTTCTTGTTCTTCTCTCCGCCGCTGCTTACTCTTACAGCCATCCAATAACAACCCCATCCGTTTCTCGGGTGGGTTGGCGGAGATTTGCCGCTGACCTTCTCTCACGAAAAGCCAGAACAGTGACATGCATCAGCATCTCGAAAAAAATAGGGGGCAGATCCGGGGAGATCAATGTCGGCACGCCTTGCCAATACGAGCAAACAGCAACGTAGATGCAGTACCGGCGCTGCAGAACGCTGACGGGCAGCAGTGGTGTGGATGTGTCTTCGTCTGGCCCGCGTCTCATGTTCCAGACCGGTTGGCGCCACATTTCCTCGTTAGCAATTAGGGACAACAATTGACTTCGAGATAAAGGCGAATCGGGGTGCACAGAGTGCCTGCCAGCTGCTGACAGCCTGGCCGTGTCCCCCCCGTGCCCCCCTCGCTCTCTAACAGTAGTCATCATGCCAGAATAGGATTCCCTCTGCCCACAGCCGTGGGAACATCCCGAACTACGAGTATGACTCGTTGGACTAGAGCCGGGTGGAACTTGAGATGGGGCGGCGATTCCCGAGAGGTGCCAAAAGTCCGGACTTCGGGTGCCACTGCGACATCTTCACGTTGCCTGCCTGACCTCACAAGCTAAAGGTTTAGAGACCAAACCAGGAATTCGTGATTTGCTGCAATGGTGCAGGAGGATTCCTGCAGAAACGGTAGCGACTCGAGGTGTGCCTTCGCCCAGAGCCGGAGTAGGCAAACACCACCGAGCGTGTGAGAGTCGGTGCCCGAGGATGGAGCATGTTGTGCATCAATGACAGGACCGTGTCAAAGATATGGACAAGGTACTGATAATGGACGGAATTATCGATGAGCTGAGGCCTCCAAGGCGGCCGCCAGATAGCAAATCGGCATTCTTTGGACATGGTCAATCGCGCGTTCTGTCAAAACCACTTTCGGTCTTGTTCGTACCTCGAGGATCCGGGGACCAACTGATTGGCTTTCGAGGATCGTTGAAAGTTGTTGCAGACAGTTCGTCCAAACGAGACGACGCGGAGCTGAAATTGGGAGGTGGACTGCTTCCCATTTGGTGGCCACTTCATAAACCTGTGAGGCTGGGTGTGTCGGCGTGTCTCTGTTCGACGCAGAGGTCGTTCTCGTCTATAGAATGACATTCCGAATAGCCATGGTTGCGATACGAGAATCCTTCTCTTCGGATTGTCCCCTTTCCTTCCTCCTTACTGCCTCGTCATAAGCCTCCTTTGCCAGGAGGCTGATAGCATCCTCGAAAAAGAACATTTTTAATTCCTTCTCCAACCTTTTCCATTGTCGAGCTTCGCCGTAGTTATCCAAGAATTGTCCCATGACAGTTGTCCAGCCACGGGGACGAATCTGTCCATGCTGGATCACAGTCGCAATCATCATATTCGTCCAGAGATAACACTTGCGTTCCGGCGCTTTGTGGCTGGGCGTTTGGTGCAGAGCAATGTCCGCTAGAGCTTTCAGAGCTGTCTCGTAAAAGCCAGTAAGATGATCTTGAAAGTGAATCACTCGTAACAGGTAGCAGTATGCCACCAGACCGTGAGATAGGAATCTCTCTGTAGTGGTGGTTTGCAGAGTAGCAAGTCGATGAAGATCTTCGAGGGTCGTCTGGATCTTCCTTCTCGAGGTGACACCGAATTCTTCGACGCGAATGGTATCCGACAATTTCGCCTTCACCGTGGCAAAATGGGACAGCAGTCGAATCATTTGTAGCGAAAGCACCCCCGTCAGACCAATGTCACAGAAGCCTTGGGGCAACTTGGATAACATCTCACAGACTTCAGGTTTGAAGGGATGGGCCATGTAGACGGGGAATTCGGCATTTTGGACCAGTTCTCCAGAGTATCGAGTTGACTTGTCAGGCGTCGAATCTGCCGCAAACAGAAACGACCATAGCGCCTCATAGGCGTCGATATTGGCCTTGAGCAATCGTTCCCAAGGTGTAGCACCGTTGATCCCACCCCTTAGCCTGATCATCTGCCTCATACCCGAGACATGAGCGTAGGCACCGGTGTGGTCGCCCAGAATATAATCAATCGTTCCCAAGGTCGCCACGACGAGGATGGTAGTATCGTCTGAACACTGTTGAGGATCCTGAAGTCGAGAGCGCAGTTTAGTCATGACATTTCCCCGGTGCCATACAAAGTGTCGGTCGCCACGAGCGGACTGGCCCGAAGTGGCGAGGTATGTAGCTCGACATAGAGCGATGAGGCCCTCAAAGTAGATATCGGATGACATGGCAAAAGGCCAAAGTAGGCTCACATAAGGGTTAGAATGGCTGTCAAAGGCAAACGCGGTGCCATGCTGAGGCGCCCAGACCTGGACATCTAGATTCAATTAGACCAGATGGGACAAGGAGAGATTGTCGTTCAATCGACTCACAATATTGGGCCATGGTTCCCACGCAGCCAGTGCTTGGGATGGGCAAGGTCTGGAAAGGATCAAGCTGGAGTCCGTTGGAGGGAGACCTCTTGATTTGCAATTGACTGGCAATGGCCTTGGACAGAAACTCTTCCTTGGCCTTCTTCACCTTGGGATCCAAGTGCTTGAGAGAGAGAGCATTGCGCCGCGGTGATCGAGGAACCCGCCGCCGTTTGATGGCATTTTGTTGCGCCCAGGATTGCGGGGTGGTGATCGAGACAGTCAAAACCGGTTCTTGCATAGTGTCGGAATGCATCAAGTCAGTATGTATCCCTCCAAAACTGCGAGCCTAGATCATCTCATATTGCATCATATGAAGTGGGCGCGATGGACGTGAGGAGCGAGTTGAACAGACGGTGTGCGTTTGGCCATACGAGGTGAGGAAGAAGAGGACGACTGTGACTTTGTGCGCCTGACGGCCCTTCTAAAAGCCCTCCAAATGAGCACACAACCTCTGCGCCACCTTGGACATTTGCTGCTTATTTGATACGGACGAGTCAAAGGGGGAGAAAGGGGTTGAGCAGTCCCGACGAAATTGTGCCTTAGCGGTGATTGTAGGGTGTGGGTAGGTCAGACGTTTAATGAATGTCGAGCAAGCGGAAGCGAGGGCGAGGGCGAGGGCGAGTAGTAGCGGGAACAGGACGATGGTAAGATCTGATTGTTTTGTCTTACAACAAGCGCAGTCTGAAACAAACGAGGGGAGGCAGTACCAAGTACCTCGCACTCGTGCCTACAAGTACTCGCGAGGTACACAATAGGTAGAGTATGGGGCCTTGACCCCCGTATCAAGTAATTATACGGGTTGGTTCGATAGGCCTGGAGTGCTTCTGGTGCCTCCCCTCGTGCCCTCCTAGGCTTAAAATTGGTGACACATTTCCACGGTGGGTATGAGTGACAGCGGCGGCAGCGTGGCCAAGAGCCTCTTCTCGGAAGCCCCTCGGTGCCTCTAAACGAACCAGTCAGAGGGGGTTGATGATCAGGAGGGGCGACGCATGAGTTATCCGGGCGCCTTAGTCAAGAGTGGATTGTTCATTATATAACACTAGCCACCTAGCTAACTGCGCGTGCTGAGCTTGGCTGTGCGTGTTACGGGTAAGAAACGGGAAAGGATGGGAGCCCAGGTCTCGGGTTAAGCCTCTTCCAGGCACCTCCCACGTTCACCAATGATGCCTAAAAAAGATTCACCCTCCGTTGCCTCCCACTAACTAAGATTTGGTTTGCCCTTGGGCACTACATCACTGTGCATTGGTGGCCTGTACCGAGTCACCGAGTATACCTGTACTATGACTACATACATATATCAGCCCTGGGACGACGAGGGCAAAATCCTGCGTTTGTATCCTCCTTATCCAACACATGCACCTATAATCTTCAGGGGGCCCCCATGATTACTCCGTCCTGTGGGCACGATACTGCACGTATTCCGTCTACACGGCACAACACAAAATGTCCGCTTCCCCAATCAGCCTCCAGTTAAAAAAAGGGTCGCCCACATGGCTAGGTCTCCCCTTCAAGTGCATCTGTTACGTTTGTCGCTTCATTCCTTCGTTGCCCACTTCCTGCCCGTCATCTCCCCAGCCATCATTACTCCGTATTCACATGCCTGATTCGTACCTGCCATGTTTTGAAGGTTAAAACTAACTTGCAAATTCCAACCTCAACAATCATCAACTCATCAATTCAGCCCACCTTAATCCTCTGTCTCTCCCCATCTCCTCTCTCTTTGTGTTTGTTGCATTCGGTCAAGGTGTCTGAAATTTGTCTGCTCTCTCATCCGTCATTGTCTGTGCTTTTGTTTCTCATATCCTGACTGCTTCCCAATACCCTGCTCGTCCAGTCATGGATCCTCGATGACCGCCCTTCGTCATGATTCTACGGCCCTCGAGAAAGCTCGCTGGGCCAATGTATCGTCGAAAGTCCGGCCTCATTGCGGCTCTGCTCACCCTGTTTCTCTTCCTCCTTTTCCTACAAACCCGAATTCAACATGATGACGCTGTTGAACCTCCTCCGCTCACCCGCCCTGAGCCTGTCCCCGAAGCCGTGTCTCAAGAAGAATCCGAGCCGAAACCGCCGGTCAAGATCAAGAACCCCCTCCTCGATAGCCAGGCTGCGTTCTGGCGGAGTCTCTATTTGATCATCTTGAACAATGATCCCAATTGCCGGAACGCTCCCGACCTCGTGGTGCCGCAGAAGCTTGATATTGGCTTCGATCCCACTCACGACCATCCTCGACCTGATATCCTGTACATGGATACCGCCGACGTCAAACGCATGCGTGAGGCTCATTCAAACTTTGTCAATGACTTGAAAAGCAATCCTCCAAACATACCTTATGAGCCGGGCACCCGTGGCATTGTCATGACGGGGGGCTTTAGCCAGCTTCCCGTCCTGGTTATATCTGTCCGCATGTTACGAAGAGCCAAGTCTGAGTTACCGGTCGAGGTTTTTGTTGCCGATCAGTCTGAGTGGGATGATCAGATCTGTAATGTTGTCCTACCGGCCCTCAACGCCAAGTGTCTTCTCCTTTCCGACATTTTCCATGCCGCCAGCGCGGGCGTGTCGATCGACCGATTTCAGTACAAAGTCATGGCTATCCTGTTCTCCTCATTCGAAGAAGTCCTGTTACTCGATTCTGACGCCTTTCCGGTACACAATCCTCTTCCGTTGTTCCAGGAAGAGCCCTTCAAGAGCACCGGATTGATCGTCTGGCCGGACTTCTGGTATGCCTCTGAATCTCCCTACTACTTCGAAATTGCCAAAATCGACAGGATCCCCTCCTTGAACGAGCGAGCTGCTGTCGAATCGGGTGAAGTCATGTACTCCAAAGCCAAACATCAGTTGTCTCTTCTCCTTGCGGCATATTACAACTATTACGGGCCGACCTACTACTACCCCCTCCTCTCTCAAGGTGCCCCGGGCCAAGGTGACAAGGAGACGTTTGCTTGGGCAGCCACAGCCCTCAAACAGCCTTTCTATGCTGTCCATCAACGGGTCATGGCGCTCGGTCGGTTTGACTCCTCTGGCAATTATCTTGGTAGTGCTATGGCTCAGCATGATCCCGTGGCTGATTATGCATTCACGAATGCCTATGGTCCTCCCCACGAGCGAACCCAAGACATTGACACTGGAAAGGACAACCATTTCGATATTCAAGCTTCGGACGTAAAGCCCTTTTTTATTCACGCCAACTTCCCCAAGTTTGATCCGGCCACCATCTTCGACCATCAAATGGTGGATTTTTCCGGAGAGGTATCTGGCGCTGGAGGCCCCACTCGAGACACAAACGGCACGAACGTACGTTGTTGGATGGACAAAGGTCGTGCCATCGAATTATTCGGCTTCGACGTGGAGTACAGGTTCTGGCAAGAAATCAAAATAACTGCTTGCGAGAATGAGCACCAGCTTGGCACATGGAAAGGCAAGCAAGGGATCTGCGAGAGAACTCAGAAGTATTGGAACGACGTCTTTGGTTCGGATGCTGCACTTGAAGACCGGCAAAACATGGGAAACTCGGTGGAAATGCCTGCACCGCCTTGACAAACGTCGCCGCATACTCGGACGCGGCCTCTGTCGACTCGTCCGCACACCTTCCCCATCGGCCGAGCACACACGATTCCTCAATATTGATAATAATAGGCTCATCCAAAAGCGCACCTTCACAAAATAAGGGCGGCTGAGTTTTTGTACATTTTTGGGACGCACAACCAACGATTAGACTGAGAGTATTAGCGATTTGATCCCGGCGCCATGGGAAATTTTGAAACGATGTCACGATCAAGATACAAAAGGTTCACATGGAAATACACGATACCATGTATAGATATGGATGATATGGGATAATGGACCCTGTTATGACGAGCTGGATCTCTATGTGAGGTACTCGAATGAGCCAGATGGTAATAGTGTGAGAGTGTTTGTCAAGAATGTGTGATATTTGTTCGAACAAGCACCGACCAAACCAACGACAAGTACATAGGACATAGCTTGATCTGACTTTGAACAAGACATTCCAGCGCGGCTTACAAGATAACGATGCTGCATAGATCTGTTCCTGAATGGCTGGCCTGGACGAGTGAGTGAGTGGCCGAGTAACTGTGCGCCGCCAGACTCCTCTCATTGCCGCAATCGGGATTTTTGACGATGCCATCCCCTCCCTGTGTATGTCTGTTTGTATCTCAACGATAATAGATCACCACACGTACACTACAAGAAGAAAGACCAGAAAGACATGGGCAGACGATTCAGCCAGCACAGCCAGCATCATGAAGCAGATTTGGGATGGTATGCTATGGTATGGATAGTATCACATCAATCGAACCAAAATAGAAGATTTGATTGATTGATTGATTTGGTAGTCTCTCTCTGGAGCCCAAAGAAGATAACAACATTTGTCTCTGAGAACTCTGGAGCCCGAATCCGCGCCTGAATCCATGTCCCATCTGTTCCATATCGACTGTGACCGTCGACGACAGCCGGTAAATGCCAGCCAGCCAGCCAGCCTGGACTTGACGCCACTAGTAACACAGAACAAAGTCAGACCCAAAAAACACATATCCGCCCACAGAGATTGGTTGCCCAAACAAAATCCCTCTCTAATACGACTCCTCGAGTTCCGTGCTCCATGCCGCATCGCTGCCCTCGACTCTCACAACGCCGCAATGGGCGTTCTCATCTGACATCTCCCTAAATCTCTCCTGCGCATGGCGATACTGAGAGCTTTGGTATCCGGTGTGATGATTCTTCGCCGGCGGTGGCCCCATCTGCCCTGCGAAAGCGGTCCCTCCAGCAGGCGGGCCAGCCGCTGTAACCGGTCGCTTCTGCCCGTTCGTGTTATAGTTCGGACCTAGTGCGTTGGCCATGGGGTTGTGACCAAGTGTTTTCGACGAGTAGTAAGTATCCCGGAGGTCTCGTTCAGGTTCCATATCTGAGACATCCGAATATGTTTCCCAGTTCTCACTCCCACTAGCTGTGGTGCCAGTCGTCATGTTGGACGAAGTATTGGAAGTTTGGCGAGAAACAATCGTCGAAGGCGGCGCAGAGGGGTTATGTCGTATGCTCTGACTATGGCTATGTATGGAATTGGACGAAGAATGGGAAGGCTGATGTTGATGTTGATGTGACACATGAGATTGGTAGAATGGGTCGGATTGATGAGATGGAAGGGGGGCGTACTGGGGGTGTTGCTGACCGCCCCGATTGATGAGTGAGGCAGACATATATGACATTCTCTCACGGTCGTCATATACATCTTCTGGGCTCATTGGTCGTACGTATCGACTGCTTTCACTTGACCCGGAAGAGATGGTGCTTGCAGGTCTATTAGACGTCGGCGGAGGAGGCTGGGAAGTCACTGCGAGAGCGGGTGCGGCTTCTGGCGGTGGCACAAACAGATCTCTCATCTTTGGTGGAGGTGCGCGTGGTGGTCCCATCGTCCTGGCAGTTTGGGCGTAGTTTTGCTGTGGTTCTGCTGGCATGTGGTGTGGACCTGGTTGAGGAACTGCCCGGCGTTCAGGTGAGTTCTTCAAATTTCCCAGAGGGACGCGAGCCGGGATTTTGGAGGGAGACTTGGGTTGGGATGAGGATACAGTGGTCGTGGCTATTGAAGTTGGTGCCGCTTGTTGTCGCATGGTGCCAGGCCTGCTGGTTGTGGGAGTTTTCGCTGTTGTTGACCGTGGTGGCGGGCCTTTCATCACGCTGCCTGGTCTTGCTGGAGGTGCAGACTTTGCGGCACTAGCAACTGCTTTCGAAGCGGTCGCAGGTGCAGGGGTCTTTGATCTCGGCGGGAGACCATTTGGTGTCTTGGATCGTGGCGGAGGTGCTTTGACTTCAGTGTCTTCGATCTCGTCTAGCATTCGTTCACCCTGGACCAGGAAGGGTCGCCCATATTCATCCTCGTATTTCTCCAAAACCTTTGTCAACTCTGCTATAACCTTTGGCAGCTCTTTTGCGATCCGCTTTCTCATCTTCTCCTCTCTTAGCAACTTTCCCGGATCACGTTTCTCTCCCTTTTGAGGTTTCAACAAGAGGCGTGAAGCATCATTGGCAGATGCCGCCAGAGCCTCTCGGTCGGCTATCAGAGACTTGTACTTCTCGACCATAGCGAGAATGGGTGCTCGTTGTTCTTTTAGCGTTATGAGTCTTTCGATTTCTGCTTCGTGGGCAGAGAGCAGAGCGTCACTGTAGACGTCTGAGAAAGCCGGCGTGAAATCGAGCATCTCTTCTTCGGAGAAGTACAGTGTATCCCAGAGTTCTTGCAGTCTGACACGAGCATCCTCGACAAACAGATGCAAATTCTGTCTCTTGAGCTCATTGAGTCTCGCCAGTTCGTCCTCGAACTCGTTGATGGTCCTAAGTCCACAGCCTCGGTTGGCAGCCAGGAATGCTTTCCTGTCGGGCTCTTCGATTCCAAGCCGATCCCACAGCGCCTCGATACTCTTCTTCACTTCACCCAAGCGCTTCTCGCGGTTCTTTTTCTCGTCCAGGAGCTTATCGCGACGACTCTTCAGCCGATCAAGATCGGCCTGGTGTAGACCTAGCTGCTCAGGCGAGTCGCGGTAGTGTTGAACAATCAGGGAGTCTGTCTGTGCTTGGGGGATGCCCAGCTCTGACCACAACCTGACAATCTCTTCTGCAGTTTGTTGCACGATCACAACTCTCTTGTTATATTCATCGTATACCCTGGTAAACTCTTCATCAAGTGTGGCGACGTAGGAGGGGGAGAGGTCGAAGTTGGGAGGACAGCTGTTGGAGGAGGTAGGAGGTAGTCTGATCTTGACAAATGATGACTCGAGGTGAGAAGAGTATGACTCGAGGGCTTGCACAAGCTTCTTGACTTGTTCAAAACGTTCGCGATGTAATCTGTTGACAACATTGTATTTCTCTTTGAGGTCGCGTAGACAGTCGATCAGGGGATAGGTGACCCGTAGACCTTTGGTGTCCAAATCGTAGCCTCTATCCTTTTCGTCTTCAAGAGATTGTTCCATTTGTTTGATGGTTTTGATGATGTTCTGAGCTTCTTCCGTCATGGCATTCTTCTCCCTGATGAGGTAGTCAGTACACTTGTACAATTGGGAACTTGGGGGGTTTCGTCCATACGAGTTGACCAGTCGAAGCTGGTTGTGTAGAGCTTCAGATAGAGCGGCAAAGAGCTCTGTTTCCCTCGATTCGCGCTCATTTCGAGGAACTCCTATCTCGTCAAATATGGAGTGTAGTTGGCCGATAATAGTGTTGACTTGGGTGGTGAGGTAGCTCGTATCCATAGATGGAGGCATGCTTGCGACTCAGGCTCGCGGCCGAGAGCAGCTTTGCAAGTTTCGTTCTCGATTCCGATATAAACGGCCAAACGGTTGCATGGACAGACGGGAAGAATACGAAGGAGCACGCACTATGGAGAACGAAAGATGGTCAATAGGTGGTCGTGGCGTGCTGTCGAATCAGGATGACGGTGTGGACGATGCCATCATGCCGAAAGATCTGGTTGTGTTGATGCGCGATTGTTGACGGAGCAACCGCACACAATGCACAAGTTGAAGTGCCGCGTGCCTCACCGCCTTGGATCTAATTGCCCGAGGGGCAGCGGCAGAATTGTTTAAACTCCAACACCTGCGGATTAACGCATCAACGCCCACATCAGGCACACCAGGTACAGCTGCATCTCATCCATCACTGACACACACGTTGTCGAAACGTCTAATCTCCTCTACCATGTCGACCCTCTCAGCTTTGCGTAACTGGGAAGCTGAAAATAATGTCATCACCATCGACCCGTTTCAAAATGCCCTCTATAACCTGCCCGATCCTGCCGCCTACAAGACCTTACAAAACTCAGCCCCATGGAAAAAAGATCCTGACTACTTCACTCACGTCCGCATATCTGCCCTTGCTCTCCTCAAAATGACAACCCACGCCCGGTCCGGGGGCAGTCTCGAGATCATGGGTCTTATGATTGGTTACGTCTCGGGTCGATCGCTCGTCATCACAGATGCTTTCCGGCTTCCAGTCGAGGGGACGGAAACTCGAGTCAATGCGCACGCTGATGCTGATGAGTACATGGTCAATTTTGGCATTCTTTCTAGAGAAGGAGGCGGCCAGCTGGAAAACGCCGTGGGATGGTACCACTCACATCCGGGGTATGGTTGTTGGCTTTCAGGCATTGATGTTCATACGCAAAAGACACATCAGATGGTCAACGATCCCTTCGTTGCGGTGGTGATCGATCCAGATAGGACTGTCTCGGCTGGTAAGGTGGAAATTGGTGCTTTCAGGACCTACCCGGAAGGGCACATTCGCAAGCAGAAACAATTTACAGACGACAGCGATGAGTACCAAGCTATTCCTCAAGATAAGATCCAAGATTTTGGTGTGCATGCCAATTCCTACTATCCCTTGGAGGTCACTCACTACAAATCAACTCTTGATACGCATTTGCTCGGCCTCTTGTGGAACAAGTACTGGACATCGACGCTGTCGCAGTCACCTCTCTTCACCAATCGCGACTACACCAATAAGCAGATCGCCGACCACGCCGTCAAGATTCGAGCAGCAGCCAGCAGACAGAGGGCTGCTGCTAGCATGTTCCGACGAGAGCAGGAGTTGGTAGGAACGGGAGACAAGAATTTCAAGATTGTAAGAGATGGTACCATGGAGCAGATTGTTCGAGGCGGCAACAAGATAGCCACAGAAGAGCTTGCTGGTCTGCTGGCACATGAAGTCAAGCAAAAGTTATTCTGGGGAGTGGTGCAGGAGGCCAGGCAGAAGGCAGCTCAGCAGACCGCCGAATCGATGACGGACGAAGGTGTGGCAAGCAACGGCGGTTGAGCAGCGACAATGATGGGAGAATCCTTCCCTATGCAGCAAAAGTTGGACGAGGGTACCAACACCAATCGACAAAAGCCCAGATGGTCATTCAATGAGAACGACTCGGGCTGTCGAAACTCTTCCAGAGCCAGCTGACCCACCCCACCAAGAGAGTAGATGAGCTGATTGAGTCGCGTTCAGTACTTGGGGTCTGAGTGAGGAGGAATCAAGGTGATGACAGGCTTATGAGACGACGACCAGAGGGCATGGCGATACATGGGATATGAGGTTAAATGCGGAGATGAGACTGGCCTGGCGGAGTGTCTTAATAGAATAAGCCAGGCTTCCGTCTACGCCATCCATGGCTTCGACCATGTAATCATTCAGATCAAGCTCCAGACTCTAGAAGCATGCGCTTGCCCGCTCCATGGGGAATCCGAAAGGATTGTTTTACCAGCTTGATGAGTGCATCTCTAGCTAGGTATCGATGTGTTTCCTAAGCAAGTAAGTACTTGGAAATACTTTCAAAGGGGGACATCTATGTTGCATGAATAAAGCCATCGAAATGCTGAACGAATACGTCTGGTTTTGTACCGGGTACTACTCAGGCAATCTTTTATATTTATTGTAGCTCATCCCCATGACAGGGTACCAGGGACCCAGGCAGGGGATACTAGGTATTAACTAGCGAGTAGGTAAGTAGCTCGGTAGATATGTAAGTATTCATGCTCGCCGTATCTCTGCTCCCCTTTGATGCTTGGTATTATCGTATTTACATTCCTTTTTACTGGCCAATTAACTACTCGGTACACAGTGTAATCACACGTCCCCTGTCTAATGTATCTCCCTTGCCTTCGCCTCCCCTGGTCTTCCTCCATTCCCCTCCCCCACCCCCTCCCGTTCCCGATCCTCATACCTGGTACAAGCACCTACCGAGCACCTCAGGATCCCGTAACGTGTCTTCCGAGACAGGATCGTGCGGAGGTCTTACTCCTTGTTCTGGTATCCTTACTCTCTCGCTCTGTAAAAGTACGAGTACGAGGTACAACCACTCCTACGACTCCTACTGCCGAGTATGTAAGGCGGTAGGTTGTCACGGGTGGGCGGGTGTGTGGAAAATTACCCGCGGCAAGCCGCGGCCCGGGCACGGGGTTTCCGGGGGTGTCCTTTCTACCCTTCCTGCCTTCTTGACTTCTGCGGAGGTACCACTACCGAGCACCCGTATTTCGAATTCCTTCTGCTTTTGCACCTGCGGAGTGCTACACGTAGGCGCCTGGGGCCGGCCGACCACGAGTAGTCGGGGTTGGGCTCTCTTTATTGCTCCTTAAACCAGTTAGTCTCGCCCTCTCTTCTTCTCTCCCATCTCCTTTGCTGGGGACTCCCCAGGCCCTCATGCCCTACTAGGTACCCTAGGTACCTACCCAGACCCGGCCCTCAATCGCAATTACGTTCAGGACTTTGTATCGAGTACAGATCTCCTCGTGCCTCCCTACAGTACCAATCTACATAGATACCTCATACAAGTGCACCGTACCTAGTGCACCGTACGCGATACGCGGTACTTTAATAACCGCGCCCCCTTGCCTCGCCCAGGCCTTCCCTCGTTTCTTCCCTTGCTTCTTTCCCCCACCCGAAGCGAAGCAGCCAGACAAGCAAGGGTCGTCGGAGTTCGGGGTCACCCACCCACAAGAACACTCACTGACACTCGCACTCAACTTACGCAGTCACTCAAATTCCGGCTGGCTAACTCACTCACACACCTCCCGGCCTTAACTCCCCGGGTCCCCTTGCTCCCCTGCTCCCCTGGCTCCGCGGCTCCCCCTGGCCTCAACTCCCAAAGGAACCACAAGTGCACAACAAAGTGACCTCGGAACGTGTCCTGCGAGTTTCCTACACAGTACCGAGTTCCAACTCGTAAACCCCATGTTTGCGGAACCTTCCGGCGATCATTATTATTCCTCCGCGGTTGACCTCCTCTCATCTCCGCGCAGGGTGAAAGGAAAAGCAGAAGAAGCCGGCGGCAAAGAATGTAGCAGAGCAACCTTTCGTAGGTGTATCAAACGTGCTCTGGCCCCGGTGGCTCCGAACTCCTATCGGTGTCATTTGGCACTTTATGTCGAAGCATATAAGGTATACCCGGCTTACAGGAAACATTCCAGAGTCACAAAGAATTGGATTGGAAGGACATCAATATGGATATAGTTATAGATATAGGGTGGATGCACATCTAGCTCCAAAACAATATCAATGCACAATCCCTCATCCCATTCCCATTCCCAACCGTAGCGACTCAGCGGCTCAACGGCTCGCCGGTGACCAGTGCACAACCTCCAGGCAATCCTCAATCTCAAAGATTCGGGATCCATTAACCCATGCCACCTTTCATCTCAAAGCGGCCGTTACAATTTCTTCCATGCCATCCATCACTTCTTTTCTCTCCCTGAACCATCAAGTTCTCCTTGGTCGGGCGAAGCGTCCAATTCAATAAAGTCCACCCAAACCAGAGCGTTCCCATGTCGGTGAGCCTTGAGTACCAATGTCCCTGGTTTTTGGGACCTGTTGCGCTCTCAAGATGCCTCCGATATCCAAATCACCTCCGTAGGTGTATGGGAATCCCGCCACTGGATTCCCTACTCGTCATAGCGACGGCCGCGAGGGAATCAATCTCTCAAGTGTAGTACCGCAGAAGCCAAATTCCCTCCGTCACGGCCTACCATTTCCACCCAGGTCGCTCGCCTCGCGCTAGATGCCATAAGAAACCAACCCAACACAATTCCCACTCCATTGCTTCCACATTCTCCAGACAAGACAAAAACACGCTGAAACGCAAGACAAATTCAATAAATAGATAGTTCACACAAGAAAATCTTTTTCAGGTACACAAGAGGTCCCACAGATATAAAGGGCCGATCACAGCCGAACTCGTCGGGGATTCGTAAGACGATACTGAGAAATGTCAAACACGATGGAGCCTTGGTCACTGGCGTCATCAACCTCGATAGTGTCGCTCACCAGACCGGCTGGGCTGTCATTGGACACAATATCGGGTGCACTGTAAAGCCCATGTGGCTTCACGCTGTCCAAGGGTGGGCCAAACGCAAGAGGACTCGGATCTTTGCCGACGCCGATTTTGGGCGTAGGCAGGTGATCGACCGACGGTTTAGTCGATAGAGAACCGTCTGAAGCAGCATAGCCTTTGATGAAGTCCGAACCAAAATCATCAGCTTGCGAGGTTTCTTCGTTCTCTGCTTGAACTTTCTTCAAAGCCTCGGCGGCTGCAGAAGCCTGCCCGAGAAGAGCATCGAACTTCTGCAACATCGATTCCAGTTCGGTTTTGCAGTCCCCATCTCGCAGGAACTGGTGCGCCGCCGTCTCACACAATGTCTGGATCTGCTCGAGCTCTTTGTCCACTTGTAGAAAGTTCGCCTCCTCATCAGAGGTAGCCGGCTTGTTGGCTGCAACACGGCCTTTTGCTGGTAGTAAGGTTGGGGTACTTCGGGATACCATGGAACTTCTGATGTCGTCAAGCATGGCAAGACCATGGCTGGTTCGAGCGGTTAACGTCGGAAGTCGGAAACCTCTGGCAGCTGCAAGTGCAGCTTTCCCTTTCCGCAGGTTGTTCCGGCCAATGCCGATCTGCTTCACCATAGTATCGAGCTGTTCTTGCAGATACCCATCGTAATAGACGACGACGTGATGCCTGTTCCTGAATTTCTGAGGGCCCGACGCACCCGAGCGGATGGAAGGGCCTGGCTTCCTCTTTCTCCGTACTTGTGCATATAGATATTTGTTCCCGGCCTCTAGCGGATTGAATTGTCTAGGATCAGGTGAAGACAAGCCATCAGTACTCTGGATTGTGTGAGTCTTGTCATCGCCTTGTTCCTCGTCTTGAGGATGGATCGAGGACACTGAGGGTGACTTCCTGCGCTTCGGTTTGACTTGGTTTACCAGCCGAGAATATTCCGCCGCGAACTCGGCATGTTTCTCAGTAACATGGGTAGACAATGCTTCAACGCTAGCCCGCCAGGTGGGAAGGTTATCGACGAGATATACAAAGCTTGAATGGGCATCCATAGCTTGGGCCATGGCGGCCACAACAGGTGAAGGGAGGTAAATTCAGTGCACAAAGTGGTTGAACAACTTAAGACATCGTTTCGGTGGCTCCAAGTCGTGCGAGGTTGGAGTGCACCGACGGGAGGGTGATGTTAGGAATGGAGGAGGAATGAGACGTGAAAAGCGGTGTGCGGGTATTCGAAGTTGAGTATGGCAGTCGAAGTTGCCGGTTTGCGAGACACAGGTTGGAAAAAGTGCGGCCGGTTTGAAAGGTGAGGTCGAAATATACACACAACACTATCCACAGCGTTCCAGCTTAAGAAAGCTGAACCTGACGGACTAGATATTGCGAAATGCGAGGGTAGAGAACGAGCAGGTCAATGCGACAAAAATTCGTGGAGTGGTAGGCGTGGACTCGAGGGTGATGGGTGGTAGTATTCGGGAGAGTGGGAGTCGGCGAGTGGAAGTAACACGGACTGGAGGAGAAGATGCGGTGTCAGATGCGAGCAATTATTGTAACGCAACGTGGTGGATGGAGGTGGCGATGGAGCAGAAGCTTTTCCCCAGTCAAGCGTCAAGCGTCAAGCGTCTGCGCAACAGGGTTGATTCCCTCCAGGACCGTCAATTATCAGACACTTGCAGCATTTATGTCGACTAGACCAGATCCAGCAGTCGCAATATGGTGAGATCAACCAGAACAACTCAGACGGGAAGCAGGAAGGATAGAGGCAAAAGATATGGAAGAAGATAGAGGAGCAGGACAACCTGAAGCTGCAGTCGTCCTTCTCGACTCCGAGTGGAAAGTCACCTACGGTAAATGCCTAGCGGCACAGTGGCACCTTCCGTGGAGACTATCCTACTTTGGTAGAGGAGGCTGCCGGGTGGGAGAACTGGACAACGGTGGGCACGATGGGCACCGTCTGGGCACCAGGGAAGGATCCTTGGTGCCCGAGGAGCCTAAACCAGGTATTCAGGTGGCCCAGGTGCCCAGATCCCTACCTATCAAGTCCCTGGCACGCCTGGCTAAACTAGGTGACTAGCAATTTGGCATGAGGGTCGCTAGGTACTTTGACCAAGTAGACGGCTGGCCGTCTTTCTCCGTGCCTCCTCGTTTGTATCCTGGCTGCCCAGACTAGTTCGCTTCATCCACGCTTCATCGACTCATGCTGATCAGAGTCATCAGACTACAATTTGAATCCCTATCTGGGCAACTGGGGCAAGGGCTCATTTCTCCTCCCCCCATCCACTTTTGGCTTCTCTGAGTTACGGCTGTCGCCTCCGCACCTTCAACTTGACCTTACCAAGTACAGTAGAGGCATGCCCCCAGCCTATTTGCGAGCGCCGAGCAGGGGACGATTCGAAGTCACTTGTGCTTGAACTTGAACTTGTCCCCACCACCAACCTCTTTCCACCTCCCGTTCGGCCCGTCTCGCAGCCTACCCAGAATAGGTCTTTGCACCCAGCCGGAAGACTGGCATCAAAGCCAAGGGTGTTTCGCTTGCCCACAGCTGACGCCATGGGAAAAAACAATCTACTACTGTACAAGTAAGGAGTTCAAGGATCCTCTCACACAGTGCCGGTGGTCTACCAATGACAGGAGATGAACCGGAAAAGTCCTTGACTCGCATGCTGAGATTCAAGATGGATACGAGGACACACTTCGGCAAGGGTGTCGACTCGTTGAGCATGGACCACAACTCCGTGCTTGTTGCATCACGCTCATGCAACCTAAGGACAGCAGAAGCCCAGCAAATTCGGATAGGAAGTCAAAACGAGAAGCCCACTCACCCGATCACAAGGAGCAGGGAGGACTTTTGTGCTAACGATCCACCATTCGCGGCGCACCGCCGTTTACTTGGCGCTGAAGTAGTGTCTTGCGGCCGAAAGAGGATCAATGCAGTTGGGCCGTCACAATCTGTCATCACTGCAACTCAGTCTGCAGGTCGAGTCGAAACAAAGAACAGGAAACGAGCCACCAAGATTCGTGGCGGACGAACACTTGCAATAATCACAAAGTGAACCATGGCCAGTCGCCAACACATAATCCCGCCTGATTGACCGAGCGGTCCAGCTTGCAGGGTCGATCAGTACAAGGAACCAATGATACCTACAGACATTGCAGGAAAGTGTCATTCTGCCATTCAGACACGCCAATTAACTGTGAAATACATTGGTGACCCCGGCCGAGGTTGGACAATTGGTTCCCGCTCACCGGAAATACATCCTTACACGGTAGGCCCCTACGAATAGGTGTTACAGAGCAGCTACTGAATGGTTACTGCCTTGGGGGAAATATCTACTTTGGAGAAAATCGAAGTGCACCTGACTTGTTGTTTGTGTCACCGACACTTGGTTCTGGAATTGCGTCTACATGATGAGACCCTCTGATCACCAGCATCTCAGGGCATCCAATGACAGATCAAGCATCCCGTCAACTATGGTTCTTCGGTGCGAAGATCATACCGCCTGTGGCGGCAGCCCAGTCGTTCTGGCGGTGATGGCTTTACAAGGTACACAATGCAGCAATTGACAGCCCCGCAAATACTGGTTCATTGTCAGGGCTAGTACGAGTAGAGTTTCAACACCTGCAGGTCTGTTCAAGTTGTCGTGGACACGCAATTGTGAAACCAGGACTGACTCGATAACGTGGCTCTGTTTCTGTTTTCCTGCTGTCACCAGGTGAGGATTGTCTTGCGCGACTTGCGGTTCTGAAGTCCTTGATATCGTGAGAAATGCGTTTCCAGAGAAGGATTAACTTAGACAGTTCGAAAATAGGAAGCGAGGTAAATTGAGGAATTCAATATCCCGACATTCAAGGGCACGCACTCATTTGTTCTCATGCCGACGACCACGACTATTTTGCAGAGTACCTAGGTGCCGAGGACAATTCTTCTGGACCTGAAAAGCCTCACTTGGACAACTCAAGGCAAAGAAGGCGCACGTATTCAAACGGCTACACCCACTTCAGTGGGCGTGAGTGGGCTATCACCAATAGCCTAGTGAGCCCCTGCCGAAGAGCATGCTTCTAGATGATCATCAAACACGCCGGTGCAAGCCACGTTTGAAGGAGATCTTAAGCCACAAGCCCTACGAGCACAAGTGCTCCCTACGAAGTATTCGGCACTTTGTTACGGCTCGTCACAGTGCCTATCACTCATTTGCCTGTTAATCAGATGCGTTTCCATTCAGCTCTTGGTGCTCCCACTACCAATCGGGGCCAGACCTGGATCTGGCAGCTTCTAACAGTCATGGTCGACCTACAAGATATTTTGATTCCCGCCCATGCTACGGATCACTCGCACAGAGTACCTATCAGTTCTTTGCGGCTATTCAAAGGGCGGACGGTGTTTGTCTGCACATGAACCAACCCTCTGCAGCCGGTCTGCGCAAGTTCGGGGTAGAAATACCACGGCTCCAGATGTGGCTTGACTATTGGATCCTCCGAATGATCGATATCACCGCCAAGGGTTTGCTGGCCAGCGAGACTCGTCACCCAAAGCACTGGCGAGTACCTCGTACTTGTACGAGTACACAGTATAGGGCAGGCTCCACAGCTTCACTAGCAGGTGCACCTCCCAGGCTCCTAGTGAACGGGCCTTGTCCTTCTCAACTCGCTACCCTAAATCAGTTCGGGTCGTCTTGATTTTTGCGCCACCACTTGCATTTCACTCCATCCCCAATCTAGTTGCAGATGAAGGGTTTCACCTTGCACTCTGCCGACCCACACAAGTCCAACTAGGCTACTCATGTCCTGGCGCTTACTCGTACAAACCTGACAACATCGTGTGCCGCACGGGCAGACACCCCTGAGTCTCTCTGTACATGTACGTACATTGTTTCGACAACCCTGGTAAGCCAGCATTGTGGTGAAGCATTGATGCTGACGCGGAGAATAGTTTTACAAGGTGGATGGCTTGTTCGTGCCCAAAGCATCAAACAGTGCTAAGCCAATTTGGCCGACCTGTTCATGAGAAATATTACCGTTTCTGGGCGCTTCGCCTCGTCCCGGTTCCGCTGCGTGCCGTTTTTGAAGGACCGCAGACGGGTGGCTTGCAAGCCACTAGTCACAAAGACCGGAAAACCGCCAACCGAACTTTGGGAGACAAGAGTTGGACGGGGAGAAAGGGCCGCCAGCTCCCTTCTATCATGAGTAGTTCATCTTCAACATGTGCTTGATCCGAAAATATTGGGCGGTGGAAAAATAAGAGGGTGTAAACAAGCTGCAAGCTCGATATACATGATGTGCATATCATCGCCTGTAAGGCCCAAGTGCCTAGGATGACCAGATGACGAACAAATCTCGTGCCGCCCCTTGCATGGCTAGTTGATCATTATCAACGGTTGTGCAGATGTGGACTGTACATCGATCTGGACTTTGCCTACGACAGTCAAAACACCGTGATCTACCCGAAGAGCCCTCAGAGCGAGCCGACACCCTGACTTTGGATCTTTTTGCACTGTTGGAAGGTTGAGCATGGACCCATCGCATCATACTTGGACACGGCCGTTTCCCAGTAGGACCTACGAATTTCTCCCCCGGAAGCTATACAAGGGACGTTGAAAGAGGGAGTCCTTGCCATGCATTGATGAGTCCTTTCATTCGCACAGGGAAATACTGCAATGTTTTCCAAGGTCATGCGAAGAAGAGTTCTTCCAAGCTGCTGACCTCTGTTGACTCAACCATGAACCAAAAGTCCAGCGCTACGGCTCTAAACCACAGTTTTAGAAAGGGGACTTGCCTTCCCGTCTTTCATAAGGACATACCTTGGCCTGCTGGGAGAATGGATGATGGATCATTGGCATATGCCCTGCTCATAGCGAAAGACATGCCATGCCATCGTGTTCCGCTGAGGATATGAGAGAAGGGACTTAATGGTAGACCCGCGATTTGATCCTGTCCCATCGACTGGCACCATCTTCTCGTGGAATAGCCAACGACCAATTCAAAAAGGAATGACACAGGCATCGCTTCATGCCAAGGGGCCAACGGACGTGGTGGTGGTGATCGAGCAGGCCCGTCACAGCCATGCTGGGTGCTGGTGCATGCCTTGACGCTAGCGAGAAATGCAAAGTGAGCTGCGTTTCTCCATAGAGCTCCGTCTCAGACCATCAGATCGAAGACACGTCGGACGGGTGGCTGGTATAGCTGTGTGGAATAATGTCCTTGCCTCAGAACATCCCATACCCTCCAAGAGCCCGAGACTCGAGGACAATCGAAGGATTTGGTTATTCCATCGCAGTCTGGACAAATGCTCTGGTTTGTGACCCCGTGCCCAGTAACCGTGCTGAGATCAGCGACAGTGTCTCGATATCGATACCCATTCCTTGTTAGGCCAATTCACTCTCTTAATCACTCAATGCACGGTCTTATAATTGAGGCTGCTGGTTTTGCCAGTTCAAGCAGGACAATTCCCCATGTTGACGGCAGAGTTCCTGAATCGCAATGGGCAATGGGACGAGCGCAGGATGCGCGGGAGAATGTGTGCCGGATAGGCGCTCACAGGTAGATGCAGGTCCTTCTCTCTGATATCGAGCTTGATCGAGGTACATCGGCCAAAGATTGTGTTCGTCGAGGGACATAAAGGATGTGGGACTGAGTAGAGAAACTGGTTTGTCGAGGAAGTGCTGTACTCCGTAGTTTAAGTCCAGCTCCACTAATTAGTATGACTGACTGCCAAGGCTCTCGCCGCAGCTCCATCTGCGTCTCCAACTTGAAGTCATTGATTGCGATAGCACTTGCGGCACGGTTCGAGGAGGCTATCTGGTTTTGTGCAGTCCTCGCCATCATTTTCGCTCGCCAGAATCCATGTCGCAGTTGATGTAGCTGACGTCTGTCACTGCTCAACCGGGTTAGACCTGCCATCATGTCCCTGTTCGGTTCCTCGCCTACCGAAACTGCGCCGCTGAATTCCAAGTCTCTCTTTGGCGACGAGCCTGTACAGAAACCTTCGACATCGTCTCTCTTCGCCGATGATGGAGGTGACTCTCCATGGTCAATGCCTACTCCCAAGAAATCGGCGCGACAAAACCTGGTCAAGAATCTTCTCCCCGCGACCGACGTGCCGGAGAGCTACGTTGATGCATACGACGCCGTGTTACATGCCAATGAGAGGACTGGAGTTGGTATTGGCTTAGCGGGCATCAAGCGCCTTCTGGAGAGCAGCAACCTCAGTGAGCAGGAGCAAACAAAGATCTTGAATTTTGTGATACCGGGAGGCCAGGAAAGTGCCAATGGAGTCGGTAGGAGCGAGTTCAATGTCTTGCTCGCTCTCATCGGATTAGGCCAAGAGGGAGAAGAAATCACTCTCGATGGCGTAGACGAACGGAGGAGAAGTGAGTCTACAGCTCCCCATAACTTCATGCGCAATACTGACTCGGTCCAGAACTGCCTGAGCCCCGAATTGGCTACTTGGATGAACTACGGTCGCACAGCGCCCGACCGCAGCCGCCCTCCCCCCCAGCAGCCAGAGCGACTCCAATCAGACCACAAAAGCCTCGAGAAGACTCGTTTGGGACCGACCCAACCTCAGACCCATGGGCTAGTCCGTCAAACAACAGACTACCACCACCCTCCACTGCCGCTCACACCATGTCTATCAACGGGGCCTCTGTCGAGAGCGCTAAGAGCGTCCCGAATGGCGTTACAAGAACAACGAGCGCTTTCACGACGGAAGGTAGCCCGGGCAGCAGTAACGGAAGTCCCACAAATGAGCGTTCATCCGAGAGTGCGGGCACTGGGTGGAACAGCTACAATGGCAATTCGGGAGGCTTCTCGGAACAACCCACCCTCGGCGGAGGATTCGGAGACCCTGGAGATAACCGGCAATCGAATCGACAAGACCCAGAGCCACGCAGTGCTATCTCGCAAAGTATCAGTCTACCAGCTGGGACGGGGGAGAGCGTCACGATAACAACACTGCCAGAAAAGGAGGGAGTGTTCCTGTTTCAGCATCGCAATTATGAAGTCAAGACCGCACGGAGAGGCAGCAGCGTTGTTAGGCGATACAGTGACTTCGTTTGGTTGCTTGATTGCTTGCAGAAACGCTATCCTTTCAGGCGCTTACCCCTGTTACCTCCCAAACGGGTTCAAGGTAAGAATTCCATGCTCTGGAGAGATTCCAGCTGATCCGAGTGACCAGTGAATGGGGCTCATCTCACTGCAGATGCGACTGTCTTTTTGGAGAAACGTAGACGAGGGTTGGTCCGATTCACCAACTCACTCGTGCAACATCCGGTTTTGAGCCAGGAGACACTTGTGGTGATGTTCTTGACAGTACCAACAGTATGTGTTCATGTACCCGCTCCACCGTTACGCGAGAAAAACAGCTGACATGGTTTTCCAGGAGCTTGCAGTCTGGCGAAAACAAGCCACTATATCAGTTCAAGAAGAATTTACTGGCAAGGTTTTGCCACCAAGTTTGGAAGACAGTCTCCCGTCTAATCTTCCCGAACTTTTCGACCAAGTGCGGGCAGGAGTGCGGCGTTCGGCGGAGGTCTATATCAGCCTTTGCGTATGGATGGAACGGTTGGTCAAGCGCAACGAAGGACTTGCGTTGGACAGTTTGAAGTTCTCCAATGCACTCTCTCATCTCACCGAATGCAGCAACGACACCTATGCGATTGATCAGAATGATGTGCCGCTTCTCAATGAGGGCATTCAGTCCACGGCCAAACACCTTGCCACAACTCAGACATTGCTCGAAGACGAAGCCAAAGCTTGGGACACAGGAGTTCTTGAGGATCTCAAATCGATTCGCGACAATTTCGTGTCTATGCGGGATCTGTTTGATCGACGAGATCGATATGCGAGAGACAACATTCCCCAACTTGAGCGGCGTATCGAAGCATCCGAAAATAAATTGCAGCAGTTACGGCAAAAACCACCGGGACAAGTGAAGCCAGGAGAGATCGAAAAGGTGGAAAGCAGCATCATGTCCGATAAGGAAAGTATAGTACAGCAACATGCCCGCGGTGTCTTCATCAAGGAATGTGTGCGGGACGAGATTGTGACATTCCAGACGACCATCTACGCCATCAGCCGTATGCATCAAGACTGGAGTCAAGAGCGGGTCAAGTATGCAGAACTACAGGCCAGCAATTGGCGCAGCTTGGTCGACCAGGTGGAAAGCATGCCGGTTGGAGAATGAGTTGGTATTTGAGCGAGGCTGAGAACCCAGGGGGATCAAGGAGTTGGGAGCCCTGTACTTTTTCCGTATCATTCCCCCTCAAGTACTGCGTATTAGTATATCAATCGGCGCATCTATAAGCAGTGAGCGCCAGCAATACGTAATGTTCCTACGCCGGTGAATGCACGAACTGGTTCTTCACTCCATGGGTTCAGAAAGGCTGACATTTTGGTGACAGCCTTGTGCGATGGAAATTCTGCCAGTCTTGTCCAACAGACGTTGTCATCTCTGGCAGTCTGACGTGGTCAGGGTATATTTCCCCCTGTCTGTTGCTCCCGTTAGCCTCTAGCCCCGATCCATTCCGCCCTCTGGTGTCGTTCAAAGACGCGTTGGCAGATGATTGATCAGGCTGAGACCTGGGAGCGCAAGGCAGCCAATCAGAGGCCGGCACACGTCGGCCTTGGCGGTTTCAAAGTGTTTACCCACTGCGTCGCGCCCGCAGCATTTGTGCATCTCCTCCCCCATCACTGTTTCTCTAGAAGTTCCCTCATACTGGCTTCTGTATAATTCATTGAACCCTCTGGTCTCTCAGCTGTCGATCCCGCCTGCAAGCCATTGGCGGAAGGGAGAGAAAAAAACCACTCCACCGCCCCTTTTCCCGACGATCATCCCGCATCCCGCCTCCGCCTCCCGCATCGAGCCAGCCTCGTGCTAGCGACAATGGAGCAGCAGGTCCTCCATCTCCTGCAAGCGACGACCCGACCAGATACATCCGTCATTAGAGATGCCGAGCAAGGGCTTCTTCGGCTTTACCCCCAGGCAGAGTTTCCTTTTGCGCTCCTGACGATTGCTTCGCACAATGATGTCGAGCCCAGCTCTCGCAAGGCTGCATTGACAGCTTTAAAGAACTACGTCTCGGCCACGTGGTCGCCGCAGTTTGACGAGACCTTTGCAGGAAACGTGTATCTCAATGACGAGGCAAAGTCCAGCGTCCGTGACCGGGTCTTCGCCATCTGCACGCTTGCAGGCGAGGAAGCACCCAAGGACGCAAGTATCCAGGCGCTAGCAGCGGGTGTCGCCAGCAAAATTGCCAGTGTTGACTTTCCCGATGCGTGGCCCTCGCTGCTACCCTCTCTACTCACAATCCTGAATACCTCGACAGATGATGCGCCGATCCACGGCACGTTACGCGTCCTCTCCGAACTGGTTGACGAGGGCTTGACAGACGAACAGTTTTTCTTGGTTGCCCGAGATCTCGTCAATGCCTTACAGCACGTTGCGGTTGATAACTCTCGCAGTCTGATAGTGAGAGCCATGACTCTCAATGTCTTCAGAGCTTGTTTTGAGATGCTGGAGATGGTTATGGCCGATCACGGAGCGGCAGTGAAGGCCTTTCTGAACGAGTCGCTGAAGGCGTGGATGCCGTTCTTTATGGAAACGCTGAAGCAGCCGCTGGACCCTACGATGAAACCTGATGACGCATCATTCCGGGGCATTGTCGCCCTAAAAGTTCAGGTTGTAAAGGTACACTACTCCATAGAGCTCGAGAAATAGGAGATTTCGTGGCTAACGAGTTACAAGACACTCGACAAACTCCGACAGGTCTATGCGCAGGCTCTCTCTCCAGATGTGTTGGCACTGTTCCAGATCGTCTGGGAGGAATTGGACAGGGTTGCTGCGATCTATGCTCAACTCTATATCGACGGCACTGCCGAAGGCAAACTCGTCGACAGCGACAATCTACCTTGTAGTCTGGACGCCCTTGTTCTTGAAGAACTCGACTTTTTACAAGTTACTATTCGAGCCCCGTCCGTACGCAAAGAGCTTACCGCGCAGATGCAGCAACTCGGCGAAGCGCAACACACGGCACCCTGGCTACAAGAACTGATCCGCGTTCTGGTCCTGTATGCCCGGGTTCCGAAGGAGGAAGAAGGCTTATGGGAATACGACTCCAACTTGTATCTCTGCGAAGCAACATCACTCACAGCAAATTACACGCCGCGGGCGGCATGTGCGGAGCTGGCAGTGCGGAGCTTGGGCGAATGGCTGAAGCAGACTCCCATAGCGGCAATGTTGTTTTTCAAGCAGCAGAACCTGTCGGGCCAGACATCAGCTTGGAAAGAACGCGAAGCACTTGTCTATCTCCTGAACCAATGCCTTAAAGACATCGACGAAACCGATGGGAAGCTTACTCCTCAAAATTCTTCTGCGGTGGTCGAGGGACTTTCAGATACACTCCAACACCCAAATCCCTTTATGCGGGCGGCAGGGCAAATGGCCGCAGCGTGCTTCTTCAAGGTTGCCAGCGGCGAAGAGTTCCTCGCCGCCGGCGCTGTCGCGTTCACGAATGCTGTGACGGCCTCGTCGATGGACGAATCCGACCTCGTTAAAGTCGCCTGCCTCAGCATTCTTCACGACTACATCGAAGCCCTTTCACCGTCCGTGACACGGCCGATGCAAAATGCAGTGATCAATGTGGTGGGCGAATACATCTCCTCACATGACCTTCGCGATGAGCTCGAAGACGCGGACGACGTCAAAGCTGCGTTGATCCAACTCCTGCGTGACGCCATCATGCTGGATACATCCACGATAACTAGTGAAGGGAATAATGCCATTGACTTGTTCTTCACACTGGCATCAGACGGGGCGTCAAATTTCCAACTCTTCACCCTCCTCACTGAGGCTTTTGAATCGATCGTCTCATCGGTGTCTTTGTCTGGGCAAGAACCGTATGTGCGATTGTGCGCAAAGACCATCCCATCCCTAACGGGTGCATTCGACATCGCCAACATGACTCAGGAATCTGCATTGACGAATCTCGCGGCGGAACTCGTCTCTGCACTCGCCGAGTTTGGATCCGACCCTCTACCTACTGGCTTCGTGCAAGCTGTGATGCCAAAGCTACAACGAGTACTTATGGAAGCTGTTGAGCCTGAGCTTGTGCGCCCAGCCACCTTGGCACTTAACCACATGCTGTCCAAAGGTACACAGCAGTTCTTGTCCTGGACGGACTCTCAGGGGAAGTCTTCGGTCGAAGTGACACTGACCATCATAAATCGCCTGCTCAACTCCCCCGATGTAGACGAGAATGCGGGTCAAGAGGTCGGTGGGCTTGCGTCAGTATTGGTCACCAAGTTCGGAGCAGACAAGCTCGGACCATACCTGATGGATCTGCTGCGAGCGGTAGCTATTCGCCTGGCCACGGCGGAGAGAATACAATTTATCCAGAGCCTGTGTATGGTTTTCGTGGGGCTCTCCCTGGCGGCTCCAAAGGAAGTTATGGATTTTCTGAACGAGGTCAACATCAACGGCTCTAACGGGCTGAATGTGGTCTTGACAAAGTGGCTTGAGAATTCTGTGCACTTTGCCGGGTTCGACGAGGTGAGACAGAACGTGGTAGCGCTGTCGAAGATCTTTGCACTGCACGATCCCAGAGTCCACGCCGTGAGTGTCAAGGGGGATCTGATCGTGGATCCTCGGTCAAGCGGACGCATCAAGACGAGATCACAGGCCAAGCTGAACCCCGATCAATGGACGCAAGTCCCGGCCGATCTGAAGATTTTGAAGATCATGGTCGACGAGCTCGCCAATGCCGCGACCTCGAGATTTCCCAATCTGGCGGCCGCTCAAGCCGCCGCTCAGGGGCTGGATGAAGAGGACGAAGACGCAGAAGACGCCGATGACTGGGAGGACGTCGGCTCGGCGGGCGCCATTGACCTGGCCAGTGCGAGCGTGCGCAACGAGCTGATGGCCCTCGTGGGGATTTCTGGCGACGGCACCGACGACCGAGACCTCAGTCCCACGGGGTCCCGAGCCCGAGACGAAGAGACGGTCGACTACTTGTTGCAGTGGTTCAAGAACGAGGCCGGCCACGACGGGTTCGCCGCCTTGTTTGAACTGCTGAATGAAGACGAGAAGAGCAAGTTGAGGGAATTGGTCGCGTGAACATATTTTTTTCCAAGATCTAGATGTCCCACTCTTAGAGAAGGAAGAAATCATCTCCATCCTTTCCCAGGTTTCCCAGGTTCCTCAGGGAGCATTTCTCGGTTTTTAGATGTGCATCGGCGGAAGGGGGGATGGGGAAGGCTTTGTCTACACAACCACCACTATTACTACTCCTATTAATACTGCTGGCCTCAGGCGTCTACATACCCAACATATACATACCTCGGGTATCTATCCACCTCCTTATTTTACCTATTTTACCTCAGAGGGGAGGGTGTAAACAGTTTGTGTATACGTAGAACGGTGACCCATGGACGTTGGATTTCTTGGGGAATGCGACGGGAATTTCTCGATGTTCTTCGAGTGAGTGAATGAGCGGGTGAGTTTACTGAGTAGAGGATGAGGATTTGATTTCCATGTCAACCGTGTCTATCTACCTACACAGTATGTACCCCATCACCGCTTGGCCTCTTCACCTCTTTACCACCGGAGCAGTCCTCTGCGCCCCGAACTTTTCGTGCCATTTCCGCTTCTTCTGGCTCTGGCTCTGGCTCTGAGCCTGCGCGTCCTTTGCGAGGCTGCCCGCCACGCCGGAGGAAGGAGATGCGAATCTCAGGACTTGCACACCTTGGTCGTCCCGCGCCACACTGACGCCGTCGACGGACGATGACACCGGTCCTGAGATGTCGCAGTTCACGGCCCAGGAGTCCGGAAGCAGCTGTGTCCACTCGGAGATGAATTCGTCGACGCGCAGTACCAGTCCCCCTTGGGCAGGAGACGAGTCGGCGGAGGAGTTTGAGACAAGAAGTGACCGTTTCCGGGCGTGGGACGAGAGGAGCCACTGTCCGACCACTTCTCGGCTGAGGCTGGGGTTGAATTTTAGCTTTGTATTGAGGAATTGTTCCTCACTGATCGAGTCGAGACTGCTCGGGTCCATGTCGAGTAGTGAGGGGACATCACAGGTTTGGGGGTCCCGTCCGTGGTCTGCCACCTCATCTGTAAATCGGCGTAGGATGGCTAGCGTGACATTCAGAGCCAGAGCACGTCCTGTGTCCGTCTCTTCTGCTTCTGCCAGCCCGTCAAGCACAGCACGGAGGCTCTCTCCAGGCAGGACGTGGCCGTTCTTCTCGAGGTTGACGCCTGAGATGGTACATTGCTGTAGGAAGTCCTTCCAGCGCCGAAGTAGCAAGGTTGGCGTGGGTAGGTAGACCATCTTCTTGTCTTCCTCGCCCTTTGGCGCTGTCGGCGGGGGCAGCTGGAAGATACACGACTTCCTCATCACATCCCGGATCAGCCTCGTCGGAGCGGGAATGTTGTCCAGCACGTTGCTCAACGATACCCCCTCGGACCCATTCAACCTGGTCCCATTGCCTATACGGCCTCGGTCAAGAGGATCGACATCATCATCCACGTCGTGATGTAGGGGTGTCAATTCATGAACTCTTCCCTCAATCTCTCGTTCGTCCGGTTCCACCTTGATCAACTCGAGAACATTTCTGACTTGTGCTCGTGTCGTGATACCACCACCTCTGGTACTGGAACCAGCAGCCTTGGTCAAGGTAGGCCCATCACCATCCTCATCCGCACCAGCCATAGAGGTGTCTCCGTATCCGCCTTCATCTTGGCCTTTGTCGTTGGCCCGCGGTCCGTGAGACAAGTAACTCGTCTGCGTGATGTAGACGCTGTTACTCGTGCTGACCTGCTTGACAGCCCAGATCTTGTCGTCGGTGCAGAGATGAAGAAACCCTTCTTTTCCCTCGGTGTCCCGCGCGGACGGGATTCCTCCTACGCCGAACCCTTTCTGTAGTAGTCGCTGTCCCTGTCCCTGTCCCAGAGTTGGAGGGCCAATGTCCACTGACGACTTGAACCATAGTTTCCGCCTCTTACTCGGATTCTTAATCTGCGTCTCCACATCGTCGAGCAGCTCAGGCGGTAGCTCCAGTAGACGGAGGCTCTGGTGCGGGAACATGGAGGAGACGGGAACGGGAGGGAAGGTCAGAGGTTGTGAGGACGAGGTCGTGGACATGGTGCTGTCTATCTCCTCTATCGACTATCCAGGCTCTGCGAAGTACGTTGGAATAAACGAGTTACTCGCCGAATGGTCTGATGGGGTTAACTCCTAGGTTGGTTGGCCATGACCATGACCGGTGTATCGTTGCACTATGCATTATAGTGTGCGTTGGACTTGGGGTTTAACGCGTCCAAATTGAGACGCGTCGCGGCACCGCAGACAAACGACGTCATTCCTCCTCTCGCCCATCACCATTGGCGACAAACGACCACCACCATCACCACCTTGAAGGCATTTGACAATAGTCACCTACACGCATTTCCCATGCCATAGCCGACAAAGATGGCATGTTTCAACTCCTCGCCGAGACGTTGGACGGAGATGGATTGCTGCGTTACTTTTCTTACATGTCCTCACGGCGGCCATTAACCACCGGAAGCAACCATATTCCTCCCTAATAAAATGACTGATCACTGAACAAGCAGTGTCAGCCGCTGGTCATCTCTCAAAAAGATATTGTGTACAGGTGACAAAAAGAGCCTCCCACCAACAGAGAGGTTGCCCAAAATACCTGACCCCGGAAATGGTCGACACACACAACGCCGCCAACTCTCGTCCATGTATGCATCATGCTTTGGCTCAAGATGTTTGGATCGCTCGCTTTCTATCCCATATCCCATGATCCGTTATCTGTTGCTTTTTTCCTGAATTCCATGATCCTCTACCCGAGACCGCTGTATCGTTGAGCTCGACAGGTAGCCACCCACGAGCAATGGTTGTTGCATTAAAATCCCATTCTTCGTCCACTTCAGCTATCGTCGTCTCCAGATTAACCAGCAGGAGCCTTTTTCTCGCCCTTGTTGACCAATTTCACACCTTCCTTCTTCGGGGCGACGGCTGCCATGGCTTCTTTGTCCTCCTCCCATTGAGAGCCCACCTGTTGGAACTCGTCTTCGAGTTTCTTGACCTGTTCGGCGTTTTCTGTTTCCTGCTTTTCACGTTCCCGTTTCTCACGCTCCATTTCCTCCATGTGCCGGATGTCATCCACCGAGGGTTCGTACAAATGCCACACGGTATAATGTGGAAGCCCTACCACAGAAAATCCCATGCGTCGGGCCATCTTTCCGAACCCTTCTGTCTCGGCGTGCCTTTCGAAGGAGAAGGCCGGAAAATGTACGCCAGCACGGAATACCCGGGCTTTGGCGAGGATAGAAACTCCGCCAACACCGTCCAGTTCCATCTCGACGTCAGGGTCTCCGTAGGGGTCGCGGAGGTAGGCCAGATGAGGGCGCCACGTAGCATACTCTGCATAGCCTTCAACAATGACAGCATCTTCGTCCAGTGATTCGGCGAGGGCAATGGCGGTCTCGGATTCTTGCCACGAGTTGAGATCGTATGGTTGTTCACCACCCAGCCAATCAGGTAGGGGCCGCCAGATATCTGTTCATTCCTGTTAGTTGGAGACACGACATGGATGCCACTCAGCTAGACTCACTCGGCACAATTACATCCTTGTCATGCCGCATGAGATCCTCGATAATGGTGAATGGACACGTCTCGACGTCTGCATCACGCCAATAGACCCAACTATGGTATGGTCTCAGAGCCGCACTGAGCAGCCAGTTCCGTGCCCGCGCCATCAACTTTCTTCGGCTGGCTTGAGCCGCAAAGCCATGTCTGCTTTCCACATCTTGACCGACGGCCTGTCCAAAGTCCTTGTGTATCACCGAAATCTCGCCATACGGCTGTGAAGGATCCGGGTCGGCTTGCAGTGCTTCCAGCATTTGGGACAGCAATTCTTCGGTGTTATCCTTGGAATCGGAAACGAGAAAAGCTAGGTCAATGAGGTGATGTGGATAGGTGAAGTTTCTTAGATGGGCGAAGAACATCGGTAAATGGGGTGCGGCGTCTCGCAGGGGGGTGCAAAGGAGGACACGTTCTTCCCTCTCCCAACCCACCGACGTTCCCTGGACATCTTCGAGATCGTAGTACCGCAGCGTCTCGATATCATCGTATTGAAACGAAGGGCTCGATTTATTCGACAATAACGACAAAGTGGAGTCGGAGGGAAAGAACAAGTAGAAGGCTAGGGAGCATGTCACCAGGACAATCAAGGCCAGCCGGATCAGGCGAGACCGGGTGTGGAGGGCTCGTTTTCGAGGCTCGAATTTTCGTGTAAAGGAAGAATCCACCTTCTCGTCCTCGACCAAATCTGGCAGACCCCAAATATACTTGCTTTCGAGGTCGGAGCGGTCACTGTATGGACGATAGATGTCGTCATCTCGTTTCTTGTTGGCGGCGTAGCCATTGGTAAAGGCGTGATGCCTGTTCATCACTCCAACTCATCACAACCCCCTCAACCTTGTATCTCTGGTGTGGTTCAGCTCTTGAAGTGGCGGCCGTGTGGGAGGACGTGATTCGGTAACAGGAGGTGGCTGCGGATTGAGAAAATCGGGGATGGCGACAACTTGTTTAGCAGGGGCTCAGATTTGAAATTTGGCCAGCTGAGCAAGAGGAGGACACGATGAAAAGGGAGGCGGGTCTGAGGGTAACAACGAGAGAAGTTGAATCGAAGGCGTGGTGGGTTTCTGGAAGGGGGAGGTCGGGGAAGGATGAAGCCAGGTGTGAAAGTCTAAGGAACTACGAAGTCGGGGCGTCGTTTGTCAGGGTACGACAAAAGAAATGGGAATTTCGAGATGCTCGGGACAGGTCAAGGGAATTCCCAATGGATGGATGGTGAACTAGTTGTACCGCAGTCCGCCGCAGGGGAAACCTGTCACATTTTCAGCTGCACATGAATCCACAAGGCATCGATGCGAGTCTGCAGGGCCGCAGTTTGTCCCCAGAAAGGGAAATTCTGTATGACATGACGCGGCCAGCGACACCGAGTGCGGATGGTGGTGCAGCTATTTTCAAACAGGGCAGTCTGTATTTATTGTCTGCACATCTACATGAATGAAGAGAAGATTCGAGTCCGGCTCAGCATCTGTCGTCCGTCTGAACATGTCTATCTACGGTAACACAGCATGCTAGAAATTACGCCAGTCAAGATGCCACGATGCATGAGGCTCCCGCAGGCAAAAATATCGTGTCTGACAAAAAAAGATGCTACAGTCACGTACTTCAGTATCTAGACAATGTCACCCAGTCACTGTTACGACTACATACTCGGCTATCAGATATAGAGGTCTCCCTTTTCCTGTTTTCAATCAACAGGATTGGGTATGTCTGATCTGATGGCCACTTGGCCAACGATGGCAGTGCTTGGGTGCTTCAGGCCACCAGTCCACTTCTGGGCTTTGATCTTCTAATACGATGTCTTTCTGCGAATTTACGTTGTGCATGTTGCTTTACTCCCGCAGACATCCGATGAAGGATTGAATACACTACCACTTGTACGGGAATCAACCAGAGACCGCCCACGACCGTCCAGTCCGCATCGACATGTCTTTGCGTGAGCAGCTCCTCGCCACAGCCAAACGATACCTCGACGCACACAACCAGCGCGACTTTCCTACCATCGCTGCTTGTTGCACCCCATCCTGTACCCATCGAGGTGGACCTTCTTCGGTTAAGGGCCCGACTCGCAACAACGACGAGTATGTTGCATTCAATGTCGAGGTCTTCAAGATGATGCACACCTACCATGCCGAGATGACGGAAGCCATTGTCGACGAGACCACGCGCAAAGTTGCCCTGTTCTTGCACGCCAAAGCCACTGCGGACGCTGGCGAGTATGACAACGAGTATATCATCACGCTAACCATGAGCGAGGATGGGAAGTTGGTGGACGATCAGTATGATTTTATCGACAGCCACACCATGATGCAGTGGATAGCCAAGCTGGGCAATTTCGGACAAGAAACATGGGAGAAAAAGTGAAAAAGCTTCGATAAGGACTGGGCAGATGGTTCTAAACAAAAACATACCTCGGACATGCATTGCGTGCATACCTACCTACATCACCTCATTCTTTACCACGACTGCGCTGATTCCTTATTCTGCCTGCGGCTCTAGATGACGTACTGGGCACCAGGAAAACCAAAAAGAGAATTAGACATCGGGTTTTCGTATCCGTCAGAAGTTTTTCTTCCGCCTCGACATTCTCTCATTTGGCCGTCGCCTACAAGCTTCGAGCACACCATTTTGGTATCAGCTTGCTCAATCGATATCCATTTCAAATAGTAAAGCTTTGGTGTGAGCTCACTGCTCCTCTCTGGACCCATTTTGTCTTGTGTTCATTCCCACCGGACCGCCACCACCGCCACCAGCTCCCGAACCCCCTAGGAATTCTCCTCGGCAGACGCAATAGGGAACCCCTCCAGCGTCACCCAGTCAGAACCATAGTGGCGGAGAGTGATAGATCCCTAGGCAAACACAAGAACAGAGGGCATTTCATCCTGCTGACGGCGAAACGGCCGACCCTACAACCAAACTGAAAGAGCTTTTCCCTCGTCCGCCTCTTGTATCTCATTGGGTCCCTGTGCCCTCAGCCGTCCCGCATCCCGCGCTGCTTGGCCTCTCCAAGCCTCTCCCAAGGCCTTGAATCTCCTCCCGCTTAACCTTATCCCATCTTGGCCCTATCACCAGTGGGTCGATGGTGGCTCTGTGGCTTTTGCTGTTTGCTCTGCTTGGACGATGGATCGCCAGCACCACGCCTGTGTCGTCACTATGCCTGCTGGCGTTTGTGATTCCTACCCTACCTTGCCTTGTCGCGCGCATCAGGGCCACCCAGACGACATGCACAAGGGTTCGTTCTCCATACTTTGGCCTCATGTTGCTTGACTGCATGGCTGTCCCCTCCCCATCCTTGACTTTTCGTCTAAGCTTTGCTTGCCCTGTTACGTTGGCATGCTTAGTTTTTCCGTCCTCGCACCCCCATCACAGCATTGTCGCATAAAGGTGCATTTTCCTCACTGCAGCACGCCCCGATCTTTCGCTTCTTACTCTCGGGTCTTCTCTTCTCCTTTGGCAGCTGGTATTCCCAAAACAATCACATGCAGGCGATAGCTCGTCTCAGTCCTGATTCTCTGTATTTCACCTGTTTTATACGGGTCATTCGCGCGATCAAGTGGCGTTGATCCATTTCATTGAACCATTCGCAACTACATTAAAACTGGGACTGGAAGGGCCACCGACGCAAAAATGTCCGAGACGTATGAAAAGAGGGAGCCCGCCTTTGGCGAGGGCAACGTCCTCAAGCCCGATGAAGCCATTGATATAGAGGCGAGGCGTGATTCTACCATGGTCCATGGTCGCAAAATGAGTAGAATCGGCCCGCCTCCGAGGATTGGTTCCTTGCCCGATACTTCGGGATCTGACGATGAATATGGCAAGCTGGTCGCAATGGAAGCCAACGATGCCATCAAGTATCGGACTTGCTCCTGGCAAAAGGTTATTCATAGTTCCATGCCCAACAGATTGTTTACATAGTGGCTGACGACAAGGCAGACTGCCGCTTTACTCTTCTCCGAGTATATTTGCCTGGCCATCATGTCATTCCCTTATTCATACTCGATCCTCGGGCTGGTGCCCGGTATCATTCTCACGGTTGTTCAAGCCGCTTTCGTCCTCTACACGTCTCTGGTGGTTTGGGAATTCTGTCTTCGACATCCTGAGACTCGAGACGTCTGCGACATTGGACAGATGCTGTTTTGGAACTCGAAATGGGCGTGGTACTTTACAGCGGTCATGTTCATCTTGAACAACACTTTCATTCAAGGGCTCCATGTTCTCGTCATTTCGCGCTATCTCAATACCATGAGTGGTATGTATTTTTTTTTGAGTATCTATAGTTTTGATGGAGACTGACCCCGTTCTAGGCCACAGCGTTTGCACCGTGGGCTTTGCAGCCATCGGCGCCGTCGTCTCGTGGGTTTGTTCCATGCCCCGTACCTTCAGCGCGCTGTCGAAACTTGCCGCCTTTTCTGCCTTCTTCACTTTTGTAAGTGTCATCCTTGCTGCTGCTTTCGCCGGCGCAGAGGGCAAGCACGGTACAGCTGGCTACAATCCCGATCCGAACCACGTCAACGCGGCGGGTGTGAAACTCGGTGGTGAGCCGCTGGTCCTTGCGGTGCCTATGGCCGGGACAACGTTTGTTGCAGGGATGAATGCCTTCCTGAACATCAGCTACACATTCATCGGACAAATCACGCTGCCGAGTTTCATTGCCGAGATGAAGAACCCTTATGATTTCCGCAAGGCGCTGTGGCTCGTCACCATCTGCGAAATCATTTTATTTAGTCTCGTTGGAGGCATTGGTAAGACCTTTTCAGCTCTAAGCCATCCGCAACGAGAAAGAATACTAACTCACCTCTTCCCGTAGTCTATGGCTATACCGGAACTCAGTACAACACGGCGCCCGCGTTCGGCAGTCTGGGCAACGACATCTACAAGAAGGTCTCGTTCTCGTTCATGGTCCCGACGCTCATTTTCCTCGGCGTACTCTACGCCTCCGTGTCGGCGCGGTTCGTGTTCTTCCGCCTCTTCGACGGCACGCGACACAAGTCCTCGCACACGGTTGTGGGCTGGGTGTCCTGGGCCGCCATCCTGGCCGCGACGTGGGTCCTGGCCTTTATCATTGCCGAAGTCATCCCCTTCTTCGCCGACCTGCTGTCCCTGATGAGCAGTCTGTTCGACTCCTTCTTCGGCTGGATCTTCTGGGGTGTTGCGTACCTGCGGATGCGGCACGCGGATCTGGGCCCGGGCTTCTGGAGGAAGAGGGGCATTCGCGGGTGGATTGGGTTCCTGATGAACATCTTCATCATCATCGTGGGGGTCTACTTTTTGGGCGTGGGCACTTATGTGAGTATTTGACTTTCCTTTGCGTGGTCCCTTGTTCGAGCAGACTATCGGAAGGACTTCATTAGTGGATGAATATTCATGTGCGAAGAATCGAGGAGATTACTAACGTGTGATCAATGCGGTATAGGCCTCTGTCGACAGTATCGTCTTGGATTATGAGAACGGCAACGTCCGCGGCGTCTTCACCTGCGCCGACAATTCAGTCTAGACACAGTTCTCCTGCCCCTTTAGTTACAATACCGATCATCGGAATGGGCGTATTTGAACAAATTGGAAAGGATCCACCAACCAAACAACAATCGACACCGGAAAAAGATGGCAGACCAGAAGAGGGCCTGGATATAATGTATCGAAGACTTGACATGTAGCCTTGGAAGATCACTCACTCACTCACTCACTCACTCACTCTCCAGCACAGCAACAAGGCAACAAGAAAACCCCCAACAGACAGACAGACCCCGCGACGGGAAGAGATCCGAATTCGACAAGACAAGACAAAGACATGTGGTAAAATCAACTATACTATCTATACTCTCTATACATGTAATAAGTCGCGTGAAATGCGCGAAATTGCGTGAAAAATCCCCCAAAACCGCAACCAAGTCTTTACGCCGCAAAACAACGATAGGAAATCAAAGAATTCGGAAGGAAATCTAGACCTGGGGGGAACAAAAAACGGGTTCTTTGGAAAAGAAAAAAAAAAGTAAGAGAAAAGTAATCATGCACGTACGTGTTCAATAGGGTACTAAGTAAAGTCGGAATTTGTATCGATTAATTGTCGGATGAGTAGGCTGAGAAAGTATTCTAGTACACTTGGGTCATGGATGGTATGGTATGGGATGCGATGCGATCTGAGACGAATGATACACAACACAGTGATGCGATAGTACCGAGCGAGTACGGATGGATACGTGCAGACATATCGGTCGCTACCTGTCTACCCAGGGTATGCACCTCTGTATGTACTCCTGCAAAAGCCAGTCTTTCAAGGTGTCACGTCTAGACATCCTCGTCCTCGTCGTCCTCGAGCATCTTCGCATAGTCTTCCACCGAAGCAAAGGTGAGAAGGTTCTTCAGCTTCGACCGTGCCGTCTTCTTGGGGTTCTTGCTGCGGCCATGGTCCTCGTCCTCTTGTTGTTGGTGCTTGCCCTTCTTCTTCTTCGCTGCAGGTTGTGCGGCAGCGCTGTCCGAGTCGAATCCTGCAAAGTCGGAGCCGGCGTCGTCAGAGTCGGCCTCCTCAGCGTCCACCATGAGATCATCCTCGTCCTCGTCGAAGAATGCGGGATCGATGTCAACACCCTCATCATCATCATCGTCATCACCGCCCTCCAACCCGCTCAGGTCCCCGTCTTCAACTGCTCCGTCGTCATCCGATTCCAAATCCGCCAGGTCGAGGTCCACATCATCATCGTCCTCGAACTCGTCACCCTCTAGATCTGGCGCACTCTGCATCATAGCCTTCCAGATTTCATCCTCGTCCGCGTCCGACTCGTCCACGTCGTCGTCGGCATCACGTCTCTTCTTCTTCTCCCCCTTCTGCTTGTCCTTCTTGTCGCCCTTGCTCTTCAGACTCGTAAAGTATTGGTGGAAGAAAACATCCTCGGCGGCAACGTCGTCGCTCTTCTTCAGCCTGAACTGCTCGCTGTTCACTGGCATGTCCTTCTTCCCGTTCACCGTTCCCGCAATGAGGACAGCGTGCGAATTGTCCGTCGCCATGGGTTGCATGATGCTGCTCCCTCTGAGACCCGAGCTCGATAGCTTCGGGTTGCGGTACACAAAGCGGTCGAGGAAGTGCGAAAGCGTGTGTAAGGTGAGATCAGGTTTCCCGGGGAGAGGCTGGTGGCGCAGTACGTGGTCGGCGCTGACCGAGACAGAAGGATGGAAATGGGCGAGAAAAGGGAGGACTTCCCAGAGACATGCGTTGTCGGCGTTGGCATGTTCTGGGGCGCGTTTGTGGGCGTCGTAGACATGTCCTCGCTGCGACTGCGCTGATTCCGAGACACCATTCGTGGCACCTGAATCAGTTGGTTTCCCATCCTCTTCATCCACGACATCCCGAAATACCTCAACGTCGTCTCCTTCGTGATCCTCTGGCTCGTCGGTCAAGGCCTTCAGCGAAGGAAATGTCTTCTCGAGATCTTGAATCAAGAAAAAAGCGCCACAGATGAAAGGCGGTTCATGCAGACTCAAGACCTGCACAAGCCGTTTGACAAACGCCTTTACCCTCTTCACGCTCAAGTCTGCCTTGAGAGCACGGTGTAGCAAGTTGAGGTAGAGTTGTTGCTTCGACGCGGTGATCAGGCGCTGATCTAGAAGAGATTCGTATAATACTCGATAGAAGCGGTCACTTGACGCTTTGTGCTGTGACGAATGGGAGATCTGTTGGATGAGCAAGAGGGATTGGATGCTCGTATTGAAGTTCGCCGAGTGGGCGATTCTGAAGAGCGTGTCGAGATGATCGGAAAACGCTGTGGTGCTATTGCCGCTGTTGCTGGTATAAGGGTATGCCCGATTGACGCCAGTGAGGATCGCCGAGATGAGTTTCTCGCGAAGTTCCTCAGCCTGGTGTTGGCCACGTTGCTCCTGGACCTTTCTGTTCTTCTTCCTGCGACCTCTGCCCTCCACAAGGTTTGTATCAGGTTCGTCCTTTGCGGACCCCTTGTCGGTTTTTAAAAGGTCAGTAAACAGTCCAAAATAGATGTCGAGTAGCTTCGTCGCTACATCTTCCTCCCTTGCACTCAACACTGTCTGGTTGAGAGTAACCACGGCGTAGTATTTCCCATGCAGGGTTTGTCCAGGCCTGAAGATGAAGTCTGTCTCGATGGCGCGGACAACCACAATTTTCATGGCAGGATGGGCTAGCAGCAACTGCAGAAGCGAATAAGAAGCCTGGGAGGCGATTTTCTTGACGGGGTCGCCCAGCTTATTGACCAGGAGGCGTAGCAGGTTTGATTCCTGTTCTGGCCTTTCCTTGAGCAACTCGAAGACGTAGCTGACGGCGCGAGCCTTGGAGAATTCAATCTCGTCGTTGCACCATCCTTCGAGGATCTTGAGCACTTCAAAATACTGCCCTTTCAGCCAGCTTTCGAAAGCCCAAGATATCAAATGTTTTTGCTCGAGGCGACGGGGCAGATTTTTCCCTCTTTTCCAAGATCTCGCTTCTAGATACATAAAGGCAGGCTGGTCGTGAAACGCGTAAAGCTTTCTCGATGCGGGGAGAAGTGAGCCTTGAGCGAAAAGGTCTTTGAGCGCGCGGAGCACGTCGACGGCTTGAGACCGACTGCGTTTTCGAGCCAGGCCGATCAAAGTCTCGAGAGCTTTCATATTGTGGATAGGAGAGTCCTGGACGGCCAAGGTCAGGGCTGATATCTTGTCCGATAAGGTTCCTGATGAAATGACAGTGTTGTAAAATGCATTGGCGGATGATGACTGCTGCGACTCCTTGAACTTTTGGTTGTCGTCGTCAAGAAGAACCTTTGCATATTTGTAGAGTTCGTCAAGAGACTCCTTAGCCAGGATGTATATGGGCTCTCTTGTTTCGTCCACTTCTGGGCCAGGGATGTTGTACCAGTCTGGTTGTGGTTCGCAGATCAGCCTCGTTTTGTTGCCCCATCCATTCTTCTCTGCCTGTTGTTCTCTAGCAGTTTTTGATTCTGCGACCGCCGGAGCCGGGATATCACCGTCGTCTCCTTCGGAGTCAGCGGAGACGTCCTCTTCGTCGCGGCCTTCTCCTTGGGCGAGGGCGATCTCTTTAAGGATATTTCTCATTCCCTTGTCTAATTTCTCCAGGTCCGCCTCCGGGATGGTTCCTTCGACCTCTGACTCGGAGTCTGCATCTGCGACGAGTGCCAGATCTTCAGCCGTGCCACCAAGAGCTTTCATTTCCTGCTCCAAGAGGCCGTCCTCTGACTGTCCTGCTTCTGCCTCAATGCGTTCGTCCTGCGGGACTTCATGCTGGTGTGCTTGGCCGAGGACTCTCCCTTTGCGATCACGCTTTTTACCGCGTTCCGCCTCCGTCCCATGAACTTTATTGCGACTCTTCTTCTTGTCCTTTTCTTTGGCGTCGCCCGGCTCGGTGAATTGGTACCGACGTTGGATGGTCTCCCGTAAATCTTCGAGCGAGGATTGTTTGTCCGATGGTTTCACGGGTTCTGTGGAAGACAGGCCACTCAGGCGAGCCTTTTTGGGAGACATTGAAATAATGGCTTCACTGCTGGTCACCGACCAAACAATCGCAGCTTGCAGTAGAACTAAATTTCTGAGAAAATCTCCAAAAATCTGGAGGGATTCTGGAGGTTCTTCGGGCGGATTTTAAATTTGCCAAGACTGGTTATCGCCGCCACTTCAGGTACTCCGAGTAGGTGATCTGGGAGAAGGACAAATGCAGAACACAGAGCCGCTTCAGTTTGAGGACTGGCAGGATATGGATATCTTCAATTGAACAATACAAGGAACAGGTACGTGTAGTCTGCAACCGTTCTCCCGGCTGCCCGATCAATCTCATCATTTCGAATTGCGTTCATACTGAGACTTTCTCCCTCCGTCTCTCTATTTACACCAGCCTCCTTCTTCCGATCCATTCTCTCTGCATTCCATTATGGTCTCCGTGATTTATAAATCACCAGTCTTCCCAGTCTCCGTTGCTCACAGGAGGAGAGCCATGCCAAAAAGGGCGACCGTGCTTCCAACCACCATCAGCGGGTTTCCTGTGGCCAAAGTGTAAGCAGCTGCGTTGTTGCTAGAGGTACTGGGAGTTGCTGCTGACCCACTAGCGGTAGCCGATGAGCCTGCAGATGAAGAGGCCGACGTGCTGCTCAAACCAAGTGTGTCATTCTCCTTGGGAACTCCCTGCAGAAGGGTAACGTTTGCAATCTCGGGATAAGGGACGACGCCGTCGTCAGGGTAGGCAGAGCAGTTGGCATTCGCGGCAAGGGGGCAGCTGTAGATATCACTGCAGATGGTCTGCAGCTGAGGTCCCGCGGAGGGGGGAATGACGGCAGCGGGAGGGATGCAGCGATAAGTGAACGTCTGGTCAAGAGCGTCCCGGGTAAAGTTGACGTCTGGCTCTTCAAATCCGATTGACTTTCCGGCAAGCACAATCTGTTCATTGAAGTAGCCCGATTCCCAAAGGTTGGGGTCCATGAATCTTGGGGCCGTCAGTGCTCTTTTACTGAGTATGTGCGCCAAAAAACTCACTTGTGGACCTCCCACATGCTAGCGACGCCCTGGTAGTGGGGGAACTCAGAACCTCCCTGTTGAGAACACCCGTAGAAATCACCAAAATACTGGTATACGTGGGTAAGGAGTTGGCTACAATGTCAAAGGTAAGTGACATATGGGGAACAAGTGGACACACGGGGCATACTATTGATTAGAGGTCGTTGTGTTGGCCGGCTTGTTGGCAAGCAATGCTCCAGCTCCTCCATCGTCAAGCCAGTTCTTTGCGACAGGCTTCCCGTTCTCATTGGTAGAATAGTAGCCACCCGTGAAGTATGGCAAAAGATTGACGTCGTGACCCTGGAAGGTTTGGGGGCCTGCGATCCCGTCCACTTTGACGCCGACGTTAGGAGTAGTGTAGTTGCCCAGAATGAAGGTATGGGTGATCAGGGCCATGAGTTGCTGTTGACTGGCAGGCGTGTTCTCCTTCCCAAGCAGGAGAGGAGTATAGTAGTCGCAGATCGAGGTAGTATTGGGACGCAGCGCGTTCACGACACCAAACGCAGCCAGCAAAGAGAGGGCTTTGGCAGAGATAGTTGACGGCATTTTGACGGGGACTTGAAAGACGTTCACTCGGGAGAGATTTCGCTGGAGTGTTCAGAGACTGTCCTGGAGGCTGAAGAAGAGAAAAGACGAGATTCTCGAGGGATCTCGCGATTTAAATGTCGAGAAGCCGAGGACATTGGGAGGTAGCTCTGCTCCCGTATTGGGAAGCTCTGAATAAGACATGATAGAGCATGCAAGGTCCGAAGGATTAGGTGTTCACGAAGGGGCCATTAGGATACCTCGAGAGTTCTTAGACGACGGCAAGCAGTGCATACTCACAGCATGCGTTGTCCAATTTCAGCTCGTGCATCGCTTTCAAAAAGGGATATTAGTAGATTTCATCCTTGTCCAGCCAGGGCGGCGAGGCGAATCACATCTGGTTGATTACCAACTCAAGATCGATAAATCTGTATTCAGGGGGGGCCGTGTTGGTTTGGGTAGCGATCAATGGCGATGGGCTGTACAAGGTAGCGTCATTGCCAGCTTCATAATCTTGAGCTCGCGGAATGTAAACAAGAACAGAATCTCTCCGCACGCCTGCAGCCTCGCGACGGCCTATCACAGGGCTAGATGGTTTGCTGACATTTCATGCTGGTGGCTGATTCGTTTCATTGCCAGGTTCACCACAAGGGATGCAGGATCTCAGTCAGAGTGCCGGCCACGTTGCAAGGAACAAGATTTGGGCAAGACAGAAAAGATCTTGTTTTATAAGAGGTAGGCTAGAAGATGGTCAGTCATTGGTGCAGTCGAACTAGACAAGGACAGGAATGAACTTGAGAGGAGGATGAGAGAGAAGCCGAGGAGGCATGGAGTGCAGTTTATTAATTGCCAAGCCTTTCGCCAAGACATGTGGAAGCCTCCGCTTCTAGATCATGTGATCTTGTGATCTTCTGCTCGTCCCGCTCCGCCCATGCCTCTGCTAAATGACGGAGTGGCATGGGGAGATACTGGGGTTTCAGGGGGCCATAGAGTCTCGGCAAGAGCGAAGTTACAGGACCATGCAGACATCTCAGAGACATTGAAGTGCCATCTTGAAGAGCACACATAGCCCGTGAAGCCGCTGAAGTGATTGCATACTCGTACGTAGACAGCATCAACTCGCACACAGATATACGACAGAGTCAGGTGAAACCTGCGGGTTTACCAATCATGTCGGATCCATCGAAATACAGCCGGAGTGATAATCAGGGACTAGCACACTGGACTAGTCGCCTTGAGTTCCTTATCCTCAATCAGAAACCCTGACCTACCCTCAGACACGAAAAACTTGCAACACTGAGTCGGTGGTTGTTGCCCGACAATCTCCCAAAAGCACACATGGCTTTCATCGCTGTCCAATTCATTGTCTGGGCAGGCAACGTGATCTTGAAGTGGATCAAGCAATCGGCGAAGTGTCGATGGCTCCGCTCAGAACTGGCGCATAAGAGAACGTGGTTATGGACACTGGCCACTCTACTTACTGACTTTGAAACTGTTGAGAGGGTGGAAGTGCCTCTTTTGTGTCCAACCATGAGGAACGAGAGCAAACGGGAGACCGCCAAAACCCCCTCCTACAACGATAGCAAAACAGATGAAGCCTGCAAAACGTCGGATGAGAATGCTGCTTGTCCACCCAGGTATTGAAGCGGGTGTTTCATGGATATGTAAAGCGGCAATTGTCGTCGGTGGTTTTCTCATAACTTCCTTGCAATGGAATGATATCAGGCTCTATATCCACCGAGCCATTGTTGATGATCACCCCAGCAGTGACACCAAGCTTTGTCGTCTTTACTAACATAAATAACAGCATCTGCCAGGGAGCCTTTGACATGCTAAGACATAATTGGTATCAGGAATGTTGGCGGTGGTAGGTAGGTGGCTGTGGTTGAGAGAAGTCCGCCATCACATTGAACAGCTGGTACTTCTCAACATCAAAGAGGCAGTTCTCGAAGTGAAAAAGAGATGTTGATGGCCAAAGAGGGAAGTGTCGGGTTGATATAGACCGACGAGAGTAGAGACACTTGGGCTTTAGAAAGGCCCAGCATGTGATTGGCTGGTTGACTTGCCTCATTTGGTCTCCTTGTCTTCATCTCACCTGCCTTTCTCTTTCCCCGTTTTGGATGGTTCGCCTCGGGGATACCATGACTCGTCCTCCAAAGTAATCACTGCATCTCCGCAAAGCTGAAATCGCCCAGGATGGCACCAGGGAGCCGCGTCAGTGCCTCAAAAGGGTTTTGAGACGGTGGAGTTCCGAGCCAGATCTACGATCGGCCCCTTGGGAGACTCGACGGAGTATGACAGCTTGACATCCTGTCACTACTACTGCATGGTTCAGATCCAGCTTCGAAAAATGTTTTCCCTTGAAGCGCAGAAATCACTCACTCACGCTCAAACTCACGGTGAGAGACTCCCGCAAATCCATGAACACTAGGCCGCTCCATTTATATACCGCCTGTTTACCACCTATACCCTCTGCGAGGACCCTGTCTGAATCAGGCAGGTGTTAAATGTCGTCTATTTTCATTTCGAGGCATCGGCCCCAGCAGGGGAGGGAGTTTCCCCCTGACTTCTTGATGGGGAGATGGCGCTCGTCAACGGATACCCTATACCCGCCACGAAAAGGGTCACAACAGCAATTTCCACGCGAATCGCCTGATAAGGTCAATACAGAAGTACAAGCCAGAAGCGGTGCGGGCTTTTACTGACACAGATGTACGGTGGCTGCCATTGGTGACAACAATATGCGGTACTACCTTGGTCGCCAACGTTCCATCCGCCCAACTGGCGAATTGGACATGAGCCCTGCGCGAAACCCCTCCCAAAATTCAATTGTGGTGGCTCACTCGAGACCGTTACAAGCGGGGAGAGGCTTAGTCATTACATTTCTGGTCGGTGGAGGTTCAGGATTCAACCAGCATGAGGCCTACCGAGTACAGGTGACCGGTAAACCGGCTCGATCTTTTGGCGACCTGTCAACTGTGAGGCTATTATCTTTGATACTTTGATGATGAGAGATCAGACTCTACCGCCGTGTTAGACTGCTGTTTCTCAGATACTCATCATCTGCATCGAAGCGCTCTGCTTTCGTCTGCTCGCATGTGCCATCCGAGTCTGCCCGACTCCTAGTGGGGATGGAAGGACTAGCAACCACTTCACCGCATCCAGCTGAACCTGCGCCTGCACCCGACTTCAGGTTTGTTGACAATGATGCGCTGCGGTCAGTCAAAACCAAGCGTAGTGAGACTGCGGCGAGACGTGCACATGCGGCACGCGTGGCTCACCAGCGCCGACGTGAACGGCAGCGACAGGGCCAAGAGACTCCTCCGACTGGAAAGCGTGGTTCCGTGTCTGAGAGCGAGAACGTATATCTGTCGCCGCCGGCGGAGTTCAGTTTCATTCAGGAGAAGGGGGACGAGGACGCTGGGAGACGTCGGACTGAGAGTTCAACACAGCAGCAACAAGAGCAACAAGCCCAGCCTCCTCCCATACGGGCCCCCAATGTCATCGACCGTGACCTCACCATCATCCACAGAAATCGCTCTCCAGCGAGCAGCGCCGCGATTCTGGATCGCCGGCTTGACCAGACAAGGACAGACCCATTCAACCTGATGGGTGCAAAAGACCTGCCGCGCGCATTGAGACACACTCTTGACTACGCCTTTGACGTGTACTGGCCCGCAAATGTCAATAGTGCCCCGACCGATCAATCGTACTCCCTCATCCTGCGCCGAGGAGCTGCGATGTATCCTCATGCCTTCCATGGCCTTGTGGCGTCGGCTGCCATGTTTCTCCAGAGAAGCACCCAAGACCGTCGAGTTGCCCGAGCATGTGCTGCCTTGGTCAACACAAATCGAACGAAAGCTACCCAGTTGATCAACGAGGAACTTGATCAATTACAGGGGGCTGTACCGTCGGATGACCTTCTCATGGCAATGGTCGCTGTGGCCAGAGGTTCTGTTGCGCATTCGAGAGTTCCGCCCGCAAGCTCGATATCAAAATCCCCGTTGGCCAGGGCGCAGAATCTTCATTTCTACAGTACTCAGTCACTCGACCCGGGATATATCAAGGCTTTCTTTGACATCATCGATCTGAAGGGTGGGTTGACTGGTGTCGAAACACCTGCGCTCGCGACGTTGGCAGAATTGTAAGCATGACTTCCGGAGTTGATCATCCAGGAGAATTGCCGTGCTGATGAATTGTGTGCAAGCTTCGATCTCACCGTATCGACCTTGACAGGGCAACGGCCGAAATATGACTGGAGACATCCGCGACAACCATTGCTGACCTACGAAATAGGAGGTCTCATCATCGACCCTATTTCTGCTATGCTTCTCAAAGATCTCGGCTCTGGCTTTGACAAAAACATTCTCCTAGACATCCGTCCGACGTTGAACATGGTCTGTGAACTTGTTATTGCGCTGGACCGGCTGATACGCAAGGCCGTCCCCGAGCCTGCGATGCATGATTTAGTCAATGCCCGAAACGCCATTCAGCATGCGCTTTGCCGCATCCAACGTCGTGTTCATCCCGCCAGTCTGGAAGAAGCCATTTTCGAGACCACGAGGGCTGCTCTGCTCTGTTTCAGCGACATGGTCATATTTCCTATTCCCACGAATACCGGCGTTCGGCTACGACTTGTCACGGAGCTCTATGAGTCTCTGCGTGCTTGCGAGGCCTTTGAGGCGGTTTCTCAAGGGTTCGATTCATTTCAACTGTGGGCCACCACCATGGGTGCGATCGCAGTAATGAATCTGCCGCTCAAGGATTCCGTTCTGGACATGTTGAAAAGGCTCCTCTCTAGACACTGCTGGACGTGGGATATTGTCAAGATGCAGCTGCACAATTTTGTTTGGTGGGACCACATGTGTGACGAGTTGGGGCAGACTGTGCACCGAGAAGCAGTTGGCATAGCTTCTTTTCCGACACCACCGCCAGGTATACAACCGACGTTGACTTCTCATCGACCTCCAGACAGATAGCCTGGTCTTTGCTTCCGGCTTACCTCGTCGCGTCGGGGATGTCATGACCGGTCCGGGCTTTTGAAATACTGGCGGCTTCAGAGTAATCGTTGTCGCCGCCATCATTGCCAGCAGCGCGGCATGATCATACCTCAATCACGGTAAGCTTTGGAAAGCCAGATCAGAAACAAAGGAGGGGCTTGTCATCATTGGTTCACATCACGCGTAATCAGCCCTGATCGCGAAGTTCAACGGTGCCCTGGCCGACATCAATCGCCATCTCATCACTGCGGAATGAGCCATCAGTGGCAATTCCCATGCGTATTAACAGAGGTTGAAACGACCAAATGCGCGTCGGCAACATCGTGGACCTGACACATATGTGCATAGCTTCCGGCGTGTCATGGCCGGGACAACTGGGTGTTGAGAATGAGCAATAGGGCGTTGCAGTGGCTCCTAGGAATATTGGCCCTCTCCACACTGGAGAGATATTTGGTGTCTTTAGGTGATGGGCTGCGTGGTGTGACCGACTTGGGATGCTGTCCGATTGCGTCTCAACAGTCTTCCCGACGAGAACGAACATCGAACCATTCTCCAGATGAATGGTTTCATCATGGCTCGGCCGTGTCGAATCACCCAGGCATGAATTATTCTCGTGGTCAAAACATTCAAAAGTGTTGCTTTACAGCGAAAGATTTATACCCCGGAGTTCGTATTTTAGCGGTTACAGAGCAACAGCGGATGAATACTTGGACGAGATACACTGGCAATTAGCGATGCATAAACCCCATGCATTCGAGGCCTTCCAGCCCTCGCTAGGCCTAGTCAGGCTCCTTGGTTCCGCGCTGATTGTGGCTATACCTGCAGGGCCCCCGACAAGTGGCCACCCACAGCGACCTCCAGCGCCCGCTACTTGGTTAGCATTAATTAGCAATGGACCAGGCACTCAGTACCTCGGACTGGCTATTTTGCTGCTCTCCGTGGTCCTGGGTTTAGCTGGAGCGCCAGGCTCCAAATCTCCTCCACGTCTCTCCACGCGATAATCGTACGAGATCAGACTCGTCTTTCCGGCCTGCCTTTCCTCTTTCTATACTTGGTCTTTCGCATACCAGTCTTTCAACCTAGACGGCAGCTGAAGAGTTACCATGCCTACGCTCCCACGGACTTCCCGGAGTAGGGGTTGTGCACAGTGCATACAGCGCCATGTAAAGGTCAGTCAGTGCTCCAGTTTACATCTGCGAAGACCTCATTGATAGGTTATGTGTTTGTCAGTGTGACGGCAGACCAGAGTACTGCAGACAATGTGCTCGCTTTGGACTTCCTTGCTCGGGTCCACTTCAAGGGCCCATCATCCTCGACATGTCGGCCAAAGTCAGTCGTCCACTCAAGAAACGACGAGCAATATCTCGAAGGACAGATGACAGTCCTGCTATACCTCGTGCCTCTACGGCTGGCAATACCACGGCCATCTTGTTGGATTCCAGTGATGCGAGTCCAGCAGAGGATGATCCCTCAATGGTTCTGGATGCATCTCCATCACCTTGGGAACCACATGCAGCCGCGCAGGAGGGCTCGTTGCCTGACCAGACTAACCTTTCCTTGATCATCATGGATGTCCTGGATCACAGCAACTTCTTTGAACAGTGTTTTGTGGAGAAGTTTGTCGAATCAAGCACCAGTTCGAGGCTGGGAATGAATCCGGTTCGACCACGATCATGGGTATTTGCCCTTCCCAGTCTCTTATCCGACGCTCAGACACCCTCGGTCAGATTCTCCATCCGTGCCGCCAGCTTAATCTACTTTGCAGTCGTTCAGCACAACAAGAGTGCTGAGGTCGAGGCTGTGCGTTGGTATCTTGCTGGCCTCGCGAGCCACCGTGGGTTTATCCAGGGTAGCAACACCGACGCAAATTCACTCAGGCACGGGTCAACGCCTATCAGCCCCGAGATATCAGTACCCATGATGTTTCTCTACTTTGAGACGATGAAGCGAACCTCTCCTGACGCTTGGGCTCATCATATTGCCGCCGCGGTCACCACCGTGGAGGCGCTAGGCCCCGATCATTACCGTGTTGGCCAGGATCACGCCATGTTCAGATCTCTTCGCACGTACGCGGTACGTATGCTTCCTATACAGGGCCAGAAGAGGTCCTTGTCAATCCATGAGAGGGTCATCCCTGACGAACCTCACAGGCTTTCAAGGCTCTTCTCAAGAACGACCTTTGCAGCTTCGCATCGCAAGAATGGTGTGAAGCACCCTTCACAGACAGCACCAAGATTGAATACGAGTTTCTGATTGACATCCTCCTCGCCATTCCTCACCACCTGCTGCTCACTCTAGTACCTGGTGGCGACTTCCGGGACTCTATCGACAAGATAGCAAGTCTCAACTACTCGGACGAGCAGACCCTGGAGAGGGAGACTCTCGTTATCCTCCAGCGCCTGCAGAACTGGTGGTGGCATTTCACTCGAGATACCAGCGTCGTCGCCGGTCAACCTGCTACCACCGACCTGATACAAGCTGCGCCCGACCCTCTGATGCCTCCGTCGCTCGCTGGACAATACGTATTCCCCGACACCCTGACAGCCAAGACCGTCTCGCTGTACGACTCTTTGATGGTCATCGTCTACTCTGTACTCGCGTCTCTCGAGGAATGCAAGTCACCCTCTCCTGAAGGAGTGCTGCTGTCGCCGCTTCAGCGCTACCGTTCCGAGATCGAACGCCATTCGTCCTCAGTTTTGATGGCCGCATGGTACCAGAACTGGCGCCATCCTTACTGCGGCGATGCGTTGCGGACGGGCTTCTCTGTGAAGATCGTATCATGGCTCGGCGCGAACGCAGCGCAAAAGGACGAGGCACGCAGGATGATGGTTTTGTGGGGTATGGAGAGCACAATTACAGCAATATGAGGTTACCTGATAGCCATTCGATGGACATCAATGCTTCGATTGGCTCTTGCACAAGACATCAATATGGTTGATTCGAGCATATCTCGGGACACAGTTTACCAGCACATCATTAATGTGCCCTGCTGTGAACACGGAAACGAACTACCGCCACTCGACAAAAAATATGTGGCACTCTCAAGATCTTGAACGAGCTTCTTCTGTTTTCATCAGCCACCGATTGATGAACGCCTGAATCTCTTCATTGTTTTCTTCAATGGCCATCAAGTGACCATTCCCGCGAATGCCCCGCTCGGCGAGATAGACGTGATCGACCGGTACGCCCGCGTCGCGGAGGAAGTCGGCCGTCAGGTGGTCATAGCTAGCGTGGTACGAGGCCTCTGCGGTGAGCAGCAGCACGGGGATCGAGGCGAGGTTGACGAGCTGTCTTGGGGGTCGTGTCTGTCGACATCCCCGCGCCAGGGTCTCGTGAGTCGGCGTCTCCAGGTCGGTCTGTCGGAGGTAGCTGAGCTGCGTTGCGTCCGCGTCCAGTTCGGGCGAGAAGCGCAAGGGCGTCGAGGTGATGCCGAACGGATGCAGCAGCGTGCCGACCATGGCAGGGCGTCTGTTGAACGGCGCCACGTCCGGACACTCGAACGGCGGGCCGTGCGGCTCCAGCGCCACGATGCCCCTGACCAAGTCCGGACACGCATCGGCGATATGCCACCCCAAGGGCCCCGACTGGGAATGCGTGACCAGGTACGCCGGACCAGTTCTGGTGAGGAGAGGCCGCGCGGCTCTGCGCACCAGTCTCTCTATCACCTTGTACTCCGGCACGTGTCCGACCTGGCTGGCGTAGAAGGCGTCGAAGATCTGGTCGCCCATGACTCCCCTGCCGGGCCACTGCGTGTGCAGCTTCGCCGTCGGCCACGATGGAGGGTCCGGCGCCGTGAAGGCCATCTGCAGCTCTTCGACCGTGTAGTGCTTCAGCGCGCCCATGTCGCCGCAGTGGTACCGCGACCGGCCCACGCCCACGAGGTCGACCACGTAACAGTCCCATCCTCCTTTTCCCTGCGCTTGAGCCTGTGCCTGCAACAGTGCTAGCCCCGGCCGCCCGTCGGGAGTGACTTCAAAGTGCGTCCCCGTCTGCGCGGCGCCGTGGAGGAATATCACCGCCGGCCGGTCTTTCTGCGTGTCGTCGTCGTCGTCGCCGGCGGGGCCGTAGTGTCGCACGCACATCTGGCCACTCATGTGCGTCCCGTCTTTGTCCCGGATGTATTCTCCGCCGACGTAGAAGACGGGTGGGATCTTCCAATTTGTTCGTTGGTACGTCGTCGTTGTCTTCGTCGATGATGGCATGATGGATGATGGATGATGGCTGAAAAATTGAGGATTTGATTCTTGTGCAGGACAAGAAAGAGACTGACTAGTGGCTCCAGTGGCAGGTGTTTTATATCCTGTACTCTATATCATATCATATCATATCAAGTCTCGAGTCTTTACCATCCCGATACCTACCTACCTACCTATGTACCTACTTGTATGCACCACCGTAATCACGACCAAGGTATCCCTTCACCCATGAAGGGCAACAAGAGACTCGGCCGCCGCAGAAATCCCTCGTGTTTACCCCCCCTTGGTCATGAATCTGTCGGTAGGTTACCAATTTACCACTAGGGGTAGCCCACTCTGGCGCTCGCGTTGACGTATTACGTATGGCACGACACCATACTATCTATCAAGAATACGAGGTACCGAGTAGTCTCCCGAATATCCCAACTAGCAGCCGAACGGCCGAGAACACGACTTTACTGATCAAGTGATGGCCCAGGGCGATGGCGAGGACAGCAGGGTCCAAGGACAAGGACAAGGACAAGGACAAGGACAAGGACAGGTGATAGTGTCTCGACCAAAAACCGGCCAAGTTGGTACCAAGCACCAGCCAGGTGGGTAGGTGGGTAGGTACGTAGGTAGACTTTTGCCAAAAGGGGGAATTTCCACGACGGGCGCATGGCATGGCATTGCATGGCACGGCACGGCATACTACCCTGGAAGGGACCTCGGGTGCCTTCGTAGGTACCCACGTATGTACATAGCATCTGTGTGTATGTATTTACCTTGTGCAAGCAAGTACGGTTACGGGTACGGGTGCCTGTGTGAGAATAAATCAAGACAGACAGAGGTTCTGGCTTTGGTCTACTCTTCGAGACTGCGTGGAACTGCCAACGGAGTGGCGAATAGTGGCGTAGAGTGGGATGGAGTGGAGAGGAGTTGGTTAGATATACTACTTGTACGACCTGCGCATAGGTTTGTTCGAGACTGGATACCCCGTGGGGCTCAATTGAGGAGGCTGCCATTGAGATTCTTCGTTCTAGCCATCGTGTTGCAGGAGATCAAATGTACGCGAGGAAGAACTGGTGCTCAGTAAAGGGCTCTGATAAGTTTAACAAGAGCAAGATGTGGCGAGTAGGGAACGGATGTTGTTCCATCACACCTAGAGAGCCCTAAACAGTAATTCCCTGAAGAGTGATATCTAGGATATCTAGAGAGGCTCACGATTCCCATGCCCGACTAGCTATGCTATGCAATGCACGCGACAGGTCTGAGACGAACCATCCAGTCCGTCATATCCATGTCCGTGGTTCCTTCCGTAGCCCCTGGCATTAAGACTGCGATGGTATACGAATGACACCGACCCCGTCCTCGATCGAGATCTCGGTCCCAAACGGCCTCGAATACTCGACGACCCGCTCGAGAATGTGCCGGGCCCTGTCCAGCGTCGGTCGGCGCGGCGTACCCATCTCGGAGCTCGGCCGCTCCAGGCCCAGGTCGACGGGGTAGATGAGCACGCGGACCAGTTTGCCGTCCTCGTAGTGGCTCGTCGGGAGGATGGCCTCGAAGTTCTCGGGCCGCTGCAGCCACGCCCAGCGCGCCTCGTTGATCTCCCCGTCGCCGACGATCGCCTCTGTTGGGCACTGTCGCCGCGCCTCACGCTCAGAGTTGGGGCCGTCATCCCTCCAAGACCGGAACCTCTGGTTCTGGAACACAAAGTTGTTGACCCCGTAAAAGATGGGCTTGCCCCGGTAGATCTCGACGCCCTTGAGCGTGTGCACGCCGTGCGCGAAGAAGAGGTCCGCGCCCTGGTCGATGGCCGCGTGCGCCAGCACAACCTGGAACTCGGCCGGGTAGTGGTCGAACGAGTACTTTTGGAACGAGAACCGGTTCTGGTGCCAGTGGATCGTGAAGGCCGCGAAGTCGCTGAACTGTTTTCCCGAGCGCACCTCGCGCAGGATTTCCCGCTCGTCCACGGCGTCCATGTCGTATGTCAGCTCGCCCGGGCTGGGGGCGACTTTGAAGTGGACGTCGAACGCGTCGAGCGTTGGGCCACTGCCACGGTCGCCTGCGATTTCGCGGAGCTGGGCCATTTGTGCCTCCGTCACGCCGTGGTACACTTTGAGCCGCAGCGAGTTGTTCTTCGACGTGATAGGTCCCTTGGAGTTCAAATGGTGCTCCAGCCGCTTCTTGATCGAGGTCGCTTCGTCATCTGTCGCCGCCGTGGTGTCGGCACCTGCGAGCTGGAACACCCGTCCGAAGAGCAGCAGACTGCCTTGCCGAGTTTTTGTATTTCTGTCGATTGGGTTGGGCACCTCACTCGCCCGCTCGTAGAGACTTTCCTCCATCGCTTGCAACTGCTGAAACTGCTCTTCCGTCACGACAATGGGATCCCCGCGCGGCAAACCATATATTTGCGAGTAATCCTCGACCTCGGCGTAGGCACCTGCAAAAGCGACCGTCCCCTTGGGAAGCGTACGGAACCGCGCCAACCGCGCCTCGCAGAGGTTATAGTCTGTGCCGACGTAGTCGATGCCCACGCGGCGGAGCTGGGCAAAGTTGTGGGCGACGCCGGCCTCGCCGTTGTCGAACGTGTGGTTGTTGGCCTTGGACACCATGGCGATGCCCATGGCGGCCCAGTCGTCGGCGACCTCGGCGGGGCTTTCCATGTGCGAGATGGGCCCGCGGAACGTGAGCCGGTCCACGATCGTGTTCTCGTTGTTGGCCAGCGTGATGTCGGCGGCTCGCATGATGGTGATCAGCGCCTGGATGTCCGGGTCGTCGCGGTTCGCAAAGGGTTGGACCTGGATGAGGTCGCCCACGACCGCGACCGTAAAAGGCTTCTCGATCCGCATGGCCAGTTCGGCCTCCTTGTCCCGAAAGCGCGTCGGCGCCGTCATTGACAGTGCGTTGGGCATCTTGACGGTTTGATCTCAGATTTTGAGACACGCGCGAAGAAGGAGATGCGTGGTGATTCTGCCCGTCTGGGGTCCCGTTCCAACTAGATATTGCAACTGGAGGTCAAACTCGCACGATGTCTCACGACTTACCTGGATGCACACGAATGTATATATACACACATACCTGGTCGTCGATGTCCATCTCACTCCCACTCCCACTCCGGCTCCGTTTGCTCCGTTTGCTCCGTTTCTTCAGTAGAAGTCTCGACGACTAATGCATATGCGCAGTCTGGAGTTAACAGTGTCGGAAATCCCGACTCCGAGATCATCTGGGTTCTCGAGATTTTGCTCAGAGGGGTTCAAGGGGTTCAATTGCATTTTCAATTGGCGATGTGGTCTCAGGTATGGTCAATGGTTCCCCACTGAAAACGATATGCAGGTGTCGTGGAAATTACCCTTTTTGGATTAGTTCGAGTGGAGCGCAGTGACAGGAAGGGAAATACGAGAGACGCAGACATGTGTCGAGTTCGGGTGTGGGGAAAAGGGAGGCGGGTTTGTCTGGTAGTTTTAAGTCTATGGGTCCATTGGCTGGGGAAGACAGACTGCTTCCTAGCCGACTCGTCCTTCAAGTCGGATGACAATTGCGTTGGAGCATTCTGGTCTCTGGAAAATACGAAGCGCTATTCCAGACTCCAGACTGGGGCAAATCTGGGGGCTTGGTATACAACGGGGGAACATAAAAGGAGGCCTATATCGTCCCCCCGTTCCCCGTGTTCGTGGGATTGTGACCACAGCAATATACCATTCTCGCAATTTCCAGGATCATCTCGTGCATCGCTGATCTCAAACAACAATGGCTGCAGCAGTGGAAAAGTTCGACGGCAAGGAAGAGATCCAGCTGGAGCATCTGGCAAAAGACACCAAAGAGGCACCCGGATTCCTGTACGAGGACCCGAAGACGACGCCACCCAAGTCTCGCGAGGAGCGCAGGCTTGTGCTCAAGGCCGATCTATTGATCGTGGGCATGACCTCGTTGGTCTTCTTGGTCAACCAGTGGGTGAGTTCCCTAGTGCCTCGTCATCTTGTCTGCCATGCTATGCAATTTCACGACCGCTCGTACGCCCTCGAGCATTGTCCTGTCTTGTTAACGCAGAACAGGATCGAGGAAACATCGGCAATGCCCGGGTCATGGGCTTCCAACGCGACTTGAACATGAGCAATGGACAGTTCTACAACGCCGTCTCCCTCTATTGTCAGTCTGATCTCCGCCTTTCCCCATGAATGGTAGTCATACCTGGTGAACAGACTGACCAACACCGAACAGATGTCGGGTACACCGTTTCCATTCTTCCCGCCAGTCTGTCTGTCCGCATCTTCAAGCCCCACAGGCAGGTCGGCGGCTGCGTGATCCTCTTCGCCACCCTGTCATGCTGTATGGCCGCGGCGAAAAACGCTGGCACCGTCTTGGCCCTGCGAATCATCTTCGGGTTCGCGTCGGCGTTCCTTCAAGCCTTGACGCTTTATATCAGTATGTGGTATAAGCGGAATGAGTTGGCAACACGGAGTGGTATGACTTTTTTTCGTTTGGTTCCCTCAAAGGGTGCTGAGAAGGAGAGCTGATCTCGGGATCGATAGGTGTCTTCTATTCGGCCGCCACCATCGCCGGCGGCTTCAGCGGTCTCATCGCCTACGCGATACAAAAGAACCTGGATGGCGCCCTCGGCAAACCGTCCTGGTACTGGCTCTTTATCATTGAAGGCGTTGCCGGCATCTTCGTCGGTCTGGCCTGTTGGATTCTGTTGCCGCCAGCTCCAGATCAGTTGAAGAAAAAACACTGGATCTTCAGTGACAATGAAATCGACCTGGCAATCGACCGCATGAAGACGTACAACGTCGAGCACGCAGGGTTCAAGTGGAAGCAGATGTTGATTGCCCTCAAAGATCCCAAAACGATTCCTTTCTGGTTCATCAGCGCGGGGGTGTCTCTGGCACTGGCTTCCATCAGCGCTTTCTTGCCTAGCTTCATAGCTCAGTTTGGATACTCTGCTGGTAAGTCTTCGATCCAGTCTGCTCACTTTTGCACCATATTGACCTGTCTTCAGTGCAGACCCAGCTCTTTTCAATCATCCCATATGCATGCGCCTTCGTCACGTTGATTGTGGTGAACATGGCCTCCGACCGACTCAACGCCAAGGGAGTATTCCTCATGGGCCTCCTGTGTAGCAGCATCGTTGGGTATATCATCCTGATCGCGGTTCACAATGTCAAGGTCAAGATATTTGCCACATGCCTGATCACCATGGGCACATTCCCGGGTGTGACGCTGATGGGAGCTTGGATGAACATCAACACTGGGGGCTTCACCAAGCGCGCCACCACCTGGGGCACGGCTGAGATTGTCGGGCAGTGTTTCGCTATCCTCGGGTCGCATATCTACACGGATCCCCCGCAATACATCAAGGGCCACTCGATCGCACTGGCCTTTGAGGTCCTTGCATTAATGTCGGCTGTGTTCTGCTGGTTCTGGATGCGGTGGCTCAACAATAAGAAGGACAGGGAGGCGCTGGAACATGCCGCAGCTGGGACGACAGATCCGAATCTCCATAAGACTCTCGAGGACGTCCAGGACTATCATCCTTCGTTCCAATACATTCTGTAGTGTCGGTCTCTAAAGGACCGAGTGTGGACACAACCATCGGGGCAGTCTTTAGAGAACACCTGGTTGGCTCATCCTTGTGCAAGCACTTGCAATCCTCTGACCATCAGGCGAAAATGGCTCGGTCACCTGGAAGAGACGAAATGTTTTTGTACTTGGACGAGGTACTTGTAAGACAAAGTCACGCGAGGCTGCAAGGCTGCGACAAGGGCAAATTGCAGGCATGACAATGACGTCATGTGACGAGCATTACCAACTATTACAGCACGTAACAGCCGAATGCTCCGCCGTATCCAGCTACGAAATTGCGGGGAAGCGAAAATGTTTCTTCGAGGCTCCCATTCAGCCTGGTGGATGTCATATGGCAAATTGAACTTCATCCATCTCCAATTCATGCCTATCAATACCTTCAAAATCAGTACTCCAGGCTGGAGCTGAGCCGAAACTGGTTCCCATGGCCGCACCGAGGGAACCCAGAATGAGGGGGGAGGGATGAGCGCCCAGCGGTTCCGCACAAGCCAAAAACGCCAAACGCCAATCATCCGATGCTGCACTAAGTCAAGAACACGAGTGGTGTGAGGCACATACGACCCCCAATAGGTCCTGGCAAGCAACTGGTGCCCACGGCATAAAATCTGAAGGAATCGAGCTTCCTCTTCACCGAAAGCAAATCATATACCTGGCTATTTCCCCTCTCATCATCAGGTGTCTAGACACACATAAAGTCATCGAGGATGCTCACCACCGTCGTCCGAAGAAGCACCATTGGAACATTCAAAACACTCAGAACAGTACCAAGGTTCCGATACTTATCCACGATGAAGGCACTTGTTTATAAAGGTCCTGGTCAGTGTGGTCTGGAGGATCGTCCTGTCCCTAAGATTCAGGAAGCATCCGATGCCATCGTGAAAGGTGAGCTCTAGTCCTGCACTACATACTTACACGTATTACGTGACGGCGGCTGACCATCGTGACAGTCGTCTATACAACAATCTGTGGGACAGACACGCACATCCTGAAGGGGGACGTGCCCACGTGCACGCCTGGTCGCGTCTTAGGACATGAAGGTTGGACTTCTTGACACCATCCAGAATTCTCCAACCGCTAACCGAAGGCAGGTGTTGGCGTCGTCGAGGAGCCAGGTCCAGGAGTTTCTCGATTCAAGAAGGGTGATCGAGTCCTCATCAACTGCATTTCCAGCTGTGCAACCTGCAACTACTGCCGGAGAGGCATGCCCAGCCACTGCGTTAGTGCAGGATGGATTCTCGGCAACACGATCGATGGAACTCAGGCCGAATATGTTCGCATCCCCTTCGCCGACAGCGGTCTGCACCACGTGCCCAAGGGTGTTGACGAAAAGGCACTTGTCATGCTCTCCGACATCTTTCCCACGGGACTCGAATGCGGGGTGCAGAATGGCAAAGTACAGCCCGGGTCGACTGTCGCCATCGTTGGCGCGGGTCCCGTGGGTCTTGCGGCGCTGATGACCTCCCGACTCTACTCACCAAGTCTGATCATCATGATCGACCGGGACCCCAACCGTCTCAAGGTCGCAAAGTACTTTGGGGCCCATCACACCGTGAACAGCGCCGAGGCCTCGCCCCTGGAAGCCGTCATGAAGCTCACCGACAACATTGGCTGCGACACCGTCATGGAAGCCGTCGGCGTGCCCGAGACCCTGGAGATGGCCCAGGACCTCGTCGCGCCGGGCGGCGTCATCGCCAACGTCGGCGTGCACGGCAAGAGCTGCGAGCTCAAGATCGAGAAGCTGTGGGTCCACAACATCTCGCTGACCACGAGGCTGGTCGACACCGTCACTACGCCCATGTTGCTCAAGCTCTTCGCCGCGGGCAGCATCGACCCGGGACAGCTGATCACGCACGAATTCGCCTTTTCGGACATGGACAAGGCCTACACCACGTTCAAAGCGGCCGCTGAGCACGACGCCTTGAAGATGCTGATCACGGTGTAAAAACAAGTGCAGAGGGGAAAAAGAAGGGAGTTGGCAAAGTTGTACGTAATTTGTATGCACATACGTTTGAACGCTACATGTGACACTGTTATCGTGTCCCCTTGGTGACTTGGTCCAGACAGGCCAGGCAGGACAGACAAACCAGACCCATTGAATGGTCCCTCTTTTATCAGGTTCCATAGTATTTTTGACAGCTCTCGAGAACCACAACAAGAGGATGCCTTATTGAAACCCCAGTCCCTTGACCTCAGGGTCCCCCATCAAGGCGCTTTTGACTTCTTCCTCGCCCACGCGCAATCTGACTTTTACCGCCCTCTCCCCCTTCCCCCTGGTCTCCATGGCGATGACGCCAGCCTGGACCAGCGCCATGGCGGCCCCTCCGAGCGCCAGGATACGGGGCATCAGGGAACCAGAGGCGCGTTTTCCTGTTGGTGCTGCTGCAGCATCATCATCGTCTTCTTTTCCCCCCTCTGCTTCGGCGCGCAGGAAATCCTGCACGGCATTGTTGTCCGCGACCGCGACGATGCGCAGCGCTTCCGCGGAGATGTCGCCCATCGTGGACTCGACCACGCCCGTGCGTCGAGTGAGTGCCGATATCGCGGCGAGGAGGAGCTTCGCGGCCAAGGGCAGAGAACGCAGGTGCTGCGCGATGGGGGACGAGGTGGCTTCGTTGATGGCCTGTTTGATGGTCGCGATCGTCACCCTCGCTAGTCGTGTTTGTGGAGGCTCGTGTTCCCGCCCATTCGCATTATCTTTGTCCTTGGGGATGTTCCTGCCTCTGCGGCTCGGGGTCGTTACTATCTGGACGACGTCTTCGTCGTTGGCATCCGCAGAGGCGGGATTCTGCTTCTCTTGAGACTGTTCTGCGATTTCCACCGCGCGCCGGCAAATGTCGAGAGCCCGCCTAGCATCACCAGACACGGCTGCGACTTTGCGGCTGGCGAACTGCACGGCGTCCTTATCGACAATGTTGCCCGGGACACCTTCCAGCCTCGAGGAGATAATCTCCATCAGCTGCGTGTGCGTGTATCCCGGGAACGTGATCCTGGTCAGCCCGAGTCGCGAACTGATCTTGTTCGACAGCGTCCGCTCGGGGAGATCCATGGTGTTGGCGACCGCCAGAACGATTAGGCGCGAATGCCGCATGGCCGGCCAGTTGAAGAAGTTGTACATGACGCTCTGGCTCTTGGTCACGAGCTGGTCCAGCTCGTCCATCAGCACGACGCAGGGGATCCGCCGCGGCGAAGGCTGCGAGAATTCTTGCTCCAGCAGGCTCAATGCGTGGTGCGGGCTGACGCGGTCGCCCTTGAGCGCTTCCCATAGGAGTGAGTAGGATTGTTGCGACTCTGTGACCTTCATGCCGTTGATTTCGACAAAGTTGAAGTCGTCTAGTTCTTCATTGAGGACTGCTTCGTGCAGCGACGCGACTACCTCCCGTACTGTGGCTGTCTTGCCCGTCCCGGGGGTCCCGGAGATGTAGATACATGCTCCGGACCCGTCCACAATGGCCGAGTAGAGATGAGAATAGACCGTGTGGAACTCATTGGAGCGGCAAGGGAGAGACGTCGGGACAGCAGAAACGTGCAGTGTTGCTCGGGCGTGAGAGTAGGGTGTCGACTTGTACTGAGAAGGGGACAGGACTCGAGTCCCCAGTGGGGTGATCTCTATAGGCTTCTTGATCATGATCCGTTTATGTGTCGGCGTGCTGTACTTGGATGCCTTGGCCGAAGATTTCGGGGTGGAAATTGTCGCCGTCGTTTTCCTCCTCTTGTGAGGCGTCCGGGGCTCGTCGTCGGCCGTCTCCTTTTGCTGCTCATAGTCCACATCCTCACTTTTTACAGTCTGTTTCTTCCGGCCCTTGGTTTGCTCTTTGATCCAATCAATCAAGTCCAAGAGGTCTTCCGGTCCCTTGTAGATCTCTTCCCACACAAAGTCCTCGGTGAATCGCACCGTTCTCTGCTTGACCCCTCGCCGACACAGAATCGTCTTGGCGTAGCGGTTGGCAGCTGACTTGGACTTTGGTGGTTCTCCGCCAGGATATCTCTTGAAAAAGGCCTCTTTCGACAAAACCGTGGCTTTCCCATTTATGGCTGTCAATGGGTTCATGTTGAAGTCTGCCGTGATGTATGATTCGTTGGGCAACACATTGCTCGGGATTTTTGAGCGTTTCCCGAACATCAACTCCTCCGGGGTACAGAACCACTGAATGCAGACGCACATTTCGTCCTCGTCATCTTCGTTGGTGTCGGAGAACGAGCACGCCAATCCCACCCAATCTTTCCCCTGCTCGGGAGATTTCAGCAGCACCGAGTCGCCTATTCGCACTGAGAAGGAGCCCATGCGGGCACCCACAATGGCTGCCTTTTTGGTGGTGAGAACATTTGCTTTTCGCTTCTTCGAGGGCGTGGAATCATCCTCCTGCGGGTTTGTGTCACCGCTGTCTTCATAAATCCATTCCCAGGGGTGATCTTCATATCCGAGTTCATCGTCTGAATCCTCGCGGTGAAGGCCTCCCGTTGTCGAATATCTCTTCTGCTTGGGCATCACGAGACTGATGAGCGACTACTGAAGAATATAGTCGTCTTTGCCTGGTCTACCTCGTACTGCTACCAACTGATAACTTGGCTTGCTCGGTTGGCGATTTGATGCCAAAACGCGAAAACGCGTCGACGCGTATTAGGTAAGAATCAATCAAGGAAGGAGGTATTAACCTTGATGTGGTTAGTGCATCTTGGCTCCTGCCCTCCGTTGATTCGCGAGAGTTCGTCTTCTGCAGTTCATAGCTTGCCCATCTTCATGCACTTTGCCTCTCAATGGACGTCGTTGAGAAAGAGAGAATTCCGCTGCTTTTGTGGTTCTCTCCTGCTATAACGCCAATGGACAATGATGTCCCTTACTTCACGTACTAACCTTGTCTAAACTGACACAAGTGCTCATTGACAGTCCTGACCCCGTCCACGTGCTCATACCTGCAGAGCCGATGGTTGCAACTGACCACCTCCTTCTGTGAGTTCACTCCCTGTGGTTGCCACCTGGAGGTCCTTGTCGCACAGGATCTAATTCCAGCAACAAGCGTGTGCCTGCGTCTTGAGACGGGCGGGTAAACCCTCTTGTTTGCTACATGTCCCCTGGCTTGTTACATTTAGATCCGCGTCATTCAGGTCTTGAAGGAGGAGAAGTCCTGGAACTTGTTACATTTGCTCCTGAGCGACTTGGCTGTTTGGTCAATGAGGTCGTCTTCACGCCGCTTTTAACTGCCTGAGGAGGACTTCCCTTTGTTGCTGAACCTGTATTAGTGTTTGCTGAACGCAAAAGTTTTTGCCCACTGCTCATTCCTCCGTCACCCCTAGAGTCTTCTATGGAACGTTCGACTGCTTTCATCTTTGAACAACAGCAGAAACAGTCATCATGAGCGAGTAAGTCCAACAGAACACCGCGCAGTTTGTTCGGGAGCTGACTTGCCGATCTAGTCATGAGGGCGACGGTCTCGACCTTGATCGTAGGTTTTCACCCAGATGTCACACTCTTGCTTTCCTCTCTGTTATGCTAGACTAGCATCTAACATCTTCTAGGATGGGAGGAGGCGAGCTTACCGGGCGATTCCGTCTTTTCATATGCACGATCCGATGTGTTCAACGATGGAATGGCCACTAAGAATGGCAATTTCCATCCACCCACAGGATCAGCATACCCATCTGCGCTGAGACGGGAGCCACCAAATCGATCTCGGAACGAACCCTTTGTAGATTCCTTCTACCCACCACGACAGGCGCCTCTTGTTACCCAACACAGACGAGATGTTATCCCACCATGGCAAATTCCCACCGTTCCCGCAAGCAAGAGCCCTGCTCAGCTTCAGTTCGAGAGTGGCCAAGCACCGAATGGTGACTATGAGTTCGCATCGACCTGGAAACACCATCGGGTGATGGCATGGAGTGGCAATAGGGCGACTCATCCATTTCAAGTACTCCGAGAAATCATGGCGAAAACCGGATCCTTCATAAAACAACCAAAGGACGAAGACGATAGGCTCTTCATCTGGGGTGAACCCCATCAGGTCGCCGATACCAAGGCCGCGGTGGCACGGTGGGAGCGCGATGTCCTGGAATCGCCCGCAGAGCCGAGACCGATTGCTTGGGCCAAATACAAAGCACTTGATGGCAGAGCCGAAAATCGAGCTGACCGACAGGATCGTCAGAAAGCATTCGACCAGATACTCCGTGAGGCGCAAATTGACTTTCCAGTCGAGGCTGCTCTCCTGTGGCCGAAAGACATGGACCTTGAACAATTTGAAACGGGCAACGCCGAAGTCCTTGATCAACTTAGAAGCAAGTTCGGCTGTCGCATCGCGTTTCCTTCGACCGAGCCGCCGCATATATTGATCGGAGCCCAGTCCAAAAAGGACGCTCATGCCATAATGACGAGGATGGCGAATCTGATCAAGGAGAATATCTCTGCCAGAGATTATCTCCGGACGCTCAACCTCGTGCATCTCCCCGATCACGAGATTTGCAGAGATGAGGTGGCACTTCAAGACATCGACCCAAAATCGGGTACCTATTTACCTACTCTGCACGGCACTCCACCAGCCGACGAGGAAAAATGGGATCAAAAGAGACGCCAAGCTCATACTAACAATCGCAAAGAAATCAAAAAGGCGATTGATTCTTCCATCAAGGGGCTTAGGCTCTCACAGCAGCACGTGCGCATGAGGGTGGCTTTTGGCGAGTTGGGATTCATGCGCTTTCAGAAACCAACCGACGGGGCAGAGCACTATGGGTTTGGCGAATTCTACGACATGGTCACAAAAGGGCGGATCAAATTGACTTTGAACGGTATCCCGGTCCGGCAAGCTCAAGCTGCAGATCTTCCAGACGTACTCGAATCAATGGGCGTGTTCTCGGAGCGTACGGAATACTACGGAGCCTTCTTTGACTTCCAAGGGACATCACCAAATACTATCCTTCGGCTCGAGACTATTTTCTACCCAAGCGGCACAGACGAGACGGAGAGCCGGGAGAAGCGATGGATAGAGTTGGGTGACACGGTCTCGAGACTTCAAGTCAGCCTCATCGATTTCGAGAGACCTGATTATCAAATCACTCTTGATGCCTTTCCCCTTCGCAACGACAAGACCACCAAAGTACACATGTCCTCATTCCAGGCCAATGTCACGATGGAGCGTCCGATGGACGGCATCAAGTCACTCCCACGGCGACGAGCCAAGTATCCGCCTGGCCAGCGCAAACTGCAACGTGTTGCAGAGCTGATCACGTTGAGATGGCGATTCAAAAATACGGACGGCATCTTCGAACTTCGCCGCAAGGACGTTTACGATGAACTACCAGGTCGAGAGAACCAGGTCCCGGTGGAGACCAGGTGGCACGCCCTGTACTACTATCCGCACTGGGACAACCTCATGGGAGAATTTGCGAGTGTCAAGCCCGGCGAAGAAGTCCGCTGGGTCAAGTCCGTCGCAACATTCATCCCTGAAGGCGGTGATCAGTACGGGCCTGCACTACCAAAGGGGTTCAAGAATTTCATGGGCGAAGTTGAGGAGATCCAGGATTATCTGGCAGCGGCTATTCGTCGTCTGGAGAACGGCAAGGGAAAAGCAAAGGCTACAGAACTGAACTGAACTGAACTGGGGCGATCAGACCCGCGATTGACGGTTGTCAAACAAGTTCGGAGGAGTGGTGTTGATTTGGGGAGAGGACCTTGAGAGCGAGCGAGCGACGGATGAGGGATTGCCTTCAGTCATGCACGCGATGCCATGATTTGCAGGACTGATTCGTCAAGCTCTGCGCTTCAACGAGTCTAAGCAGTGTCTTTGCTGCAGCAGGGAAAGGACCCCAAGGGCCAAAGGTTCACCGCATAGATAGCACAGATGAGTTTTTTCCTGTTAAAAGTTGTCCCTATTCTATCCGCGCCCCTTTTCCTCGTGTCGCCAAAGCTCCCTTTTCTAAGCATTCTGAATATCCTCGAGATATTCTTCATCTACCCTGCGGATCCGCTCCCACTTGCTCCTCCCACCGCCGCCGCGGCCTGTCGCCCAGTACTACCAGCACCGAACTGCATGGGCTGTTCCTCGACCATCTTCCGCCGCAGCGCGTCCTCGACGACCCTCAGACTCTCCGTCTTGCCGCTCACTACCTTCTCAATGTCCTGCAGGTTTTTGGTCAACTCCTCAACCTTGCCCTGGTAGAACTTTGTCGCGTCCGCGGGGGTCTTTTCGACGAAGAATCCCGTGCCTACGTCGACCATGACCGTGGGGGGTTTCGACGGTTTCATAGTTGACGATGTAGAGGCAGAGGAGGGGGATTTGGGCGCGGCCAGCGTGCCCGGAACGTAGAGCGAGGTTGTGAGCGGGATGAGCAGGGGCGTGTCTGTTTTGCAGAGTTGTCAGTAATTTCGTTGGTTATAAAAAGCATTTAATATGTGCATGTGAGGAGAAATCATGCGGGCCATGCGGCACAGCGATACAGCAATACCATCGCCCACCGCACCCAACAAAGAAAAATGAAAACGCGGGACGCATTACCTCCACTCCTCCCCTGCACCCCGTCCTGTATGCTGCGGATGCAGTCCCGGAAGCGCGACTGCGCGGCACGCAGCCTCTGGTACGACGTGCTCAGGTGCTCGAGTTCCTGGGACAGCCGGGCCTGCAGCGCCGAGATCTGCTGCACCGAAAGCGTGGTGATGTCGACGGGCGTCTGTGCGGACTGGGACATCTTCTTTGTGTGTATGTGCACTCTTCCTGGCCTGTGCGTGTGTATGTGTGTGTCTCTCTCTCTCTCTTTCTGTAGTCTCGACGTCTAAGGTAGGGGGGATCGGGAATTGGGAATCTCTCGCGTGAGGGGTCGTTGCTGGCGCTCGCTGTCGTCTTTGTACGGACTATACCCTGCCGACTTGTCTGTTTGAGATCCAGGGAAGGTAAGGAGATAACACTAAGTAAGCACTCAGACTCAAGGAGGAGGACGAGGTGTTGATATTCAGTTTTGTCTTGACCTTTTTCGTGGCACGTGGGTTATTTTCCGAGGATCAGAGCAGGCGGGGAAAAGTGGGCGCCATTCATTGCAGCCTCGTGGGACAAGGCTGTGCAACCTGACCCATGCCCATACCCAACCGGTACTTTTCATCTCGATGCAGAACACTGTACAATCTCCCAAAAACCGCTCATCCTGTATATGTCTGGATATATGGATGTATCTTACATTGTGCGAGTAGGGTATCCTAAAGTACAGTATTAACTACACATCGCTTTTGGGGGGAGGGAACATCAAAGCTGCTTCAGCAGATCATGCACGAACCCGACTGCGTCGCTGATGTCGACCTCCTCTTTGACCTTCAGCCTGCGGCACTGCACCTCGACCTTCCCCTGATCAAAGCCTTTGCCCACAACCACTATGACAGGGTATCCAATGACATCCGCATCCTTTAGCTTCCAGCCCATGCCTTGCTCTTGTCGGTCATCGAGGACGACATCGACGTTGCCCAAGTCCGAAGAGGACAGTTGACTACAAAGCTGCTCGGCAGCACGCAGCCTCTCGGCGTGGGATGGCTGAACAACAACGACGGCTTCGAAAGGCGCAATAGCTCTTGGCCAATTGAGACCAACATCGTCGGAGAGACACGATGCGACTGCTGCAATCAAGCGAGATACGCCGATGCCGTGACAGCCCATTTCCACGGGCACCGCTTCTTTCCCATCGCTCAGCCTGGCGACAAGACCAAGCTTAGAACTGTAACGGGTGCCGAGGTGGAAGGTGTGACCGATCTCGATCGCCTTGTCCACGCTCAACTTGCCATTTCCGCATTCTGGACAAGGATCCCCCGATTGCTGGTTCAGCAAGTTGATGCCACCGGTTTTGTCATTCTGCGGAGCCTCAATAACATATGCGTCAATTTCTTGGTTCATGGGAGGTGAAGCAATCAGGTCGCTGATGTCGTCCAGCCGGACACGCGAGTCGAGGACATAGTATATTGCCAGCTTTTCCTTTGAACCATCCGTCGTGGCACTGGCTACAGACTCCTTGAAAGTTTCGGTGGGTTGTTCCAGCCCTGTATCTATGGTCAAGACACCGTTGAGAGCTGCCTTGACCGCATGTGCATTGATGGATCGCACTACGGCTTTATCTTGAGCGATTCCGCTGGGCAGTGAAGGACCAATGGCACGTACAAGACTGAGACGGTCGGTGCTGAGAAAGTGCTCTTCAATATATTTCTTTCCCGAGTTGCCATCCGCTGCAATATTGGATACTTCAAGCGGTCTTGGTGGATACACTGGTTGCGAAACAAATTCTTCATTGTGTGCATAGTCGCATTCCGAACATGTAATGACAATGTCTTCCCCAGCGAAGTTCGGGAAGTGGTACTCATGGCTGAGGTTTCCCCCCATGTCGCCAGAAACAGCTCTCGCCTCGACGTATTTGATCTTCAGCTCGTCAAGGAAGTTGCGATATGCGCCTCTTATCTGGTCGTACGTTACGTGAGCATGAGCAGGGGTGGAGTCGAAAGTATATAGGTCTTTCATGAGAAATTCGCGGCCCCGAAGCAGGCCGCCACGAGGGCGCTTCTCGTCACGGTATTTTCGACCAATCTGGTACAGTCGGACCGGGAGTTGTTGTTTTGTCTGAATGATTTCGGAGAGTAAGGTGGTGATTTCTTCTTCATGAGTCGGTGCCAACAGCCACTCCGTATCCCTCCGGTCTTTGAACAAGAACATTTCGCCCCCGTGTTTCAGGCGTCCCGATTTCTCCCACAGAGCTTGCGAGGATATGGACGACAGAGAGACTTTTGAGGCTTTGACAGATCTCATGTGCTTGTCGATGAGCCGTTCGAGCTTTTCCTGCACCCGCAGCCCCAGGGGGAGCATCTGGAAAATCCCGGCATAGGCCTGGCGAAGATAGCCAGCCCGGATGAGCAGCTGGGTGGCGTCAGGTGTGGCATCGTGCTTTTGTACGTTGACGGTAGGAATCCAGAAATCGGAGATCCTTTGTGTCGAAGAGACATGGCTGTGTCGAACGCCGAAGTACCTCCATTGGGTAGAACGCCGCGTTGCTCTCCTGGGCGTCCAAGACGCGGCCGGAAGCTTCATCTCTGATTTCTGTCCAGCTCCGTTCACACACTCAAGAGCATCATTGGCGTGTCACTGTTGGTGGTCGTACATTTTGTGAGGAGCTACTGTCTCAGGTTTCGAGCCGAAGGTTTTTGAGCAATAGAGAGAGTCGCATTGAAGGTCATGAGGCAGCCTATCAAGCTGTGTTGGTTGCGGAGTTTAGTGAAATGCCAAGCGAGCTAAGAAGCTTAACACTCGCTCCACCTCCTGAATCGGCCATCGACGACGAGGCTGACATGAGAAATCGCAAGCCTTTCATCTTCCCCAACCTCCAAGACTCACAAATGATCGTGGTCTCTGGTTCTGCGCCATTAGAAGATGACTAGTCTTCCAGTCGGAATGCTTATCCACCATTATGTGGTAGAAGGAAACTGACTGCCAAGAAGAGGTAGGTTTCCCAAACATTGCAGAGGAACTCACAGAAGGAATCAGTCTGTGATACAGCCAATCATCTGCTCCATCCTTTGAGAATCTCGCACTCATACCATCCCATCGATGAAATGGCTTAGTCTGATAGGCTCACCAAGTACTGCAAAGTGCTCCCGGTATGGCTGACACGGTTTTCCCAAGCCGAGCCCGCACGAAAACTTGGGTTATTTGAGGACCTTTAGTCTCGCAGCGCACAAGATCCAACACCCACCTGTATCTCGACAATCTCTGGTCACTTCTGACCTCAGTTTCTTTCAGCAGCATCTTTCCGGCCGCAAGATGATCGCTTCGCACCTCGTTGCTGCTGTGGCGGTGTCATTCTTCGCTTGCTCTGCACTTGCACACCCCGCCACCGCCAGAGCCGAGATCATCCCCGTAAACGTCACCGTCCACTCCGTCGAGCCTTTTCAACACAGGCTCGAGAAGCGATATTTCAAGTCCAAGTCGTGGGACCCGCCATACGTTGGACATCCACCACCCTGGCCGTCTCAAGAGGACGCGGCATTCCCGATCCCTGAATTCAACCGCAGCTGCTTCACCGACGCCCGGGTCGCGCTGTGGAAGTGGCGGTACCTCTGCGACCGGGCCAACGACGAGTCCCTCAAGACGACGAACCCGCGCACCCGGATCCAGTTCTGCTTCAACCCGCCGCCCTCGGCCGACCTGTGCTGCGACGCCGACGGTAACGCCCAACGCGGCCAGACCTGCCTCACGTCCCCGCTGTGGCCGCAGACGGACCAGGAAGCCGCCTGGTGCGGCACCTGCCGCTTGTACGAAGGCCCCTGCGTCTTCGGCGAGTACCCGGAGATTAACAACCCGGAGAACGTGTGCAAGTGCCAGTTCGACAAGTGCTACCTCCCCAACGACTTCAACCCGGACCGCATCAACCCGGAGACAGACCGTAGCGGATACCCGGGCCTGAAGAAGGCCACGTACGTCCGCGACGTCAAGGTCTGGTACTCTTACTTTTCGCTCCCCAAGGATGGAATCACCGACGAGGATCTGGAGCAGAGTGATTGGTTGTGATTGTGATTTCCACCTGGCGAGCGAGGATCAGAGCGAGAAACTAGTCTTCAACGGGTTCGGGAGCGTCGGTAAAGGTATGTGTTGCGCGGTGTGTGCGCGGGATATGAGGATACAACATTCATTCTCTAACCCTTGTGGCTGAATGTTGGAGGTGGGATGCAGACGGCAAACGGCGCTGATTGCAGTTGGAGGACGAGTACGAGCAGTGCAAGACAATAACACAGAAGACATTCAACTCATTAGGGCCACCTCGAGCGCAGAACACATGAATAGTCGGTGCAGTGACTTGCTTTTAGGGACTTGCAAGAAAGAAAACGGACGAAAAAGATTTGGCAAGCGGTGTGGAAAGGGGTTTGGTATTCGAAGCTGGATCGAAGCAGTCTAAAGAGGCCGCGAGGCTGAGCATAAAACTCCATGGGTTGCCCACCAGTCACATATCATCGATCTCAATCTCATCCTTGATATTGACGAGGTTTATGTGTCTCATGAATGGCCGTTCACGCCGTTCACCTCGGCACTTCGTTCCTTCAACTCACGATACTCCTCCTGCGCTTCTCTCTCCCTCCTCATCACAAAGCTCACTTCATCCCTCAGCCTCTCCAGCCTCCGTGCCAAAGCACCTTCTTCCCCAATCTGCAGAGTCCTAAATGCATCCAGCTGTGCCCTCTGCTCCTCAATTTGTTCATAGACCGTGGAAATCTTCTGCTTCAAGGTCTTTTGCCGTGCTTGATACCCTCCCAGGTGCAACGACAACTTCTTCTCGAGTTTATTGCCTGCTTCTGCGGCAGAGAGAAGATTCTGTTGTGCGGATTTGAAAGCAGCCAAATACTCTTCTGTGGTTGTGTTCGCGGTGAACTTGAGCGGCAACGCGTTTCTTTCTCTCTCCGAGCTGACAAGGCCCTCTACTGCGGCGACGTAGGCTTGACGATCTGTTTCGTTGCATGTGGCCTTCAACTGCTGACGAGCCTTCTCCAGCAGGTCATCGGGCAGCGATCTCAACTGGGGAGGTTTGCCAATTACCTTGGAGCCAGGAAGAGGGAACTTGCTTGCGTCATTCGCCATGAGAAGAGCCGCCTCTTGTGCGATCATTGCTCGGATCGGATCAGTTATGGAGGTCGCTTCTGAGGCCAATGCGTTGTAGTTGATGGTGGTCGGTCGAGGTAGAGCTCGTTGGTAGACTTGAGTTTGTCGTTTAAACTCTGCTGCTGCTGCTGCTTCCCGGGCTTGCCGCTCGCGCCTGTCGATTTCGTCTTGATCCTCTCTGTTCAAGGTGACACTGCCTGAGGTCTCTTCTTGTTCTGACGGCAACACTTCTAATTCCCATTCTGTCTCTTTGGGTTTCGGTAGAGACGAGAGCTTCGCCCTAAGTGACTGTCTTGCGACGTTCTCGGCCAACCGCATGTCCCGTGGTGTTTGAGCAACAAGCTGTCTTTCGCCTCTTTCATTGATTGTCAGGTTGTCGCGGGGTGTGCGCAGAGGGGTGGCCCCAGGAAACTGTCCTGCACCTTCGGCTTGGCGCAAGGGTGTCGCCATCGGATTTGGAGTGATCATTTGCTGTCTTCGAGGCGCAACTCCATCAAAGCCTGTCGAGCTACTACCCTCATGCAGAGGTGTATTCTCTCCACCCAACAGAGATGACTGTGTTTCTGTGAGTGCTCTGATGTTTCTGATCTCATTTGCGATATGGTCTTCTTCTGCAGGGGCCCGGGGAGTTCGAATTGGTGTAGCTCCGACCATATTCGCATAGTTAGAGACAAGCCCCCGTTCGTCTCCGTCCTCCCGCCCGGCTGCTTTCACTGCCTTATCCCCTGCCATCCCCATCTTGACGATCTCTTCCAGCTCACTCTCGCTAACCTGAGGGGCAGGCAGGTTCAAGGCTCGTCGCTTGCTTTGTTGCTCGGCCTCTCGTAGTCGTTGCATTTGTCCTGCTCTTGCAGCGGCAGCAGCCGTGGCGGATGTTGATTTGTCCTTGTCTTGTTTTTGTCGTTTGGGATCGAGGTTATCTTCGGGATCTCCCTGTCTCTTTCGTGCCAGTTGCTGCTTGCGGGGGTCGAACAGTTCCCGCTCGCGCTCATTCTTCGCCATCTCTTCTTGCGTATCGTGAAAGCCAGGCGCAGCCTGCTTTTCGAATGGGATATCTGCATTGTAGTCCATTTGGCCTTTCTTGCGGGTGGTTATTTTGATATTGATGCCAGCATTTTTGAGCTCTCGTCGCTTCTGCAGCACAGCAAGTCTCCGTGACTCCTCCAGTTGGCGTTCGCGTGCTTTACGCTTGGCTTTCTTGCCTTGTGTGTTCGCTAGACGTGCGCGTGCCTCGCTGAGCATTTCCTTCTCGTCCTCGTCCAAATCAATGGTGTCCGGGCGCGCAGGTTTTGATTCCGGGTCGGGGTCAAGCTCGCCAGGGCGCAGTTTTCGAACCTGGTCACCTGTTGGCGCTGCAGTTTCTCCGCCCTCTGGCCCTCCAAGACCCAATTCATCATTCTCGCGGGCTTCTGCTTCGTCGAGGAGCTTCTGGTAGCGCTCCAGGCACTGCGTGGCCGTTCTTCCGACGATGGGCGCAATTGTCCGCCATTGCGTGGGCATCAACTTTGCCAGATGTAGCAACTTCTCATCCTCCTCTTTGGACCACTCGATCTTGCGAATGCCCGGGTCGAGCCATTCTGTCCATCTCGCCTTGCACTGTTTCGGGGTCTTTCGTGCGAGCAACGACGAAACTCGAGCCCACTGGTTCAGGCCATATTTGGAGACTGAGGCTTTGAGGATTTCATCTTCGATGTTTGTCCAGACACCTCCTTTGACGACCGGCATCTTGCCGTTGGGTGAGCCGTCGCAGTGTGGAACGAAAGTGCAGGATCAGGCGCAGATCGGATTTTGTAAATTGTAGACCTTTTGGCAAAGGCAACTTCGAAGTGACACCTGAATTAGTGGAGTCGAAGCTCGGAGCGGAAAATATTGGCGCCGAGTTTCATTGCTGCAAGTCTCCCAGTCCGTTACAACTACGAGGTACTATGTACTTTGCTCCTGTACCTGCGCTATCCAAAACCTTGCACTGCTTATCGCATGTGACCGCGCGAGGTGCGCTTGACGATACTTCTCTGGCTTGCCATTTGCCACCCGCGACATTGCACGAGGAAATCGGGATGGGAAACCCAGTCGCCTTTGATGACTGGACTCTTTGCAAGACTCAATTTGCCTTTGGCATGCTTGGTACGTGGGTACATGATTTTGAGTCTGTTGACGGTAAATGCCCAAAGTCTGTGCTTATTGAGGCTTTGGATTTTGGCCGACGACAGACACTGACTCCCACCGGGTCACTTGGTTGTCTTAGCGTGCTCATCGTGCTATCTCGACGAGCTAAGAATGTGAGAATCAACAACGGTATGTGGGGTAACAGGCCTGGCAGATGAAGGGGGAAAAGGTAACTTCGATGCCATGTCGCTAACATGGACAGTCTCTTTGCCGTAACGGGGATTGCGTGCCGTTGATTGCGATTTTCGGAATACCTCATTCAGGGTCGTTCGCATTTCTCGACTACGGCGATGGCAAAATGTCTACCCTCGAGCTTCATTCGGGAGATAGATTGAAGGCTATTATTGAAGCCGATTTGAAGCCTGTGTCTTCGTCAGGAAGAGTCCCCACGCAGTTCTCCAGGCAGATTCAGCATTTGATCTCCGACATGCAAAGTTGAGGCGCGAGCAAGAAAGAGCCGACTATTTAACCGATCAGCTGCATCTACTGAAGAACTCAATACGCCAAAGTACAAGACGAATAAACGCAGTTCTCGCCTCTTAGTTAAGCACAGCTGCTGAGATGGCTAATGCCTCGCTCGGGTTTTACGTGGCTCTCCAAAGCACTGGGATCATCGAGATTGCTTTCGACCCCAGCAAAAGCGCAAATGAATCTCTGTCTGTTGTAGGAATCAACACGAACGCTGGTTTCATGCCGGGGTGGCTCACCTCGTTCGCCGACAAGGTCTATAGCATCAACCGTACAAACTACCCGGACAGCGATGTCGGTTCGGGTGGCGTATTCGCATTTCAAAGAGCTTCCCCTACAACTTCGACTGGGACTGGGAACAGGCTTGTCCTCCTTAACCACGCAAGCAGTCATGGAAAGGGAGGCGTCCATTGTGAGGTGAGCCCAGACGGAAAGATCCTCGCAGCTGCAAACATCACGGCGTCGACGTTGTCAATCTATCCATTACTCGAGGATGGCTCCATCGGCGCGTCCACGTTTGTGTTTGACTACAACCAGTCGGATCCTGGGCCTAAAGAAGCACACCCGCATCAAGCAACATTTGATCCTTCAGGACAGTTTCTGTTTGTTCCGCTTCGGACAATGGATCGTCTAGACATCTACTCTGTCAACAGCCCCCAGCAAGTCAACAAGGTTCACAGCATCCCAATACCAGCACCGGCAGGAGCTCGGCATGTGGCATTCAACTCCATCAGTCCCTCCAAGGCATACATGTATCTCATCAGTGAGAAGGACAACTCGATTCGTGTCTTTTCTCTGGACTACAACACTGAAGTGGCGGTAGGTCTCACAGTCGAGTTCAAGCAGACCCTTTCGGCGATGGGAAAAGACCTCGCTCCCACACCAGCCGAGCACAAAGACCTGGCTGCTGAGATTGCTGTTAGCAGTGACGGGAGATTCGTCTATGCGTCGAACCGTAACTTGACACGAGTCGACGACGATATTCTGACAGTTTACTCTGTCGATGCCGACCCTGCACATGATGACCGCCATCTGACATTTCTTCAATCTCAATCGACACGGGGTAAGCACCCCCGAATGTTTGCACTCTCCAACGATGCGGAAAACAAGTGGGTGGCTATTGCCCATCAATTCAGTCAGGACATTACCGTTTTCGCAAGGGACACGACAACAGGTCTGCTGGGCGAGGTGAGAGGTCGAATTAGTGTCAAGGTAGTCGAGCCATACCAATCTACCCCAGACCAGGTCAGCTTTGTCAGTGTCCGAGGCCAACAAGGGCGAGAGGATTTTAAGAGAGGTCGGACAGAAGGGCCAATGTGTGTCTTGTGGAAATAGGGCCGCAACTGTCGAGATATCGGCGTAGGTCTATTCTCAGCCTCGCAAGGCTCAGCATTACCCGCTGTTTATACCACGAGTTACAAAATAAACGTCAAAGACACCCATACGCACAGACAGACTTGCCAATTGCAGTACCCACTGAGGTATTTGACTTGAAGAAAAGACTTAGTCGAGAGGTCAGTCGTCCAGCAAAGACTGACTGACGTTGTCCTCCAGTATTTTCCCTGTCGGGACGAGTCCTTCACGCAATCATTCGCAACATCTTTCTACCTTTTCCGTTAGATTCGATCGTCAAATCTTTCACCCTGTTGTCCACAATTGTATCCGCCACTACTCAATGCCATCGGTCTGAAAATTCACCGCTTTCAGAGAAGTCATGGCCTGTTCGCTCCTCTGCCGCTCTGCTTCGGCCGAGGTTTTGGGATCCATTTTTCTTAGCGATTTCGGAGTGATTGATCAATGAGAGTGCGGCAAACGGATGCGCTACTGACAAAAGACCTTTGATCAGAGGCACTTACGGGGTCAGCTTCTAGCCAAAACCCCACGGGGTACACGAGGTAGAATTGAAGTGGTGGGGAATCTCACGTTCTCACGATGCCTCTTTGAACCCTCCTCCCTTTGCTGGCTTCTGTATATGAAGGGTCGAATTCCCTGTGGTCTGGATGCCTTCGATTTCCACCTTCTAAGCTCAAGACACTTCGATCTCAGAACTTGGGCCGCTATCCTTCAATATCTCGCAGCCCAGGCTCTGTCCAGCGCCAGGCCACAGGCACCATGGTGTCCTTCAACAACAGGATCACGGAGAATGTCAATGGGAAACTGGCGTTTGCTTCCACGGTCATGATGCTGTCTCAAATCAATTTCGGAATGGACCTCGTCGCCTTCTCCAACACCCAAGCCATGTCTACGTTTAACAAGAAGTTCGGCCATTACAATGCTAAACTGGAACGATATGCACTGGACCCGTACTTCCTCTCGCTCCTGAACAGCCTTACCTACGTCGGTCAAGCCTTTGGCGTCATCACAGGTGGTTGGATTGCTCGACGTTGGGGCCGAAGGGCTTCGTTCTGGGTCATGTCTGTGTGGGCAGTGTTGTCTGCTCTGCTCCTCGTCACGGCACAGAAGAAAGAACAGGTCCTCGTGGGTCGCATTTTCAATTACGTGTACCTTGGCCAGGAACTTGTCACGGTTCCGGTATACCAGGCAGAAATTGCTCCCCCAAAGATCCGAGGGATGATTATCGGCACGTTCCAACTCGGTACAATGGTAAGTAGAGCGCTTTCTACAGGCGTGGCAGTGACTTGCTAATACTGCGTCCAGGTTGGTGCTTTCATCATGGCATGCATTACCTACGGGACGAGCAAGCTAGACACCGAGGCCGCATTTCGCATTCCCTTTGGCATTTTCTTCGTTATCCCAGTGGTTGTCTTTGTCGGATCTTTGTTCATGCGCGAGGTACGTGTATCCGTCGAGTCTCTTGATAACCCCAATCCGTTCTTCTTGCTTACTTGTTGCTGTCAGTCCCCACGTTGGCTTCTTGTCCGAGAACGATCAGAGGAAGCCCTGGAGTCGCTCCGGCTCTATCGACAGGGCAAATTCACCGAAGAGGAGATTATGGAAGAATACCGTGACCAGGTGGCTATGATCGTCGCCGTCACGAACGACAAAGGCACATTCAAGGAGATGTGGCAGGGGATCAACCGCAAGCGATCCCTCATCGTGATCGGCTCCAACATCAGCATCCAGATCAGCGGACAAGGACTGTTCAGCAAATACGGCACCATCTTCTTGACCGACCTCCATGGACCGAATCCTTTCCAGATGTTCCTCATCAATACGTCCTTGCAGATTGTGGTCATCCTGGCTGCTATGTATCTCTTTGACAGAATCGGTCGCAAGTAAGTTTCACTCGACACGAGAGAATTCCCCAGACTAATGGTCTATGGGCAGCCCTCCGTTGATTATCGGGTCCATCATTCAGACCACCACATTCCTCGCCATCGGTGGACTCGGGACTATATCGGATCCCAGCAAAAATGTCAAAGTCGGACTCACGGCCCTGTTTACCGTCTACTACCTGGGCTTTGTCTTTGGCTGGGGTCCCATCTACCACATCCTCTCATCCGAGATACCCACCTCACGTATGTTGCCTGTGTTTCCTGTTCACAGTCTGTCCATTCCGTGGAATGAAAAGGCTAATAGCCCATATTTGGATGCAGGCATGCGAGACATCACATACACGGTATCCAGCATCTTCACCGTCGTCACGCAATTCGTCGTCTCTTTCACCATCCCGTACCTGCTGTACGCGCCGTACGCGGACCTCGGGTCCAAGATTGGCTTCATCTTCGGGCCCATCGCCTTCGTCACGCTCCTCTTTGCCATATTCTGCGTGCCCGAGTGTCGCGGCTTTTCGCTCGAAGAGATCGACCACCTGTTCAGGGCACGGGTGCCTATCCGCCAGTTCCGCAGATACAAGCACGGCCAGATTCTGCCGGAGGGGGGTACCGAGAAAGAGACGGAGAAGGCGGGAGAAGGGCCTTCTGTGGAGCTCAAAGAGGTCGCTGAGATGTAGACTCTCGGTTGATGGGATGGATGTCCTGGAGAATGTCGTGAGGAGCAACGCCTGCTTGGGAAAGGTGAATGGTACCAGTATACGTGATAGTGATTGTCATCTACGGTATAGTGATTGCAATAAGGATATCAGTCATGATGTTTACCTTAAAACATAGCCTGGATCATGCTCAGTCCATCTTCCCTATCTAGCAATTCTTCTTCGTTCTCCTTCACATGAATCCCTCGGGCATAGCAGAGCAACCAACCCGCGCCCTCCCCCTATGGAGGTCAGAAGATATGCGGTGGTGGAGGGAAAACTCACACCTGCGAATCTTCCCAACTCAGCAGAGGAGCCAGACTGTTGCATTCTTTCACGGCAAGATATTCACCCGCAGTTCGCAACAGAGGACGATTTGGGGTTATGGATCAGCAGTCGCACTATTTCTGACGTCTGGTGGCGTTGTTTCTCACTTGACCATCTTTCCATTCCGACTGACGCTGATGCCAGGTTCTGATGCCGAAACATTGCGACTTCGCAGTGTCGCCACGCATGATCCGATGATCATCCCCAGGTTTCCCCGCCAACTAGTTCCTCTGTTCCTCCACAAATCATCGCTTGCCTGCGTTGCGTCTCTCCGGAATTCGAAATGAGACACTCCGAAAGGCCCTCGACCACCGCATCCCTCTCCCCAGTGGCTCGTTGAGCTGCCACGGTCGCTTTGAATATTCCCCGATGAGGAGTGGTGGACAGGTCTTTGCGATGGCGCACAACCAGCTCGGGCCCGAAGAGAGGTCCGATGAGGGATTTACAAGAATGTACAGTGACAAGACTAAGACATAAAGAGCGCCCGCTGGTCACTCACGTCGAGTAGCACAAGTCTATTGGGAATTATTTGGGGAACAAGTCAAGTCGAGTCCATAGACAAACACCAATATCAGCCAAGAATATCAAGATCGGTATCGAATCATCTACTGTCAATATGTCTCCGGGACGAACAAAGGACGAGCTCCGCATCTTCACCCCCGTCGGCCAATTCGGCCAGGGATGGAACTCGAGCGTCTTCTGGGATGTGGTGGACTCTGGTGTCGACGCCATCATCGCCGACGCCGGCTCGACCGACAGTGGGCCTGGACGTCTCGCGCTAGGCAAGACGGCAGCCTCCCCGGCTGGATACAAGAGGGACTTTGGCGAGCTGGTCAAAGCATGCCACACCCACGGCGTCCGCTGCCTCATCGGCTCTGCCGGCGGTTCTGGCTCGAACGAGCTCGTCGACATGAGCACTCGGCTCATCAAGGAGATCGTCGAGGAGAACGGCTACCGTCCGATGAAGGTCATCAGCATCTACGCCGAGATCCCCAAGGAGACCGTCCGGCAAAAGTTCAAGGACAACCTCATGAGTCCGTGTGGCCAGGCTGTGCCCCAGCTCAAGGAGGAAGACATCGACTCTGCGGTGAGGATTGTCGCGCAGATGGGCTTGGAGCCCTATGTCAAGGCGATGAACGAGAACCCGGACTTTGATATCATCATTGGTGGCCGCTCTTATGATCCTGCCCCCTACGCGGCGTTTTGTCTCCACCATGGATTTGAAGATCTGGGTGAGTGTCGCCATCTTGCTCTACTCCCAGGCTCTATTCCCCCGGACTTCTTTGTGAACCCCATCTCATCCCTCTTCACGCACGTTAACAAGAAATGGCTGGCTAATCCACTATCCTACGACAGGGATCAACTATGCCATGGGCAAGATCATGGAATGCGGTGCACAGTGCGCGATCCCCAAATCCCGAGAATCGCTCGCAATTGTGCGCCGTGACAACTTCGACTTGATCCCGCTCCAGCCTGGAGCACGATGCACTCCCCTGTCCGTGGCAGCCCATCTCCTGTACGAGAAGAGCAGACCAGACATCCTCCAAGGGCCAGGCGGCGAGCTGCACACCAAGGATATGACGTACGAGCAAGTCGACGAACGGACCGTGAGGGTGCGGGGCCCCAAATTCGTTCCCCAGCCCGAAGGGGAGTATACGGTCAAGACCGAAGCGGCGCGGATCAACGGCTATCAAAACAGTTTCGTGGGCGCGTTCCGGGACCCGATCCTGATTTCGCAGCTCGACACGTGGATCCCGGCCGTCAAGGAGACGGTCAGGGCCAGGATGTCGGGCGGTTACGAGTACGAAACCAAAATCATCACGTACGGGATCAACGGCGTCATGGGCGCGCTCGAACCGGACAAGAGTCTCCCCAAGGAAGTGTGCGTGGTCGTCCAGTGCCGGGCACCCACGCAGGAGCAGGCCAACGAGGTGGCCAACAGGACCAAGATGGGCTTGACCCATGCGCCGTACCCCGGACAGCTCGCGACGGCAGGGAACTTTGCGTGGCCGATCACGCCGTGCGAGACGCCCATAGGCCCGATCCCGGAGTTCTGCATGTACCATCTCATCCACAAGGCGGATCCGGTCGGTCTGTTTCCTTTCCGTGTGGACGTGTTTGAAGGATCCAACACGTTTGTCGATACTCGTATGTTACCCTCCTTTCACGTGTCTACATGCATGCGAAGTCAACTAACCCGTCCGATACTCAGGTGAAAAACTCCCCGTCAAAGCCGACGCCGCCGTCTCCCTCATCAAGCCTTCTGGGCCTGCCGCCCCAGGCCAACCGAGGAAATATTACCTCCAACCCGCCCCTGCCACAGGGACCTGCTACCTGGGCGACATCGCCTCGGTGGTACGAAGCAAGATCGCCGGCCCCTACGAAGTGACCTTTGACATCATGTTCCGCGAGGAAGAGGTGTACCAGCGCGTCAAGAACGCGAACGTGCTCTCCGGCGCCGCGGTGGCCAAGCTGTACAATATCCCCGAAACTGACGTCGTTGCCGCACTCTGGTGGGACCCAGCCAGGGCGTTCAAGGCGACCATTCCACGGTACCGCGCCTCAGCCGGGTTTGAGGAGACGGACACGCACGGGTCGCAGCAGCACGCGCCTCTCCTGTTCTTGACGCTGCCATGGGGGAGAGAGTAGGACTTTAACTGGGCGGATGAAAGGGGACCATGGGGGCTTGATGGCGATGATGATAGTGATGAGCTTGAGAGAATATCTTAATTCAATCGATGTATTTGCCCAGCCATAAGATCCACCATATTCGTTCAAGCCTCCAAGTCTTGAGTCTTCTGACGACGACACAAATCCAAGTTATTTGCGTGATAATATGCTGCGTACACGATGTTTAGAGTGGTAAATATAGTAAAGTCTGTACAGAACATATAGCTTGACAACCCATGGCACTCTGTGTAGAGTGTTCTAAGACTCTGTAGCAAGAACATCCCATTTGAGTCAGTACCACCACAAGTTGATTGCAATGTTAGAGAGGCCGTTCCAAGCTCATATCGTGCAAAAGATTGTCCGAGGAATGATTTGCCCGTCCGTTCCCACATCGACAGACACAGCCGACGGAGGGAGTATCAAATGTCTCGAAGATCCCTCGTAGTTTGTGGTGCATCTCCCTCACCTCCGCATATCGCAATATTGGCAAATCTGGGGGCATTTCCCAAAGTGGCAGTCAAAGCCCGTGCCTTTTGTGGGCTCCCCATTCCACCATTGCGACTTTCGCAATGCTCACCCCAACTCCCGGGCGGCAATTGGCCATTTCAGAGAATAGAGCGGGGTTGGCCATCCTGCAGAGAATCATGGGGAATATAAGACACGACCAGTTTCGCCAAACCATTGCGATTTCACTGTGCTTGTATCGGAATCCCCTTCCCTCCCTTTCGGCATCCCTGCACATGCCCCAACCATGAAAGCCAAAGCCTGCATCCGCTGCCGCCAGTGGAAGGTGGGCTGCGATGCCGACGTCGCCGGGCCCGAGGGCTGTACGCGCTGCCGCAGCGTCAATGCCAAGTGTGTCTTTGGGGCCAACTTTCGCCGGACGCCCAAGAGGCGCATGTTGGCGGATCTGCAGGACGAGGTGACTCGGTTGAGGGCTTTGACGACGGTGTTGACTGCTGGAGAACGAGAACGGGAACAAGGACAAGGACAAGTACAGGTACAGGTCCCCGTCGGCGAGAGTCCTACGACGTCGTTGGAAACGAATGTTTCGTCGTGGGGGGTGGAAAATACTTCTTCTTCTTCATCAGCGATTGTTGTCGAGTCTATACCGACCGCAGTCCAGCAACCACCACCACCGCCACCACCAACAACAGAATCTCCTCCTCATCCAATACAAGTTCCACATCTGTACTACAAAGGCAACAGTCATGTCCAGCTCACGGCCACACAGGCCAACGAGCTGTTCCGCATCTACTTCACAAGATGTCACCCGTATCTCCCCTTTGAGATGTGCCGGTCTGTCCAGATCGTCTATGATCGCTGTCCGCTCCTCTTCTGGGTCGTCTGCGCCGTCGCATCCACGGACAAAGCACGCCCGCAACTTGCAGAAATTGTCCGCAGTCATGTCGGCAGCGTGTTGGATCCCAGCACCGGTTCCGTCGAGGTGGTACAGGCCCTGTTGATCCTCGCAATGTGGCCCTTTCCTTTCAAATCACAGAGGTTCGACCCGTCGTTCATGTACGGCGCACTAGCATGCCAACTGGCGCTGCAGATCGGCTTGCCTCGACCGGCGGTGACATATCCTGGCTGCGCAAAGTCTGACACCGTGAACAACGACGACCATGGCGTGCGGACCACGACGTGGATCGCGTGCTTCGTGGTCAACCAGATCCTCGCCAGCCGACTGGGAGTTCCCGCCACCATCTTCGCCGACTACGCGCTCCTGTCGTCCCTCGATGACCCTCTGGTGTCACCGCAGCTGTCCCACCTCTGCGCCATCTCCCATTTAACGGTCGAATCGGCGCACGCGATCGGCGCGCGGGCTGTCAACGTCTCCGGCCTTGCCGACCCGATCCCACGGATCAGCCTGATCACCATCTTCGCGCAACAATTCGACGAGCTGCGTCGAACGCGGTTCCCTTCGCCGAGCGAGATCGAGGAGATCTTCTTCCTCAGCTCGACGCTGCAACTGTGGTCGTTCGCGCTGCACAACGACGTGCCCATCTCTGCCGAGACGTTTTCGATCGTGCAGCGCGCGCGCCACGACGCGATCCGCCTGATCCAAGTGGCGTGCGAGAAGAACCTGGGCCTCGTGCCCTTCTACACGCACCGCTCCGTCTGCTTCGCCGCCCTGCTGCTGTACCACATCAAGCTCAGCCCGTACGGCGTCCTCAGCGACGCCCTCCTCGACGACCACATCGCTCGCGCCCAGCAGGCCCTGCAGTCGCGCACGGGGCCCGACCTCGCCCGCTTCCTCCAGACGCTGACCTCGCCCGAGAACCGGGCCGAGTTCATCGCCCGCCGCGACAAGAGCGCCTCGCACCGCTGGAAAATGGGCGCCGCCTTGACCTTCGACTCGGCCCACGCGTACGCGAACCTGACGACCCAGGCCGAGGCGCTGTTTTTCCCAGAGTTGTTGGACCTCGATGGGTTTTTGTTCGAGACGCCGACTTCGACGACCATGTTGGGGTGAATGGTTTTTACCTGTCTTTTTCTCTCTCTCACACTGCCCGCGGGTGTGGACAGCGCCATGCAGAGATAAACTAGCAAGAACGAAAGAGGATTCTTAGCAAAAGGACCGGGCGAAGAGGTAAATATTTAGTACTCGGAAGGGGAAGGGGGGCCACAATCAAAAGCCGGACCTGTTATTATCCTTTTCAAAGCATATATGATTTCATGGATCATGGATCATGTCTCGTTCGACCCTTTTTTTTCTTTGCTTTGTCCACCCGCACGCGCGCATGCAATCCCTCCACCAGCCCCTACTCATAAAGCATATCATATCATATCATATCATCTCACATGTCAATGCCAGACTAACAAAGCTGTTGCACTCAGTCAGAAGGGATACGACTGCTGACTGTTAAGTGGCCATTCATCCCCCTTAAGTGTCAAGGTATCAAGGAGTTTAGACAACAGCCTCTTTCCCAGCCAAGGACGCTTGTGGATGTATTTCTCGTTCGGCAGCCAGTCTGGTATACAACAGAAGCACATATTTGTCACTGGTCAGTCTCACCACTCAATACTATCTTCGCCAAAAAAAGGAGGGGAGGAAAGATAGATGGTTAGATATCTGGTCACTCACCTCTTCTTCTCCCTCGTGTGGAACCACAGCGTCAACAGGGCCAACCCAACCATTCCCGGCCCGCCGATGAACAGCACGGTGGCGAACCCGGCGGCGTACCGCGGCGCGTGGACCTGTTGCCAGACGATCAGGGGCAGCCAGATCTGGATGACATAGGCCATCTGGTTCATGCCGCCCGTGACCATGGCGCGCTCTTCGTTGTCGGCCGAGCAGATTTCGTGGGCCCAGCTAGAGACACAGAGAGTCAGAAGAACAGGGACGAGGAAGGTGTGATAATCCCGAGGACCGGGTAAGGGACATACCTCATGATAATCCCCGCCAGGGCCGCCCCGACGCCCATCAGGATGTAGCACGTCCAGCGCCAGCCATTGGGGATATTCCAGATCCAGAGGGATGTGTAGCAGACGATATTGAACATCTTCCAGCACGCAAAGTCAGTCAGTCAGTCAGTCAGCCGTCGCGCGACAATCCCGAGACACCGTCACGGAGAGGCTTGTGTGGGAAGAAACTCACCCCGCCGATGATGATCGAGGGCCACCTCCGACCCTTCAGGACCGAGTCCGACGTCCAGGCAAAGACGAGGGTGCAAAAGATCTGCACCCCGTACGTCGACGTGGGGTAGTTGTTGATCTGCGGCACCGTGTACTTTGGACTTGTCGAGTCCTTGAGAAACTGCGCAAAGACGGGCTGTCCAGAGGCGCCGCCGTTGTTCCAGCACCTGGCCGGGGGGCATCAGCATCTACACAATTACAGGCAAAAGATAACGAGAAGACCACCAACAAAAGACTTACACGTAGAGGGGAATCAGACACCAAATGTGCCACGAGGTCAGAATCTTCCAGAACTTGGCGCGCGTGTACGGCTGACGGGTCGCGCGGCCTTCGAGCTGTATGCGCTTTCGAGCGAGGGCGATGTCCTATAGCGCCAGACAATGGAGTAGAGTGTCAGATCCGACATATTTCCATGCATGGTATTGGGGCCTGGCTGTGTGGAGTAACAACTGACCTGCGGCGTAAAGTACCACGCACGAGTGATATCAGGAAAGTCCGGGATCATGAAGAAGCCGGCGAGGGCGATGGGGAGTGAAATGACGCCGTCCATGATATACAGCCTGCACATCGATATCAGTTGGAGCTTTCAAGACGTGGTGACGCATGTCGGTGGACCATTACCATTGCCATCCCCGAAGACCTCCAACGCCTTCCAGGTGGTAGACCGCCGCCATCAGATACCCAGAGAACATGGTGCCGATGGGATACGCGGCCTGGAAGATGCAGGATCTCTTGGCCAGCTCGTCTGATCGATACCAGGATCCAATAATGTATATCATGCCGGGATAGAGAGCGCTTTCGAAGAGTCCTGAGAAGGGGGAGGGGGTCAGCTGGTGTGCCTAGAAGGAATATGTTCTCGACTTGGGTATACGACACACGTCGACGAGGGGAAAACTTGCCGACAAAGAAGCGGATGGCGTAGAACTGATGAGCAGACGATGCTCGAGAAGACGCCATGGTGCAGATGGTCCATAGAAGCTACACAGGCCCGCTGTCAACAACCACCGACTCGACAAGAAGGTGAGAGAGTGTGAGTATTGACCAACCTCCATGCACGGAATAAAGATAGACGGTCTCACACGCGTGAGGATCATGTTGGTAGGCAAGCCGCCAATGACATATCCCGCCGAATAGCACGTCTGCATATAGTTCAGCTGGTTGCCGTAGAGGTTGAGATCCTCTTTCCTGTCGTTGCTGTCAGCTCGAGTTTTGCCGAAGCATCATCTTTTTCATTTGCTCTTACATCCCCGAGACAAAGGCGTTGTTCAAGTTGGCCTGGTCGAGGTACTTGATAAAGTAGCCTTCGTTGTCACCATTAGCAAACAAACAGTTTGGCCTTTCCTGTCTCCTCGAAACGTCCTTACCCAGACACCCAAACGTCAACAGCGCGCAGTCGAGTTTGAACACAAACCTGCGTTCTTCGGGAGACTTGTCCAACGAGTCCCAGATGTAGCTCCTCCAGTTCTTCTTGGCCGTGGGCGTCTCCGGGACGAGGTCTGCTGCCCGTGCTTGAGCGTCGTGGGAGGGCGAGCTCTCGAGCTCTTCGACGTGTTGGATCGCCTTTGAATCCATGGTTTCGACCAGAATGAGAACAAGCGTTGAGCACCAAAACAGGAAAGTTGAAGAGCGTCTCTCTCGATAGATATATGGGTCGACCTTGGGGGAAGGTCGGGTGGGTCGAGTGGGAAGAATGCACTTCTCTTTACCCCTTTCAGCGAGGCTGTATGTTATTAGTGGTTCTTCATCCTGCGGGGACTTTGGGGAATCTGTCCGGGGAAAAATCCAGTCACAAGCAGCTTGAGCCGTCGAGCTGTTGGTGAAAGTGGCGTGGGTCTCGCAGAACCTCCGGGCCACCTGATGTGCAGGTTCGGAGGAAGTGCGAGGCCTGGTGGCAAATCGGCATTTTCCCTTTGAGTTGATCAAGGAGGAAGACGGTAGACGTTAGAGGGCCCGCTTTATTATGTGGCAAGGGTGAATACGGTGTGGTTGGATATCTATGATCTTCTCTCGCCCAATGCCCTGTATGAGCCTATGTAATGGAAAAGCAAAATGGGTCAATGGACGATGTGAGCATCCAGTCCTCGTCGAACCCAAAAGCACCCGAGACATTCTCACTCAGCGGCCCGTAGGAATCGTCCTCCATGTCGGCCGGAAGATTGAGGGGATGGTCCCCGTCGTGTCGTGCCAGGTATAAGGGTTTGGCTTTGAGTCTGGAGATCATCTTGCTCAACCCCGTCGCGATATGGCGACACAAGTGTCTCCGGCTGGCTTGAGCGCTCGACATCAAGTCCACCACAGCCTGCACAAGATCGAGAACCTGCCGTCTCTCAATGTTCAGCGACGCCGAGTTCCAGCTCCACACGACCTTGAGCAGAAACACGGCGGCGAACGCGATCATGGTATGCTTGAACAGGGTCACGCGCGCAACGGCATTGCGAATGTCTGGCTCGTGCAGGACCAAGTTCATGGTGGACATGGCAGAGGCAATGGCCGCGTTGGCCGCCTCTCTGCGATCAAGGGAGAATTGATGGTTGGGAGATATTGCCCGCAGAGCGAGAGAGTTGAGCTGTAGTTTGGCGAAATGGTAATGCAGGACAACGCCTTTGGATGGGTACGTGCCGACATACGGATTGGGGGCTGAGGTGTTAGTATCCCTCTCTCTTCAGGCTGGTCTTGGACAAGTATCTCACCTATTCTGGGTTGCCATTTCATCCGCCACCCTTCCACCTCCAAGCAGAAGGCTCTCAAAGTGTTAAAGTCCTCCTCATTCAGTGGTTGCTGGCTGTCCGACCCAAAGGTGTGATACGCATTGGTCAGCACAATGAACAGGGCCACCTGAGCCATCAGTCTCATATCTGCTGGCCCGGCCATGGGTGAGCTCAAGAAAGACTCGTATCCTTTGATTGCGGCATTGTCGTGGATGACGGGAGGACGACCATAGGCAATGCTGTAGTGATGGTCACACACGTAGAGGAGATACCACAACTGCGCTCGCTCGTATTGATCCGGCTCACCTCGTTGCATCTTGTGGAATGCTTGATGGAGGTTCAGCTCGGTCGCAATGCGAACGGCCACTCCCGAGAGTTTCCAGCTGAGGTCGGAGAGCCAAAAGGCACCAATACAAAGAGCTCGAATGTCGTCCAGGTTGTGGTCGCGGTAGATGAGGGACCCGGAGATCAGGGAGACAAACTCTGAATAGCAGAATTCAAACATGTCCTCCCCCTGCGGGATGTGCAATGCGGCCACGGCAAGGATGGCGGCACAGAGCAGGGAAGAAGATCTCCGCGCAGACTCGAGGTCACGGTGAACAAGGGCAATTCCTCCCCAGAGGATGTGGTTCATGGTGGTGTCAAAGAAGGAAAACAGTTCCCTGGCGACATGGTGAGGCAGGGCTCCGCGAGAGATCAAATCGTCCTCGGGCGTCTTTGCAATCCTGTGTTGGGACACATCACTGCGGATATTCCTCAGCTTTGTGACTTCGAATAGACTGCGCATGGGTGCCGAGACAAGTTCCTGTTCTGCTGTGGGTTCCTGAGACGTTTCCCGAGTTCTGACTTCGCGACTATCCTTGCTCGCTGTAGCAACAAAGCTCAACTTGAGACGGTCGGAGTTTACTGGCTCTGTAAGGCCTGTAGGGAATGAGGATAGAGGCGGCATGCAGTTTCTCTGGAGTATCTCAGTCACCGCAGCCTGGAGCTGGACGATGTTGGTCTCGGCCTCTTTCTTCCAGCTTCAAGATTCGTCGTGTCAGATTTCATTCGATCCTCGCACAGTGATAGAGACACATACTCTTGATCATCCTCGAAGATTCTCTCCAGCTTGTTGCTGCTGACGCAACGATAGCCATACTTTCTGCATCGGGCGCAGTTTGGCTGTCCGGGAGACTGATCGCAGCGCACCTTGTGCTTTTTACATTCCGTACCTTGACGACGATGAGCATCGTTGCCCATGCTTTAGCTTTTGGAGTGGTTGAAGAAGACTCACAGGCACGGCTCTTGTAAGGCAGCATCCCTCACGTGTCACATGGAATGTTTTACCTGGTGACTGAGACCCAAAGGACTTGTTCCTGTGGGGGGGGGATCCTTACTCCTGAATTCGTGAAGTTCGGAGTGCCAGCGACATATGCTGGAGTAAGGTCATCTAAAACCGGAAGGTCGCCGTGATCGGCGAGGTAAAGCCATGAGTATCCCTGCCGAAAGCATTCCGTCCCTTGGAGTAGTCTCACATTCAGGCGAGAACGGCACAACGGATATCGGCTCCTCTCTGAGTCTGTGTGGTCCAACATGTCGGCCTCCACCCGTGGTATGAGGAAAGTGTGAAAGTATCGTGGACTCCCCGTGAAACCAGGATGAGAGCAAGGCTTTTAGGCTATGAATGTCAATCACAGGTCCTTTCGAGTTAGACACCGACTAGAGCATGAGTCTACTCTGTCTATTGGTGCCTCTCCGCATCGTCTGCTTAATGCGTGCCGAGGTCGGTTGGAGAATGCAGCATCGGAGAAAGTGCGAACGACATTACATACCACTCGGGGATGGCCGTGGTTGATGGCACAGGAGAGGTATCATGGTCACCACAGGAAATCACTCCATGGCTTCTGCTGGTAGAGGCTTCAAGATGCCCGGGTTTCCCCACTCGAGGCAATTCTCCGGTGGTGGTCAATCAGACGACCTGCGTGTACATACAAGTATGTGATGGCTTCTTTGCACCGAAGAAAGCATCTTAGTGTAGGACCACCACCGTTTCCCTGTCAATGAGGAAGCAACATGTCACTCCACGTTCCCATAACCGTCCATGGAGACAAGAGACAGGGGCCGTTCAAGCCCATCTACAGATTCTTTGGATGCGACGAACCCAACTACGTCTACATGAAAGACGGCGAGAAATTGATCCAGAAGCTGGGCCAGCTGGGAAGTGACCAGGTCTATTTCCGTGTCCACAATCAATTCACCACGGGCAAGGGAGTCCATGCCCTGAAATGGGGGAGCACGAATGTCTACACCGAGGACGAGGCGGGAAACCCCATCTACGACTGGACCATCATCGACCAGATCTACGACACGTGGCTGTCGCGCAACGTCAAGCCCTACGTCCAGTTTGGATTCATGCCCGAGGCCCTGTCGACCGATCCCCAGCCGTACCAACACTCGTGGACGCCGACGGCTTCTTACAAAGAAGTCTTCACGGGCTGGACGTATCCCCCTAAGGACTACGAGAAGTGGGGGGAGCTCGTCTACCAGTGGACCAAGCATGTGGTCGATAAATACGGCAAGGCGGAAGCGGAGACCTGGTACTGGGAGACCTGGAACGAGCCCAACATCGGCTACTGGCAAGGAACCCACGAGGAGTACTGCAAGCTCTACGACTACACCGTCGAGAACGTGCGGAGGGCTCTACCCACGGCCTTCGTGGGTGGTCCTGAAACGGCCGACGGCGGGCCAGAGTACCTGCGGAGGTTCTTCGAGCACTGCCTACGAGGCAAGAACTATGTTACTGGAAAGATAGGCTCTGCTCTCGACTTTACCTCGTTCCATGCCAAAGGGAAGCCAGAGTTTATCGAGGCGTCGCAGCACGTTCGCATGAATGTCGGTCGACAGCTCCGCATCATCGACGAGTCTTTCGGTGTCATTGCGTCGTTCCCCGAACTCAAGGACAAGCCCATTGTCATTGGGGAGTCAGACCCAGAGGGCGCCGCGGCTGCCCAGGGTCCGCAGCTTGGATATCGCAATGGGACCATGTATTCGTCCTATACCGCAGCCAGCTTTATCCGCAAGCAAGACCTTGCCGCTCGACACGGCGTCAATCTTGAAGGCGCTCTGACCTGGGCATTTGAATTCGAGGACCAACCGTACTTTGCTGGATTTCGGGTCCTGGCGACCAACGACATTGACCTGCCCGTTCTCAATGTATTCAGAATGTTTGCAAAGATGGGAGGATCGCGCCTCGAGACCAAGAGCCAAGGACAGGTCCCACTAGAGAACATTCTCCAGAACAGTGTGCGAGACGGACCGGATCTCGGTGCTGCTGCCACGTTGGATGGGGAGAGACTGAGCATCTTCGTGTGGCATTACCATGATGACGATCAGCCGGGGGAGGTGGCCAACGTGGACATCTCTCTCCAGGGACTCAAATGGAACTCGCCGAGCAGTAGTCGACTGAAGCACTACCGCATTGACGAGCATCACAGTAACGCATATACAAAGTGGAAAGCCATGGGTTCTCCACAGACCCCGTCGAGCGAGGAATATAGGCAGCTTTCTGAAGCGGCCAGGCTGACCACGCTGGAGGACCACGAGACGGAGATTGGCACCAGAGATTCCATCACAACATTGTCGTTTGCTCTTCCTCGCCAAGGCGTGTCTCTGGTCGTGCTCGAGGGAGTCTCGTAGAGATTTGACCACAGGTAGATAGTTCATCACCATCTTCAGAGGAAAGAAGAGAAAGGCAGAAGTGAATGTTGTTGGCTGTTTCTTCACTGAAGGAGTTAGAACTAAGACCCAATATTCCGCCGTGTGACTACCTTTGGTCTGTTTGACACAGATACGTCGAGCAGGTATTCTCAAAACCAGAAACTCTATCATAGCTGGTGACCACTCACTTCACTCCACGTCGACTTAGCAAAGATGTTGTTGTCCCATACTTCCAGCAACTGGTCCTGCGAGTGGAGTTGGTCCTAAGCTACTTCTGGCAACAGACACCGTGAACTAACGGTTTACAGCCCCCATGACACGAGGAAAAGAGCCTTGGCGGAATAAGATTATTCCATTAAATCCGATTCCAATTGGCAGTCACATATGATATGTCACTCTAGCTACGCGCGCTCTGGTGACGACAATACCATGCCGCGACGCATCGAGGTGGTGGGTTCAGCGCGTTGTTGGACAAGTCCGATCCGGATTATGTACGAGGACCGAGCAGTGAATTTGTTAGCGCCCAGGCGAAACGGATTCGGGAATGTCTGCACTTCTCCAACAGGACGTGCATGAACCTAGTCCGGGGTGTCTGGTCACGCCATCTCCCGTGAATGGAAAAGGGCAGGGCAGTCACTCTGATCAGGCGCGTCTTACCATTGGAGAGAGAGAGAGAGAGAGAGAGATGTTGAACCACAACCACCTACCAGATGCATGGACAAGTACAAGTATGTACCGAGTACTTGGAGCGGCTTGCGATTGTGGTGGGCTTGAGAAGGACCTTCACTTCGTGAGTCCTGCCTCAAAAGGAGTAGGCCCGACTTCTCGAAACGGACATCGAGATGGTTCTGTTCGTATCAGGTTGACTGAACGGGTACAAGAATGCTGTCGGGGTCCTTCGATTACAGCACGTCGAATTGGTCGCTCGGAAACTGCGGCTGCACTTTTATGACGAGACGTGCAGAAGCTCTCTGTCTCTACCGGGGGATGGAGACACGGGCTACCAAACAAACCTATATGTAACATGCGTCAGCCAGGGGCAGCAATGGGACTTTGTTCACGGCTCTTTCGATCTGTTCTTCCCCTGCGGTCTGTCTCTGTCCTTGGACTACATACCACCTTCTGTGCAAATTCGATCCGATTTTGTGGTAAACACCTCTCCCGATCTGTTCTGTGCGCGGACATTACTTCTGGGACAAGCCTCGCTACCATGGCGGAACCGACAGGGTTGACTGCACAGTCGGGCATCGAGCTCCTAACATTTGGTGAGTACAAGTACCACCTCCTCTCCGAAAGAAACAGTAAAGGCTGACCACACTCACACCACCAGGAACGCCCAACGGCGTCAAGATCTCGATCCTCCTGGAAGAGCTCAAAGCGGCCTACGGCAAAGACTACACCTACCAAGCCATCAACATTCTCAAGGACACGCAAAAGCAGCCGTGGTACACGTCGCTGAACCCCAACGGCCGCATCCCGACCATCGTCGACCACGACCGCGGCGGCTTGGTGGTCTTTGAAGGACTCGCGATCCTGTCGTACTTGACGCGCCATTACGACCCGGAACACAAGTTCAGCTTCCCCCTCGACTCGGACGACTATTCGATCTGTGAGCAGTGGGTGGCGTGGCAGCACGGGGGAATCGGGCCCATGTAATCCACCCCTATACCGTTTCGTGGAGTTGTCTGCGTGGAGAGAGAGAGACACACACACACTGACACGCACGTCTCTCCAGGCAGGGCCAAGCCGTCTACTTTGTCCACATCGCCAAAGAAAAAGATCTCTTCGCCGTCCAGCGCTATGTCGGCGAGTCGGAGCGCCTCTACGGCATCTTGGATGCTCGTCTCCGGGATCGCGACTGGGTGGCCGGCCCCGGCCGTGGCAAGTACTCGATCACAGACATCTCCCTGGCCGGATGGGCCAACCTGATCCTGTACACGCACATCGATTTGAGCAGGTTCCCGAATGTCGGAGCCTGGCTCGAGCGCCTGTACGCGCGACCCGCGCTGCAGCAGGGTCTCGCCGTGCCGAGCGGCACCAGTCCTCTTGTTGGAAACCAAACGCTGAAGAAGAGGTTGCTCGAGGATGAAGAGTTCAAGGCCAAGCACGCCGCGACGGGGAAGCTGGTCCAGGAGGCTCAGGCGCAGTATCACTATCAGTACTCGTCGCCTTGATTGTTTAAGTCCTCGAGCTCATTATTTGTCACTGAGTATTAGTCGGGCAGTTTGCCCCCTGCAGATAGCGACAATCACAGCATATTGGTGAGGCCTCCAGGTGGACAGGTCCTTGGTCCATACGTTGTTCTGATGAGGCATTGAGAGAGAAAGAGATCTGTCATAGGATAGAGCATGCTTTCTCAAACTGTACCGGCTGTAGCACCCTCACAGGCTTTACATGTACGAGGTACAGAGCGTCATAGCTGTTCGAGCCCCTCGGTACCAAGCAGAGAAAACTTGTGTCAGTCTGGGTTCTTGTACCTGTCGAGCATCTGTCGACATTCCTGCCTCGCCGGTACCGAGTCTCAGCCTCAACTTACTGGTTGTGTGCGAGGCACCAACGCTCCGCCAAGCTAGCCAGTTAGCACCTCCAGTAATCAAGTCCAGTAAGTCAACGAAGTGGGTAAGTAGGCAAGTAGGTACCTAGGTATAGACGTACGTTCCTCTTCTCGGACTTCGTTCGGAAGGGACCTGATTTAGTCGGTATCGGGCATCAATCACCGCCCCAGGGGATTATTTCTCCGTGTCATCTTTTCCGAGTCAGGGCATCTCGTTTCGTCCATGCCGGAGATGAGCTTCCGCGCTCCGCGTGCGTCGCGCGTGGACAAGCGACCTTGAGAGCATGTCAGCATTTTCATGTCATCCCCCCCAGGTGTCCCCGTTCAGCACAAACAGTGCTACTCTAGGTTAAACTCGTAGCTTGAAAGCCGAGGTCTCGACCGCTCCTGGAGCTCTGGTCCTATGTACGTTTGACGTAGGAAGAGGGCCACCGATACGGAAAATCGATCCAGTGTTTGTTTGTCCCCGATAGCTTTGGTCGTCTTTTTCACATGTTTTCTTTCTTTTCCTTTCCCTTAGGTGCATTTGGCCGGTTTTGGGGAAATCTCAATCGATCCATCCTGGTGGTCTCGGATCCCGCGAGTGTCTGTAGAGTGACTTGAATTGAACTGAACTGAATTGAACCAAATTGACGAGCGCGTTACGACACAGTCGTCTCTTCGACATGCCCTACTACGGGGCGAAGCTGGACACAGGTAGGCACCCCGCCTCAGTCAGTCGACAAAATTCCCATAGCTTTGTCGGTCTTTGCTTGCGGCGTCTTGTACTGATGTGTTGACTCTCGCAGCAATCCCTGAAAATGTAACCATCTGGTCGTGGCTGTTTGAAACCTCACATACACCGCCGGGGGTCAAGCCAACGGGAGGTTTCCGTGACGCATCGACCGACCAGTTCCTGTCCTTTGACGACATCCGACGCCTCGCAACTCGCTTTTCGACCATCCTGTACCACAAATACGGTCTGCGCGCTGGAGATGGCGTCTGTGTGTTTGCCTCCAACACGATATGGTACCCCGTCGCAATGTTCGCGGCGGTGCGGCTCGGCGTGGTGTTCACGGGTTCGTCGCCGGAATATGGTGCGGAAGAGGCCGGCTACATCATGAAGGCCTCGAGGGCAAAGCTGGTATTTGCGGACCAAGGTTCGCTCAAGGCGGTCTCGCAGGTGTTTGACAAGGACCGGATCGTCCTTTTGGAACCTGCCCACGCATCTGGCCCTTTGCCTACGGTCAAGAGGCTCCTCGATGAAGTAGACACTGCCAGAGCTCCAACGCCTTTCACGCTTCCCGCAGGAAAGACAAACGGCCAGGTCTGCGCGTACTTGAGTTTCACCTCGGGCACGACGAATCGGCCAAAGGGCGTAAGCAGGCTGGAATTCTGGACCAAAGCCATGGCCACCGCTGACTTGGTAATAGGTCATGATATCTCACAAGAATGTGATCGCTCAGATCATGCAAATGCGATCTCTCGGCCGCAAGGATCTGCCCAGGGTTTTGCTAGGAGTTCTGCCGCTGTTTCACAGTACGATTGTTTTCCTGGAGTGCTCGTATGGCAATGCGACTAACAGCCGTGACAGTTACCGGGCTCGTTCAGATCCTGCAACTGCCAATCGTCATCGACCAAGAAGTCGTTTTGATGCCAAAGTTTGAAATGAAGGCCATGATGGACACGATCGTCAAGTACAAATGCGATGAACTGTGGCTTGTACCACGTAAGGCTTCGTCTCCGTTCCGCAACAGTGGGAACTCCAACTGACGTCAATCTTTCATCTATAGCTCTGCTCATCAGGCTGGTCAACGACCCCGTCGCAGCTGGATATGACTTGCGTCTGGTCAAACAGTTCAACACTGGCGCTGCGCCGCTGGCCCAAGAGATTGTCGACAAACTAGCGAAGCGTTTCCCGCACATCGCAATACGGCAGGCATGGGGAATGACCGAGAGCACAAGTGCTCTGACTCTGACACCACCGCCGCTACAAACCTATGAGAATGCTCATACCGTCGGTGCCGTCGTCCCGGAGACGGTGCTCAAGATTGTGGATCCCGAGACTGGAAAGGAAGTCAAAGAGGGCGAGAGCGGAGAGGTAAGCAGAGAATGCGGCGGGGCTTTGATACGGGGCATTTTGTGCTGACGGTTGAGCAGATCTGGGGAAAAGGCCCTCAGGTAACGATGGGTTATCTTGACAATCCGACCGCCACGGCAGAGACATATGACCAGGAAGGATTTCTCCACACGGGTGACATTGGCTGCATGCTCCCGAACGGACTGATTCTGGTCCAGGACAGGCTCAAAGAGATGATCAAGGTAAGTTCTGCCCATTGGAGGCTCGACGAGATAGCTGACAACATGCAGGTCAAAGGTGTGGGCGTCGCTCCCGCCGAACTGGAAGATCTCCTGCTCGGCCACCCGCTGGTCGTGGACGCCGCCGTCATCGGTATTCCCGACCCGTACTCGCAAGAGCTGCCAAAGGCCTTTGTCGTGCTGAGTCCCAAGGCCAAACCTGACGCCCAGACGGCGCGAGAACTGCAGGACTTTGTGCGCCAACGGAAGAGCAGGAGCAAGTGGCTCGGCGGTGGTGTGGAGTTTGTCGACCAGATCCCCAAGAGCGCTTCGGGCAAGATCCTGCGGCGAATGCTGCGCGATCGTGAAAGGGCTCGCTTGGAGGCATCCAAGGCCAAAAGCCGGCTGTAGTCATATATTTCTGCCGTCGATAGGTCTGGGTCGGGATATCAAGTGTTTGATAGTTTGATGGGCAGAATAGACTGTCAAGACCCGATTAAGCATATTTTATAACCAGAAACCTTAATTATTCCACACAGTAGCATAACCCTCATTTCTACTGTATCGGGATATGCATGGAAAATATGCTTACTTATATCTGCAATTAGCTAGTCCAATCACAATGCCTCCGGTCTTTGTCAGGGGATGAATCGCGGGGGTCGTATGAATAAGGAGATCAACCCCATATCCCCCACAAGTACCGAGTACAACAGACCCCAAATTCAGCAATTTACCGAGGACAGTGACATGAGCTCTTGGAGTCGAATCCCTCACGGCCTCTCTGCGGCGTTGGAAATCATGAGTGACCGCCTTTTGTCCTGGTTACTGCCCAGCGCCAGGGTCATATACGAGACGAGATGACCATCCAAACACTGACATTCTAAAGTGAAGAAGGGGGAAGACCAACGCTGGCTCAAACAACGAACAGATCACCTGGAACAACTATCCAGTCACTCGACTTCTCCGCAGCCATGAAGAAACTCCTCCTGATGCTGTTGAAACACCCCCTCCGCGGCCTGATCTTCTCATACTCGTTTCTCGTACAGATCCTGCTGCTGCTGCTCCGACGCGCCTTGCTCCCCCACTTCCCCGTCTATCAATCGCTCCGGATCCAGGTCCAGCGGGCGTACATGGGCTCGGCGTCGCTGACGTTTCCGGACCTGACGCACCGACTGCCCGTGGGCAAGATGCCCGTTCGCCGGGCTCGCCAGATCGAAGGAGGCTCCGTGCCGGCGTATCTGATCCCCGGGGCGAGGGACCTGGCGGAGTTCGCGGCGGCGCCAGTGAAGTCGGGACGAGGACAGCGATGTGTGGTGATTTACGCGCATGGCGGGGGCTACGCGCGCGGCGAGGCGAGGATGTACATCAACTACATGGAGCGGTGGATCCGGGAGGCGTCCAGGGCGGAGCTGGACCTCGTCTTTGTGAGCGTTGAATACCGTACGTGGGACCCCCGCCCCCTTTCACGACCTTATTCTATCGCAGACGAGCTCAAAAATGATGCACAAAAAGCTGACTCCCCTGACACAGCATTGTCCGTCAAGGAGAGCCATCCGGCTCAGAAGAAGGCGTTCCTCGAAGTGTACAGATACGTACTCGACCAGAACATCCAGCCAGAGCGGATCGTCTTCATGGGTGACTCGGCCGGAGGTGAGAATCTCATTCCTCGGGGATATGAACCTGTGATATGATGCTTTACTATACTGATCAAATGGTGCAGGTTCACTCTGCCTCCTCGCACAACTGGACCTCCGAGGCGTCGGCCTCCCACAACCCGCCGCGACGATCCTGATATCCCCGTGGCTCGACATGAACTGCAAAGTGTACCAGGGAGGAAACGGCGCCGTCGAGACCGACTACTTCATGGTCGCCAACCACGCCGTGCCGGCCCTCGCGAAGCTCTTCGTCGGCGCCTTCCCCGCCGACTCGCCCGAGGTCAACCCTCTCCACCACGCGCCCGAGGCGCTCGACGGCCTGAGCCCGCAGCTGATTTTTACAGGCGGGGCGGAGTTTGCGCGCTACGACTCGGAGAAGTGGGCGGAGCTGTGTCGCGCCGCGGGTGTGGAGTGCAAACTGGTCATCGAATGGGCGCAACTGCACATCTACGCGGTCGGGTCAAAGTTCACGGATCCGGCGGTGCGTAGGAAGACGGACGATATCATCATCCAGTGGATCAAGGAGCATGTCCGAGAGTGAAGAGAGTTGGTCGATTAGAACTAGTTTCGAGAAGGGTTCATTGGGAATCTGGGCAGGAACTCGGCTTTTTGGGTGGATCAGCGGCTATGGATATTATAGAGAAGATCTGGTTGTCTCGACTCGACTGGAAGGTATAGATAGTTACAAAGACATGGTGTCCATCTCTAAAGGAGCATGAATATGCTGCCAGGATAGGTCAACAACCTAGGTTCAGGCAAGCAGTCCACGAGGAATGAATTCTGAGGACCATCTAAGTTGTAACGCCTGGAAGCAAGCGGGAGTTCCGCGGGGTCTGGCGTGTCTGGAGGTGCAGAAGTCGACACTGATACAACACGCACGACTCAGACCTCTCACCTCCACGAAAAATTGGAGCACGTTCCGTTATTATATCTTTGATTTCGCCTCTACAAAGTTGATGCTGGCCTTGTTGTGCTCCGCCACCGAGAGCAACTGGCCCGTCCGCTTGTCTCTCATCTCGCCACGAATCGTCGACAACCGCGTCCCCTGCTGCAAGACCTGACACTCGATGACGAGATCCATGTTCTGCCTCACGGGTCGAAGATAGGTGATCAACAGCGTCCGAGACACGCCTCCGAACCACCAAAAGTCCCTCCTGGCCAGCGGCGCGGCCGCCATGGTCGTGCACATGTCGTGGATCATGGCCACGGCTCCGCCATGCATGTTGCCCATGCGGTTCGTGAAGAGCGGCGCCGCCTTCATCTCAAACACGGCCGTCGTCTTTTCTGGTGTGGTGGACGCGCTCACCACGGTGATGTGGTCGCGCATGAAAGCCAGATCAAACGTCTAGAGTTGGCAACAAGTCAGAAGTCAAAACGCAAGGACCAGGTCTCGAAACAAAAAGGTACCTGCATATGGGCCATCTCTGGATTTCGATATGCTTGAATGTAAGCCTCTATCCTTTTCTTAGGATCCGGTTCTGTTATATCAAATGCCATGCCAGGTATTTTCAGTAAATCTGTCGAGTAGCGCTCGGCCTTTGGAGGAGCCTCGGAGTCTGTCATCTTTCTGACGTTTTTGTAGGAGCCCAAGTTTTGGGAGGTGGAAAATTCACAATACCACGTGTGGAAGTGGTCTAGGACGTTCTGAAAGGTGCGGGAGCAAACAAAAGTTTCATAATTTCTAGCAGTACCGGCTACACGAGCGAGTGGTTACTGATTCCTCGACCATTTTCAAGTATCGAGACACATCTGGGAGCTCGGCAAAAACACAAAATAGTTCGGCTAAACAATCGGCGCCGAGACCGAGACCGCCTCCCAAACTGCTCAACTGAGACCGATCATAAACATGATGATTCTAAAGTCTGACAACAAGTAAGCTTGGTCCTTCTGCCGTCAGCATGACGATCATACCTATGCTTATTGCCCTGGAGTTCGATAGATCTAGTTAGATGGAATACACCGGAGCATTGTCGCGTTAGGTGGGATAGGGGCATTCTCGTAGAGAAAAATGGCCACTTGGTAGAGGCCTTGCGGTGCGTCAGTCTAGAACTGGGCACCGTTCGATAGCCACAGATGGCTCAGCCAGATGAAGCACAAATATAGAGGCTTAAAGCATACGACGAGTACCGAGTATGAGGTACAGAGTATATTTTCGGCAGGGCAATTGTTGGGGCTTCCCGTGCTCTCATTGGGCAAATTATATAGAGGGACTGACAAGCCACAGAGCCCAGGGCGGCACCACCCTAAGCCAGAAGCAGGCTGGACGAAATAATTATTTTTTGTCGCCTTGGCATCTGCGGAGAAATCAAAGTGCAACAATACTCACGACAAGACACAGTCAATGCTGTAAACGGCCCTGCACCTTTCAACTTAGATTGATCCTGATTCTGACATACTACGCCATGCCTCCAACTTCGACCTCCCTCGGGGCGCCCTCCCAACCGACGCAGCCCTCGCGCAAGGGCAAAAAAGCATGGCGCAAAAATGTCGACATAACCACTGTCACTACGGGCCTAGAGAGTCTCCGCGACGAAATCATCCAGCATGGAAAGCCCCTGGCGGAGAAGGATGCGGCCGAACTCTTCACGCTGGACACGACGGGGTCGAGGGAGGAAGTGCTGCGCCAGGCCAAGGCGGTCAAGAGTGGTCACAAGAGCCGGGTTTTGAAAATGGACGAGATCCTGGGGCGGAGGAGTGCGGTGCCCGCGCTGGAAAATTCCAAGAGGAACAAAAGAGGGCTCAGCGCCGCTGCGGTGACAGACGGCGTGGTCGAACCGTCGAGCAAAAGGCAAAAGAAGGACTGGGTGAGCAAGAAGGAAGTGGCCCGGCTGCGGACCACTCTGGACAAGACGTCGCATCTGGACGTCGAGAACATCGACGACGCCACCTCGTCATTTGATCTCTGGGCCGACCACGACATGTCCTCCGACGCCGTCAAATTAGGCAATGATTCTAAAACTACGGCGTATCTCACCGCGACAGCGGAAAACGAATACATCCCCAAACCCCGCGCCAAAGTCGCTCCGCCGACCATCCACCATCCGCCCATCGCCCTGACATCGACGGGCCAGCCTGTCCAGGCCGTGGCGCCACCCGACGCGGGACAGAGCTACAACCCATCCTTCGAGGACTGGGACTCGCTGCTGACGCGCGAAGGCGAGAAAGAAGTCCAAGCCGAGCAGCGCCGTCTCCGAGAGGCTCAGCTGGCGGCGGAGAAGCAGGCACGAATCGACGAACTGGCTCGACAGCCTGATCCAAGGCCTGAGGACAACCCGGAGAGCGAATGGGAAGGGTTCGAGACGGAGGATGAGAGCAATAACCCGCTGGAGCTGTTGAAGCGAAAACGGCCGGAGCGCAAGACACCCGCTCAACGGAACAAGATCAAGCGGCGCAAGGAGGCCGAGCGGCTCGCCAAACACCAGGCGCGAATGGCAGAGCGGCAGAGACGGGGCGAAGAGATCGTGCAGGCCCTGCTCGAGCAACAACGGGAACAAGAGCGTGGCGATGACCGTGGCCACGACGAGAAATCATCCACCACCACCCCAGCAGGCGCCGCGGCGGCCGAGGTCCTTCTGCGGCGCAAAGCGACGTTGGGACCGTCGAGAGCGTCGATCCCACCGGCGCCCCTCGAACTAGTCCTACCAGACGAGCTGCAGGATTCCCTGCGCCGACTGAGACCCGAGGGAAACCTGCTGTCGGAGCGGTTCCGCAATATCCTGGTCAACGGCAAGCTCGAGGCGCGGAAACCCGTGTCCTACGCCGCGAGCAGGAAGAGGAGGGTCAAGGTGACCGAGAAGTGGTGGTCCAAGGATTTCGCCCTGCGTGTCTAGACAGTGACCATTGGGTCGGGTCAAAGTTGCGGCCTAACTGGGGACTAGGTTAGTCTTCTACGCAAATCCCATCTATCCATCTACATGAAATAGACGATGTTGATTGCACAAATCGTGCCTTCTGGCTCAATGAAACATGTTATGATTCGAACACGATGCTGGAAGTGCTATCATTACTGTAATTTTCTTATGATGAGTAACTGCTGTTCCGCTATGTTCGCCATTGGGGGTATCACATCTCGGTTCCTTGAAAGACGCCCGCTTCCCAGTTTAGCAGTCAAATTTCCCATGTCGTACCGGGCATGTGATTATATGCGTCAAGTTAGAAGACATAGCCCATGCGTTTCTGGGCTAGACTCCAAAAGATCCAAGCTGAAGCACAAGTCATTCCTGGCTCCAATCCGAACGAACACCGACCGCAAAATCACCGTGTCGGTCGTCGCTCAATAATAAATCTTCTCTTCGAATATCGGTGGCTGTCCGCCAGTCTCTTCCTCATTCCAAATGATTCTCCCGGTCTTTTCGTCGAAACTGGCCCCTTCATCTGTCATTGGTGTGACCTTATTTGTGTGAAGGCACTCCTGCCTCGACACTCCCATGGGATCACGAGGCACCCACAACAGAGGTGCAACTGCATTGCAGGCAGGATCCTGGTATGCATCTCGCTCAATTTCCGGGGAATATCTGATCTCGGCGAACTCTTGAGGAACAAGCTTGCGCAGAATCGCGTAACTGGCGTAGATGTCGGGGCGGAAGAATCGTTTGATCATGGATGTGTGTTTATTGCCTCCCGGGGGCATTTTTTCTTTCGCTACTCGCAGCTCGTCCACCTGATTTTTTTCATGCATACTTGGACGCGACGGGCCGCCCTCCGGTCCAGTCATTAGAGCTGATTCGCTGTGCAGGAGGGCGGCCTCCTCGGCTTCAAGTGAACGTGGGAGATAATGCAGAAGTGGACGGACAGCTGCATTCATGGACATGTGGTAAAGCACCATGAGGATCAAGAATACAACCATCAGTACCAGAGGTGCAGGGGCCGCCCGAATACCAAAGAGGCCGATCAGACAGATGACCGCCAAGTAACATCCGACCAAGGTATGCTGCAGGGCTTTGGCGTAGACAAGGCCTTTGGTGTCGATGACTGAGCTGTCCACAAAAAGGAGACTGTACCGGTACGCAAAATAGAAAAGACCCTGGCCAATGGCCGCGAATCCAAGCATGAGAGGTGCAATTGGGGCGTATGCTATCGATATCACGGTCATCAATCTATTCCCAGTTAGTCAGGGGGGTGGCACCATATGTTCAAGAGATGCCTTACTCAACAACGGGGAAAACACTGCCCCAGCCGACAGATGAAAGGCTTGACCAGCGATTGTACATCTTTCGGGGGGTTTTGTCGAGGATCTTTGACAGGGTGTTGTATAGCACCAGTCCTACGATATTGAGGAGTTGACCCGAAGAGAATACGAGACCTTGAAGGATGAAGTATGAGATGTAGAAGTTGGAGGCCAACGGGAGGTTCTGAGCCAATAAGGTGGTAATCGATCCTGGCTGTTTGATGATTTGCGGTACTGCTGCACTTGCTGCGCTGGTCATTGTGGTCACCAGGAACACCTGGATTAGCTGGAACCAAAAGTATGATTCGTGGCAACGGAGTTCAATCAGTGACAGCGTGGGCATGCCAGCAACTTTGCCCATGAACCTCATAATCACTGCATGGGAATGTTAGTCCAAACTGAATGCGAGCTGATGGTTGTGAGGAACGTTTTGTTGGGTATCATAGCCAAAAACGTACCTGGAACAAGCGACATGAGGACAGAAAGCATCACAACGGGCAGAAGATTTGTAATGACACCCAGGATGATCTTGGGGCATTTGTTGATGAATCGGAGGAAGTGGACTACCTCAGTCAAATAGGAAATCTGCGAAATGGAACCAACAACGGCGACGGGGATGGACCTAGCGAAGACGTTAGTATTGCCCGTTACATCGAACAGCCGTGCAGCAAGTGGGCAAGAGTCCGAAGAAACTCGCGATCCTTCTCTGATCGAAAGGCAAATGGTTGCCACGACTAGAGGCGTGAAAAAATGAACGAAACACGAAATCTTGTAAGCACGCACACAACAAGACAAAACTTACCAGAAAATAATCAAGGCGACGATGAACCCCAGCGAAACGAGCTGGCGGATGGTAAGCGTTTTCCATGTTATGCCGAGATTCGACCAGACAACTTCTTCTGGGCTGAGGCCGACCACACGGGGAGACATGTGCAAAGGCTGATGGTGGGTAACCATTTGAAAGGCACTCTGCGCTTGAGTCTGGTTCCAGAACTCCACGAAGACAGCGTTCTTGGGTACCGCCTCGCCCGCACGGTATTTGTCCTGTTCCGCCTCGATGAGTGGGTTCAGCCTTGCAATCTCCTCACGGCACCAATTGATGGTGTCAACTTTCTTGCCGACTAAAAACTTCAAGCGGTGTGTCGGTCTGTCCTTTGGTCGGACCCATCGGGCAGCAGCGGCGCCAGACTCAGCTGCGTATTCATCTTCGTCGTAGCTGGCCGTGGGTAGCTCAGGAGGGGGATTTTTCCCTTTGATGGATTGCAAACGTGCATCGTTGGCCAATTTGATCAGTTTGGTCTCGGCGGTCTCGAGTTTGATGCAAATCTTGTGGCGTTCTTCCACCATTTCCTTCAGGCTCTTCGCGTCTGAAACGACCCAGACGTTCTTCAGTTCCTCGCCAAACATGCGACGAATCTTGGTTTCGTTGGCGTATTCATTGGGAACAGCCTGGAACAGCACAGTGCGCGAAGACATCCTGGAAGCGTACAGGGGAGACAGGAGGTAGGCCTGCCGCAAGTTGATGTAGTAAATCATCTCCCTGGTGACCAAGAAGAAGATAAAGCCAATGAAGATCCATGCGATGAAGGTGTGCGCTAGATAACGGTTCTTATCCACGACGTTGCTGAAACTGAGGATATTGAGTTGGTCTTGATGCCCTCCTCCAGTGGCATTGATGGGGAACAAGACTGGCCATGTGACGAGGCAGCCGACCAGACAGATAACAATCGACATTTTGAGGTAGCGCAGCAGAAAGTAGCCATCGAGGGAGTTGTGTTGAAGAACATACTCATCGGGCAGCTGATCAACGTGGTTAGAGATGACATTTCCCCTTGTTACTATCGCCCACTCACTTTTCTCATGAACGATATCCAGCCAAACAAGCTGTTTGGGGGAGCGGGGGTGCGCTCTTGCGGACGGAGAGCGCCCAGGTATGTCCTCGGCGCATACTGTCGCGGAAATCGAGTTCTCAGGAGCAGGAAGATGGCAAAATAGACGACGGCGATGACAAGAGTTGGCACCAATGTTGAGATCAGGCCGGAAAGGGAAGGTGAGCTATTTCTGCTGGAGGCAACATTCTGGTCGTGGTTGGGATTGGTATCAGGAGCCTGACGGACACTGAGGACGGCATGGAATACGTCCATGGTAAGTTGTTGATTGGCCCCGAAGGTGCGTCAACGCGTGTGGAAGTCGACAACGGTTGCGACAGACGCGCAGAAAACCTTGAAAAGAAGCAAACAAGAAGAAGGATTCAAGCAACGACTGCGGTGGCCTGGGGGATCCTCGCGGTGGAAGAGCAAGAGGTTTGTATAGCAATGCTCATACTGTACACCTGAATATTTTTGGGCTGCAGAATCCTTACTTGTGGTCAAATGCGCATGCGCCTTGGATTTGGCGGAAAATCTTCAGGCGTGTTGGCGTGGCAGGTGCAAACGTCGTGCATACCAGCAGCGCCATGACGCTGACGTGCAGTTGAGCTGGAGGGCGTGGCCACCGAGCCTAATGGGTGCTTTTGGGGGGATTTCCCAAGGCTAGTGGGCTGCCCCGGTTGCTGGGTTGATCTTGGGCGTTGCCGAGTGGCTCGCCAATGCCCGGACCCCGCCCAGGGCCGTACCCCTGTTCGCCTGTGCCTGCGAATACCGAGTACAAAGACTCGTATGAGGAGGGCGCAGGCTGCACCAACACCCAAGGACTTCTCCCCAGTTACCTGACTAGTACTCATCATCCCTTTGGCACATGCGCTATCTGGCGAGATCCGTCTGGCCGTCTCTTTTTCACTTCAACTTAAACGCCCTCCTGATTTCCCAGAGATTTACTACTTTTATCTGGATAGAAGCCTCCAAACTCGAACCCCTCCTATACCTCGCTCCCCGAATCCCCCAGAACCTTTTGACCTCCCGCCCGTTACAAGTTAAAACGTCGGTCCGGAGTTTGACCTCTTTTTCCTTCTGCTCACGCAAAATGACGTGCATGGTCTCGCCGCCTCAGGAGAAGTAAAGACAACCGAGCTGACTACTCGGTACAAGGGTCTTCGTGCTGATCTTCGCTTCCGACGTCTCGATTCCGCCTAGAGAATCCACCAGGTAGCGCCGCCAACCGATCCTCGAAGACACTTGACGCACCTTTCCCAGCTGAAAAGAGCAGATTTGGCTTTGCTTTTTCTTAAGCCACACACCAAAAATTCTCCTGTTGAGGGCTTGTGGCTGTGCTAAGAAGGTCACCATCCGGTATACGGCAAAAGTAGTGATATTGCTAGTCAGGAGATTCATTATCAGTAGCAAATCAAAAATTTTTGAATTCTACGACCATTTCTCATGAAGCGTGCGGCGACGGAGTAATACCGAGCCATCGTTCACCAAGCAACGGGTATGATTGCGCGAGAGAGATCAGCAAGGGAATTGAGAGAGATGGCTTTGTGATTTGCTTTTTTTTCTGTTCACGGATAGCTCCTTATTCACCAGCCCTATCTCAGTACTGATAAAATTGTACAGAATTTCTCTCCATGTTCGAGATGTGTCCCACGTCCCTTCTCAACAGCAGGTGAAACAAATCAACATGATTGTATGGCCTGCCTGATCATCTCGACACACTCCAGGCCCATCTCCAACATCTTGTGGTATGATCAAGATTACCATTCAAGGTTTTGAACAAATATCAGGCACATGCCAAATCACCCTTATGCTTCGGTGTGATCTGGTCTTGCCAATCCTTCCCTTTCCCCCAGTGCCATTCAAGGCAGAAGAATCGATTGCTCCGAAAAAAGAGTGTGGTTTGGAAGAAAAATGAACTGGCGATGGTATCCAGTTTCAGAAAGCTCCGCAAAGTGTATCGCATCCCCAAGGTGAACTCCATATCTCGCCGTGTCGCCATGTGTGTAAGTGAGAGTGCCCAGTGCGGCACTAAAGCCAATGTCATAAGGTCATGAATGCTACAAAGATCCCAATTTCTTGAGAATCTTCATAGCCATGGCTTTGCCACTGACCCGAGCTTGTCCTCGAAGATGCCGCCATACAGACCGGCGATTTCGTCGAGGTACTCTTCCACCCCAAACTTGCAAAGTCCTTTACCCAGAATTTCTTGTTCTTCCTCGTCAAGCAATCTTGCAGTGGCACCAAACTCTTCTGCGACCTCATTCACTTGCGCCAGTTCTCTACCAAAGGGGTGACGGGTTTCTGAAGAATCGGAGGCACCCCGCGTAGTCGGCTGGGAAATGTTGACTGGGGGTGGCGACATTCGCTGAATCGATCGCTTCCGTGATAACTCTACATGCGCTTCCTTCGAATGAGTTGGAGATCGTTGCGGGACCACGGGGACGTCAAAGGTCGGTGAAGCGATGGCAGGGAGAAGCGGAGTAGTCTGTTTCAAATCGAAGAATGACTTGCTGTCTTCGTTTCCAGGTGTCACAGGAGTGGCGGGACCGCTACTGTCGATGGACGAATTGTCAGTGCCCGTGCTGTTGAGAAAACTGCGGTCAATGGTCGAGAAATCAGAGTCGTTGACTGACGAAAGTGAACCCGAGGAGGAACCAGAAATGCTCCGGATATCTGGAGCGGTCAACGCCTGCACGTTGGTGGTAGAGATCAACTCGGTCGGCAGAGAGATGAGGTTGCGATCGATGGTTCCAGGAGCATATCTAACTGTTGTGCCACGTTGCATTGGTGTTTGGTCCACAAAGTTGCGCCTGACACGCTTGGTGAATGCTCGAGAGATAGACATTGTGGAATCGAGTTGTCGGGGGCAGAGAGGGTTGCAGGGATAAAATATCTCTCAGATATGGTCGCAGGGACGAAATCTTCGAGCTATTCGCGCTCGCCAATGTAAGGGCAAACCGGGGGTGGTATTTGTTTTATCTTTTTGGCTTGCTGGTATTTGTTTTTGTGGTTCCGCGGTGGAAGTCTATCCGCCCGAATGCCCTCAGATTGAATCGAAACGTTGGCTTTGTAAAGAATGACAGTCAAGGATGACTCGTAAGGCAGGACGCAGTCCGCTCTGTGAAAGTCTCTTTGTGGGTGAAGACGAAGGGCGACCAAAAGGCAGCGTATCAAACCCTTGGGTTGGTGAAGGAATGGATAAGCCTCGACTGTGCGGTACCACGACGAATCGACCGTCGAGTAAAGAGTGTGACTTGTGATCGAAAGAGAGCGAGATGGAGGGTCAAAAGAATGACTGAGTGGGAAGTATTTGGGAAACGAAAGACTTTTTCTGTCGGGATTGGATGTTGGGGGGACAGAACTGCAAGGGCGAAGTAAAAAGGGCAGAAGCTGCAGGGAGAGAAGAAGATGCAGGGTGCAGGATGCAGCAAGATGGAGTAGCACACAGCGCGTGCAGCTGCGGCGTCGTGGGCGTTCAACCCAAACAGAACGTGACCAGGGCGACCGGGGTCCATCCACAACATGGTAAAGCCATCGCCTAGGCTCCCAATGGCTCCCCTGCGTACCTTGCTAGGGCTCTCTAGGGTCCTTGTGGAAGGTTCTTGGCACCCCTAGGCACTCAACGCTACCCCAGTGTGCCTAGTCATCCACTCAAAATCTTGATTTGTCCCCGCCTGGTACCGCCCAGATGAAGCAATGGCGCTCAACCGCTTCATTCTCTCAGTGGCCACTTCAACGCCACCATCACCCCTAGACCTCACACAGTCTAGTTTGCCCCCCCAATCACAAGTTAAAAATCCTTTGCTTCCGTGTCGAGCGTTATCTGGCCCCGTTGTGCCCGTTCTCAATTCTCAGGGGCTGCACGAGCATGAAACTGGGCAATCCACGTCCACTCAGAGCCGCCAAATGGTTTCCAGAGCCGCCGAGGGGGTGACTTGAAACGACGACCTGCTCCTGCATGAACCACTCGGACAGCTCTTCTGGCAAACTCAGCAGTACGAGATACTTTCTACTTCCTCCTGGATGGCTTGGGAAGAGGGGGAAGAGATAAAGTCAGATTCAGAGAGAGACAAGACCTGGTCCTGGCCTTTGTGAGTCTTGACGAACCAACATGCCGGATTCTGTTCTACTGGCTACGACTATCTCTGCTTTCCTCTGATGATTACGGAGAACATGATGGCGTGCGCCTCCCTCTTGTCCGCCGGTTCTCTGGTGCTCATGGCCAATTTAACCGTGGTATGACCCAAGCCTTGGATGACAAGGGGACGGGGAGGGACTCCACATGCCATTCATTGTACGAGGTACACATCTGCCGGTCGATTCCACATGCACAGATCTTCAATCCCGACGTTTGAGAAGACGTGATATGGAAGTACCGAAGTGGGAAGCTGACCATAGTGCTTGCATACGAAGTCCCCATGAGGGAACCTTCTTCTCCACGGAATATGCCTGTTCGGAGTGGTTTCAGAGAAAGACCAGAAAAGGGACTCGGAACTCCTGAGCATCTTCCCCCCAAAATCGCAAGTCGGGCCAGTTTCATGTGCCTGAAGGTTTCGAGAGGCGAGGCAAACTCAGCTTCCCCGGCGAAAAGGGAGGGTTTACCGTAATAATCTTTATTTTTCCCGGAGTACCTCAGGGTCAGGCGATGTTTGTGAACCAACCGTAAGCACCTCGTCCTCCCGCTGAATGTACGTGATATGCATGTAATATGGACAATGTATCAGGTCCTGCAAGCTCGTCTGTTCAGGGGGATCGCTCACCCCCGATCAGGCCAAGGGTGATGCCGCCCTATACTTATCCCCAGCTCCAAGCGAGTCTCTGGGAGCAAAAAAAAGGCACAGTCTGACATAGAGTAGACACCTGACACCCTCTCTCAATTTAGGTATTCACTCAATAGCGATGAAGTGGCCGCCACATCAAATATAGCTATACATAGCTAAACATCATGGATAAGGATAGGGGGACGCCATTATGCCTACCAGTAAGGACAGAATAAAATCCCCGATTCATGAAAGCGGCACGGCGGGGCGGGAGCCCAAAGTGAGCTACCAAGCGAGATTAAAATCTCCGATTCGAAGCTCGATTTCAGCCTCGCTCAATGCTTGGGAGCTCCCTTCTCCACAACCCAAAAAAATTGGCAAAAGTCCTTTTTGGTCTCCGCGGACAATGATGCCGTAATAGTAGCAACCAACTCGGAATAGCTCGCAGACTCACCATAATGATGTGAATTAGCCCTCCGAAATTCCTTGGAAGAACTTCATGCCCCTCTCCAAAGCAGGCTCGCCTTCACCATCACAAGCCACCATGACAATGACATAAGCGGACCTCTGAAGTGCTAGACCCCCCGCGCGTGCAAAAAGACGAGAGAAGGGCAACGCCAAAAAATGGTCCGGATCAAACACCGCTACCTGCTCTTCAACATCCTCTATCCTTCTTCTCCCACGTCCTCATCCTCCTCTTCTCCCACAACTACCTCTGCAGCCGGAGTGCCACTCGCACCAGGCCGGACGCCAAAAGAACAACCAACACCGGCGTACATCCTCTTCCACCGCCCATCGCCGGGGTACCTCACCCCCGCTCTCCTGGTGACGCACCTGCGCGGGCAGATCCAGACACTGTTCGGCGACCACGGCGTGTCGGTGACGCAGTCGGCGCTGCGGCTCGTGTACTTCTCGCCTGCGACCTCGACGGGGATCCTGCGCGTGCCTCGCGCCCATTTCCGCCTGGTTTGGGCGAGCATGACCTTCGTGACGAGCATACCTGCCCCCCACGCTCGATCTGGCGCCACAGGAGGGAAACGAGGTGGCGTTGGTGGTGCAGTACCCGACACGATGACACATCCAGAGTTGGCTTGTGTGATTCGAGTGGTCAGGGTAAGTGGGACAATCAGAAAGAGTGAGGAGGAGCTCCTCCGGCGAGCGAGGAGGGATGTTGTCCGGGCGAAGCTGCAGGGTCGAAGTCTAGGTGAAGAAGGCGATGATACGATTCTGGAGGGAATCTTTGCTGGAGTGGACGGGAAGAGCCTGCTGAAGGGAAAAGACAAGGCTGATGCCGCCGGATCGATTGGCGGAGACGAAAGCATTGTAGACTTTGAAGAGGATGAGGACTTTGAGGACGATTCTGGCTGAACAACAGAAATTCCTCGATGAAAGAGAGCTTGGGTATCTAACAGCACAACGCTACACCACCGCAAGCAGACGACCTCCGCAGAGCGCGTGGAATACTTCAGCAAGCCAGAAACCCTAACCCGGCGGCACGTTTCCACGACACCTACGGTGTGTCCTGGTTTCATCATGGCTCTGACCGCGATAGCCGTAACTGATCGGCTATATTGGAGCGGAGGGTTCCCACCGAAGGGGAGAGTGGCATTCGAACGATGCTCCCTCTTAGTAATCCACACACCAGCGATGTCATGAAGACTTCTTCTCGCTCCTGACGACTTTCACACCACCATCCTTGAGCGGCGGTAAGTTCATATCTTCATCATCTCCATCATTAGCCATTCCCATCATCGCTTCTCCGCTCTTGGCCCACTCCTCTTCCCTCCGCTTCTGCTCCTCCTCCCACTCCTTCCTCTCCAACTCGTCATATTCCTCCCTTTGATCGATCCACCGTTCTTGGACATCCCTCACATCCAACTTGCCAAGTCCTTCCCTGACAGCGACCTGCCAAACAGAGTCATTTGCGCCCTCGGCACCGCCAAACGCATAGCCGCCCGCTCTGTCGATGGTGTGCAATAAGCTCATCATACTCTTTTTGTCCTCGACGGCCAGCGTCTCGAAGCCGACCAACCCGTACTCCTCGACGAGCTGAACAATGGCCTCATTCAGCGCTTGGAACTTGCCGCCTTGTTTGAACATGGGCGACTCTTCCTCGAGGTATGGGAGCAGGTACGACAGGTCTTGGACTTCGGTGTAAAAATCCAGGTTGAACGGTAGTGGGGGGTATTTGCTGAGATTGTCGATCTTGGTGAGGACGTTGATGTGCGTAAAATCGAGCTGGAGCATACTCCGTAGCGACAGAAGGAGGGTGGAAATGTACAACGAGGGTAAAGTGAGGGCATACGAGTCAATCAGGTTGACCACAACCAACTGTTTAAAACCAACATTGAATAACATTTGTCAGCCCACGTTTCATCACTTTTGTGGATCGTTAGCAGAAGCGGAATCATCATCAAACAAGTGGCATCGAACATGTAGAAGGGGATTAGGGAGAAAAGACAGACAGACAGATAGACTCAAAAGGCCAAACCCAAAAGCCCCAAAAAATGAATAAAACATACACGATACCCAATCTTCTCCAGCCTGGCAAAGATCCTCCTCAGACTGCCGTGGTGGGTAAACAGCTCGACCTGCCCTGGACAGTCGAAGAGGACGTAGTCGTCGCCCAGGCTCTTGAGGCCGTCGACGAGCCAGCCGTCAAAGTTCTCCTCGAGCTCCTCGAGCGCGTAGAGCACGCCGCCGTTGGGGCCGAGGGCGATGTCGTCGTCGCGCATGATGGTCTCGAGCGAGATGAGGTCGCGGATGTCGAGGGCCGGTTTGTACGACGACACCGGGTCGTTGGCCGGGTCGAGGTTCACCACCGAGCACTTGCGCCCGATGGCGCCCATGAACTGTTGCATGCCGTTGCAGTAGGTCGACTTGCCGGCGCCGGGGGGCCCGATCACGAGTTGCGCAAAGGGCATGTTGGATGTAGGAGTGCAGGGAAAAGAAGAAGAGACGGGTCAATGGAGGCAGCGAGCGCTTGACCTTCAGAACTCGTGAATGCAGATTGGTAGACGTGTAGGTGGCTAAGATGGCGGGCGGATCGAGGGGTGTTTCCCGTGGTGGCGTTGCAGGCCGCAACTGAGGATGAGGTTGTTCTGTCTACCGATTCGAAAAGTATTACCCCTGCTGCTCCGTGCGCCTCAGGACCGTGCCATCATTCCGGAAATTGAAAGAGCCTTGCGTACGTACAATAGTGTTTCAGGGATTTAGATCGCTCACGAGAGGGAGACAGAATGTCTGTGGCATTCAGTGACGAGGAAGAGGGCAGGTTGCTGCTCAAGGCGGCGACAGACGGCAGAATTTCTTCCGACGCTCCGCCAATAAAATTGCTCCTTGTGCGTCTCAGCTGATCCAAGTTCCTCTCAGCCTTGTGAGCATCTATCCATACAGGCTACAGCACCAACAGTACCAAAGTGTTGGGTGCATAGAAATCGTTTCGCGTAGCATATTGCTGTAGCCTGCTGACTCGTAGAAAGGTATCTCGCAAAATAGAGCGATATTTCCATTGACTTTGGTATCAATGTACATACATCAGAGCACATTATCCTCGCATTTCCATTCATCGTGCTGCCCGCGCGCCCAGTTCAGCACATGTGCTTTCGAGTTCTCACCTGGATGGAACCAGTGTCTCGGTCTCGGTCATGCTCCATTGGCAATCCTTTCTTCCAGAATCCTGTGGGTGCGCGCCATTTACGCCTCCTTTGCATACTCCCGCATTCGTATTGGGCCACCCTTCCACTCCCAGACGGAACAGACCAAACACTTCGCCGACCCAGCTAGTCTGCCCGGATCCCACTGGCTTAAGCTCGATAACATCCGCGTGTGTTGTTACCGTGTCATGGCCGAGGAGGGTGCTGCTCAGCATTGCAATTCCCACCATCTCAACATCAGTTCCTTCCTCCATGCTCTTGTTGGCGTCGCTAGTCTTAGATTCATCGCTCCGGCGGCTAGGAACAATTGACAATCGAGCCAATGCGTTTTTGAGCAACCTCAGTCTTGGTGACTCTTGTCCTTGAAGGGTCGATCCACCTGGGCTCGTTCTTCCGCGCTGGAGGCTGATGGACGAGGGACACTTGACGAAATTTGAGGGGGCAGCATGCTGGAATTCTGCCTTGACCTTTCTCTCAAATAATTCATCCCTACAGTCTGTCGCGAGACATTGTTGCTGAGCACTGAAGAAAGATAAAGGGACATATGTCAATTCCTTCTTGTTCGAAGATGCGTGTATAGTTCTCATCACCCGAACTGTCAGGAAGGTACACGTCGCTGAAGGACTTGGGCCGTTGGACGCTCGACATGGCACCCGGAATGCTTTTGCAGAGAATTTTGCTTGCATCATAGTGTCATAATCACCCATAACATCGACGAGCTTAACGAAGGTGTTGTAAAGCTGCCAGCGCGTCCCCTCCTCCATTTGTGACACACCAGTCTGGTTGAGAAGGATTCTCAAAATCTCGCTGACGGTGGAATCGTCGAAACGCTGTAGTTGAGCCAGCTGGTCTTCAGATAGATCACCGCATTGTATCGGCACGTACGGCAACTGGTCTTGCGAGGTGGTGGGGACAAGAACGTCGAAGCTTTTGTACATGCTTGGACGGAGCATAAAACAAGCGAGATGCACTCTGGGGGTGGGAAGGTGCTCGGCTGATGTACTCCGCCTCATCCGCTCAATCTTAGCCACCATTTCATCACAATCGACTTGCATGCTCTTAGCCAGTGGTTCTGCGATTTGCGCAATGGTGGCAAATCGGTATCCCAGTGCGGCAAACCTGGCTGCCTCGCTTTTGTTTACTTGTCGTTGAAGGCAAAAGTACTTTCCTCGGGCAACCCTGAGTGGCGGCGGAAACCCTTGCTCAGTGTCTGCCGTCTTTTTGTAAGATCTGGCCGATAGCGGCCTGATGTTGATACTCAACTGCGTGTGCAGAGAGGTTGTGCCCGTCTCCAAGGGCTCTTCGAATAAGACCCCGAGCCTCTCCAGCGGTTGATGGACGAGATTGGCCAGCTGCTGGGCAGTGACGCAGAACAATTGCTTGAATATCGGGGCGAAGTTGATGGAACCTGCCATCGCATCATCTGGCAAATTTTTGGAGGTGTTGCTGGGCCGGTAATTCCTTGCTATTGGGTCATTTTCGATATGCTCTCTCATGCTGGGAATGAGGCCATGTAGAGTTATCCAATTATGCGAGGCTTTGAATATCCAGAGGTAGGTTGGATGATATCTGCTAAGTTCATCTTCACCAAAAGTCTACAACGCCGGGTCAATGCGAGTAAGGCTTGAGATAGGAGCTTGCTTACCTTCTCGATATAGTGGTTTGTTATTTTTTCACTGGGCAATGTTCCTTCCTGGGTGACCATCATTTTGCCTTCGGTGTCAAAGTAAGCGCAAGCCAACACCAGCCGCTGTGCTTTGATCCTGGCAGTGTGTTTGTTGCGACCTCGAATGAAGGCCACCACAAGAAGTATGACACAAGAGCCCATTGACTAGCAAAGAGTATTAGTTGCGGGTTCTGCAAGCCGAGATGGGAAACTAACGAGGGAAGCTGCAATGACTGCAGTTTGTGACCTGGAGTTTCCATGGATGTTCACATCGCCTTTCCAGTGGTAATCTGTACCAACCGCCGCTGTCCAATGCATTCCGGAAACAGCAGTGGCGAGAATGACACCACACAGGGCACGCTTCCACCAACCGTCTTTCCATGCGTCTCGCAGCCGAAAAAATATCCCAAGGGCGGTGTAACTGGCTAGGACGGCGATGATGGCGGCTCCGGCAACATTCTGCACCCTATATGAGCAAACATAGTTCTCCACACCATATTGACCGAGATAGTGCATGGCGCAAGCCGCGGCTCCTGTGAGACAGGCGGCGATGGCAACATGAAGTTGGCGGGCTCGAGCCGGCATCCCAAGAGTGTAGAATGCGAAGAGAAGGACGACGATTGGCATAAAGAACGAGATGGCCGTGAAGCCGGGGTTGTAGAGAATCTGACGGCGGCGGTCTCCGTTTTGTAACACGATAGCTCTGTTACCGACAAAGTGCATGCCCCAGATACCGATGCCACCCATGGTGATTGCGGATGCCACGAGTAGAAACCTCGGGCTCGGTCAGTAAACAGTCATCTTGGTGAGAGTAAGGTGAACTTACCAGTTGTACGCTCCTCTCGTCGATGTGCGCCTTTGCAGCAGTTCCAACGTGGTGATGCATCCTATGAGCGAGGTGAAGAAGGACAGAACAATGTGACCGGCATCGTATGAGACGGTGGTTTGGGAGGAATCGGAGCTGGTTCTGACAACAAGCTGATGCAACGTGAACCGGCCATTGCGGTCCATTAGTCGAGGAAGGCGATGGTGTCCAGGAAATCTAGAGACTTTGAGGCTTGAGGAACTGATCTAAGGAGTGGAGGAAAGGCAGAAGCTGCGAGCCACGTTGGACAATCTGAAGTAGGGGTGAGCAGAAAAGTGAAGAGTGGTGGGCAGGGAAGCAGATGTGCTAGAAATGAGGGAGGCGGAGAGTGGTAGAGGTAGGGTCAAGGTGCAAATGATACGGATCTGAAGCCTGAGAAGGCGTCAGAAGCACTGAAGGAGGAGTAATGAAAAGGGAAGACGGTGCCTTGAGGGAATAAGGCCGCATATATCAGCAGATGGAAGCGACGATAGTCACAAAACTTTCTCTCCTTCTTTTCCCTACGGCGCAAGCAGGCATGACTCTAACCTCAAGAAGGCGCATCCGCTAAGCCCATTGGCAACAGTCTTCAACATGTCTAGTATAGTTGAGGCCCGGAGGACCATGGTCGCGATTAAGATTCAAATACCGCACGAACAGGTCAGGAGAATCGCGGCCAAAGTGTCCAGGTTCCTAGGCTGAACGTATCAGAGACCCGGGGACGAATGAATGCGACATATTGCATATCGATGACAGGCTTGGCCAGAGATGCCCGATGCAAGGGATCGGTGCAAGCGAGGGGTATGCATTGGCATCAGAGCCAGGACCAACATTCAGCATCGGGGCGAAGAGGTACGGTGCCCAATTGGAGGACGTAGAGGGAAGATGGGTGTGCGTGTGTCCATCTGGTGTTTAGAACAGCGAGCTGGTTTGTGGTTGGCAACTGACAGAGTTGACAGGCCGACAAGCCGGATAGACACCCTGTCACTCATGCAAGGAGGAGAGGACCAAGTGAATGAGTTTTCTCCGACTCATGAGGTTTGTGACGGCTTCTTGATACAAGACAGTAGCAGACATGGCGCAAAACAAAACTGAGTAGCACAGGACAGAGTAGAGTAAACGTGAGGAAATTGTGAGAAAAGTGAAAGGACTGAAAAGTGAAGAGTCGGAAGGAAAGTGACCAGAAGCTGTGTAACTCGAGGTTCCCAATCCGGACTAGTCAGCTCGTGCTGGTACCGGCGCTATACCGTATCGGGATAGACACATACCTCGATCTCCCTCCATCTCGCGATCGCCAGGCACCATCAGCATCAAGATGCCAGAGGGTCTTTTGACGAGATTCATATCGCTACCACTCAAAGGACGAAGATCTCTGCAGGAGTCACATAAGTCTATCATTAAAAAGAATACCACTATTTTATTTCCTTTTTTGGTCTCACCGAGGGCTGGATCGCTCTCCCTTACCATCATCATGCTGAACAACGGTATCTTCATCCTCACTATCGCTTGCCAGATCATAGCGTTGGGATTGCATATTACCATGTCGCCGGCTCGACTCTAGGTCGTCCAACTCACTCTCATCAAAATCCCCCGCTTCCACGTCTCCGCGGCCTTTTCGCATCGAGCTGTTGGCAAGCGGGACGCTGATATACCCTTGACTTCGGGCCTTTCTCCTTCCTCGCCACACCCACCAACCAAACAAGCCTGCGGCAATGAGCACAAACACCAGAGCTGCCTCGCCGCTGCGATAGTAGGCTTCGAGTTCGGCGTCTTTGAGTTTTTGGCTCTGCTCTTCGGCGGTGACGGGTACGGTGCTGTTGGCTGGCTTTTCAACCTCTGTTTCAGTGCCCACCTTATCACCATCAATGAAGCTGTCGGTCGGCTGACCACCAATCCCTGTGACATTCACCCCAATAAATCGATCAAGCATGTCACGGGTCCGTCGAGGGTAGTCGAAGGGCACCATATGACTCGAATTGTAGAATTTGACATAGGTGAGGTTTCTTGCTTCTTGATACACCCCAGCTGGTTCACCTTCAAATTCCCAATCGCGTTTAGGAGCTATTACCCCAGGAGCGAGCTCAAATCCTTTGCCTCCTAGCCACTGCATGTTGTTGACGAAGTCCTCAGTTCCAAGATGATTGCAGATCAGGTCGTTCGCGCCACTGAACAATAGCACTGGGATGCCTTCCTCAAGAATGCCTGGGAGTAGTTGAACACTCGGTTTCGAGTTCCTAGCCCGGAACGAAGATGAAACAGCCCCCGAACATTCAACCCACCCAGTCCGTTTGTCGGGATTCACGTGCAGAGCCGCAAGAACATCGTCCTGGCGCAGATAAGGCGTCACGGTCTCCAAATCTGGAGGCCAGGCCATTCCGCATGATGGCCACTTGTCCTTGAGAGTGATGTCGTACATGTTGTAACACATGCCGTCCACCTTGGACACGTCGAGAATCGTAGAAAGAACAGCCTCGCATGCACTGACATCCACCGTTTCCGTCCCGCCAGGTTTAGCAAGTTCGTTGATGCAGGTTACTTGCGCCGCCTCAACTTTATCCGCCTCGGGAGTACCGCCTTGGATTAGATTAGACTGGTAGGCAAACCGGAGGTAGGCCTGGTATTGTTCTGCTGGAGCAATCCAGCCATTCCCGATCAAGAGGCCTTTGAGGTTCCATACCCGCTTCCCCTGATTCTTCGATTTGGCATTGCGATCCAAAATAGCCCTTGTGATGTAAGGAATGTATTGTCCAGCATAGGATTCGCCTGCGATGTAGAGATCGTCGTTTTCATACTGTGGAAATAGCTCGAGCCACTTTTCCATGAAAGTAACAAATTGGTTGGCCATCTCCGGCAGTTCGTGGACATAGCTGTCCGTATTTACGTAGCTGAAGCCAGTACCGACCGGGTTGTCCACAAATAATAGGTTGGCGAACTCGTCCCAGGAACCTTCGTTGTAAGCCAGTTTTCCTCCCTCTCTTACTCGGTAAGGGCCCAACTCCATCAATGCCCCGTCCATTGAGCTGCATCCCGGCCCACCATTGAGCCAAATGACGGTTCGTGGTCGGTCGGCGATGTGTCGGTTCTGATAGTGCCAGAAAAACATGTGTCCGTTATGTTCAGGAGTAACCTCAATATGCCTGCATACGTCAATAACCGCTCTTCGGAAGGGGAAGTGATTGCATACCCAGCGTGCATCTTCAGGAGAGGGCCATCTGGCTGTCCTGGTAGCGAATGGACAAAGTAATCAGCCGCGGTTTTATCCGCCCATGCTGAAGAGATCACAGCCAGCAAAGTGCATGCTGCCCAAAGCCCAGCCATATTGTAGTAGAAACTCCGAGAAAAGCGCTACCGCTCAGCTGACATCTCCAGGCAAGGCGAGCGAGAGGGTAGGGGAAAGGATACGCCACGGAACGGTGGAGGTTCGTCAAATTATATGGGCTCTGTGCCTGAAACTTCTTCGAATTTGTCAAGTAAGGAGAAGAGTCCGGGGGAGAACGATCTGTCTCCTGGAGAACTCGAAGCGGACACCGAAAGACACCGTATCGTCGATTGCGGTTGAAGAAGGGCGCTGTCTCGAAACACGTCTGACTCGCTCCAGAAGTCCAGGCTTGGGTGGAACTCGGGCTGAATTGGTGCAGGAAACACGGTTAGACACTATTCCGCGACAAACGGCCCGGTATGATGAAGGAGAAAGAGTTTTACAGAGAATGAGATACAGCATCTGCCCCCTGGCTGAGCCCTGCTGTTGACGAATCCGCATGGGATGGAGGTGGCTTGGCAGCTCAAGCAGTGTCCAATCTGCTCGTACCGCACTTGGGGGATCACCCCCGACCGTGCCGCTTTTAACAATTTCGGACTCACCAGCCTACTCATTCTACCCGTCACCCTCCTCTGCGACGGTCCCAATTCGTCCTGCCGTCATGTCTGCGCGCCGGGCAGTGGATGCCCATGTCTGGGCCCAGGGACATGGTTCTGCCCTTCTTTCCCTGCCGCTGAAGGCCCCTCCCTTCCGTTTGATCTCCCCGTCTAGTTTCGTTCTCATGAAGCTCAAAACGGAGCCCAAGTCCAGCCCGGCCTGCCGTCCGACCATCTGCAAATCCTCCCTCTCGAATCATCCTCTGTACCTAGGAACTCGCTCGTTCCCATTCCTGCCTTTTCACATCCTGCAACCGTCGATGGTTTCCTCCTGCGCCTCCTCGTGTCTTCGATTCACCATGGATGCGGAAGAAGAAAGTGCTGGTCCAATTACAAGACCAGAAGATCAGCATGATATTGGCGACGCCATGGAGCAGACACCCCTTCCTGACGTCGAGACATAGGGCTACCTTCTGATGATGCCAGGGACCACGACGAGGCCTACGCAGAGAGGTTCTGTTATGACCGCGGCGAAACCGAGTATCTCGTGGAGACTCCCAATCGGCGGATGTCTGCCGGCAGCCTTGGCGTCTCGGAAGCCATATTGGAGGCCAGGTGGCAGAAACGCGAAGCGAGGCCGGTCAAGTTAATCCCCATAAAATGTAGGGGCACTCTCTATTCCCACGTACGGAAGGATTTCGACAAGGCCGGCCACGATGATGAAAGTTTGTATGAGATTGAATTGTGGCCTCGCTGGACTCCTGACAGCCAAATTAACGACAAGAGGGTTGTGCAACTTTTGAACTCAACATGGACACGTCCCTTCGCCGTAGCACGCGGCTCACGAAAACTGTCGATGAGAGAAAGATGACGAATGAGCAGATAGCACAAACTGTTCAGCTTGATTTGTAAACACAGAATGCTTTGAGGGGAGCAGACAGTGCAGTTTAGTCGAGATATCTCGGGGAAGAGGTTCGTGTCAGGCCTTATCGGATTTCGAGTGCGATTCTCTGTAGGACGGCTGTCAGCTGTTCAAGGATTCCTTTTCTGGAGGAAGGGCAGCACCCATAGGAGATAGGGTCTATCACCAGTGTACATGATTTCATCCCGTCTCCTCCACACAAGATTACCCTGGGCTCGTCTTCTACCCGTTGCTCGTTCGCCTAGGGTACAGAGCCGGTTTGATGTGTTAGGGAGTGTCAGTGTGGCGGTAGTCGAATCAATGGCGAGATTATGTGGTCTCTCCTCACAACTTGTCCCGAATCGCCAACGAGGGCATCGCATATAACACAGATACAATACGTTGGAGTTGGCTATCAGGGGGCATCTAGATAGGGTTGACTTTCGTTCACAAAGATTTAAGCTCATCATGAAGAGTCATGAATGTTACACTACACGTTTGCATCGAAGTCAACGGAAGACGGGGCCCAACCATGGACCAACGTATACCCTGCACCTTGAGTACCCCTTTTATAGGTGTGATTATTCGAAAGAGGACAGAAGTGGCTAAGCGTACACTAAGGTTTGGTGTACGCCACTATTTTGCGCACGCTAAGCATCAGTGGCTTCTCATCATAGTGCGCTAAAATGCCGTGGGGAAGTTTAGCGTCACACTAAGCGATCCTCGGCCACTTCTCACCATGAATCGCATAGCTACGTTGGAAACTACATATCAGACCACGATCTTAAACAGGCACGATTTGTGTCACGTCTTGCGGCATCCATTGTTGCCTGGAGTTCTGAGGGAGCGCATAAATATGGCCCAACATCCGGACCTTCAGAACGACCTGCATCTTCTTTGCTTGATGCCTGGGCACGATCTCCAAAAATGACTATGTCAAATGGATCCCAATTCTTCAACTTTGAGGAAGAGACGGACAAGGACTCTTTACAAGAATCCGAATTCTATCTCCCAAGTCAACAAAGTACTTCGACGACGGGAAGCCATGAGGTATTCTGTCCGCGAGACTATTGGTTCGGCAAAAGATATTTCAATTGCATAATTGCCCAACACTTGTTGCCACAGATGGAGAGTGTGCATTCGTTGTCCAACATTGATGTAGGTCATCTCAATGTTTAGCTTTATGCGCCCGCAAGATCTGCTGTTAACTCCTCTGACAGTCACTCTTTGAGAGGGTTTTACAAAGCTATCCATACAAGGCACTCCTCCAGGAACTCCTGCTTCAAGGAAACCTCACTTTGGCAACAAAGGCGAATACCAATCTGAATGACGGCTATGAAACCCTTATGGGACTCACTGGGAGCTGCATTTCCAATGGCACGAACGAACAAAAGCAGCAAATCTTGACCAGTATTCGCCGATTCGCCGATGGCCACCATCATCGCAAGATTAGTCTTCCAGCACCACAGCAGGACAAGGGACAACAAGATGCGCCATCTTCTCCACTGCCCGAGGTACCGCCAGCTGTCGAGTTTGATTCAGGTATATCGCGGTATACGACGCTGCTAAAGGAAAAGGGTGATGCGATTGGCGTCATACCGAGGTATGATATCAAGCGAATAACAACAGATACACAGACACCTCTGTTTGCAGCAGCAGTGTTTTTCCGAGAGCACAAGTTCGAAGAGACTGGAAGGTCCAAAATGCAAGCCAAGCACCAGGCTTCCCGGGCGGCTTGCCAATTCCTTAACATATAGGTGGAGGCAATTAGTATAAATAATTCCCACAGAGCTTTGAAAAACTAGCGCTTAAGTCAATTTGGGAATTTGTAAACTCGTGAAAGGACTCGTCATAAACACGAAATATGAAAGTCAGTTACCTGATATTGATGAAATTGTGTTGGGCGTTACCTGCCGCTTCGCCATTTCTGATTCGTCCCAGCAGTTTGGCAGTTCTGTCCATCTTGAGCAAATACAGCGGTGACGCCAACCCCTCCGAGACATCCATGTGGAAGTATCTGATTCGTCATCAGTTGGAACTACCTAGCGCATACTCGCCTAGATTGTGCATGCATGAGATCACGGCTGAAACTCCATGTGTCTTGGCGAGGTCGATATAGAGACGGCGACCGCTCCCTTTCCCTCATGCTTCCTTTTCCTTTGACAGAACGTCTTCAATGTACTAACCCAGGCATTCCCTTGCATATCTAGCCGTGAAGTTTGGTGGCCATCTTCAAGGAATCCTTTGTCATCTGCCATGGAGTTGTTGATGGAAGCTTCGTCGAGTCCGATCACAGATCTTTCACCATCAAACGTGTCAAAACGCATGTTGGCAGCATCTCATAAACCACAAGGGGTTACAGACGCACGGATCTTTCAAGCTTCTGAAGATTCAATATACTACTTTTATGAAGCTACACTTCTTTTGAGAATGCTTGGTTCGACCTCCAAGGCTCCTCACCACAATGCAAACCACACCGCAGGCAAAAGATCCTCGTCGACTTGGCACAAATTTTTGGACCAATTGTCCTGGCTCGGGGATTCCGAACTAGGTGGCAACAGCGTGATATCGATCGCGGTTGAGGAGAAAGTCACAGGGCTACATTTCTGGGTGGCTTCGAACGGAGACGTGAAAACAAAGACTTTCAATCATCTGACTTGGTTGCTGGAACAGCTACAGAAAGTCGAGCAGACTCCCCAGTGGAATCAGCAGCACCTCGTGCAGCAAATATTCGCTTGTTCGATCGACCAAAGTCGGAAGAAAGTCTGCAATTATGCCCGTCGGCTATTGAAGTTTGTCACGCGTGTCCAAGCAGCGGGAACGGATGATCTTTCAAATTCAGGTGAGTTCAACTATATTGTATGTTATAAAGCTGTGCATGCGCTGACCGGTTGTCGAGACCGAGAACTCTTCAGTACATTAAAACAATTAGTTGCAGTTCATGCTGATCCCCTTTGTCTGTGCGCGAACGCCTATCAGCTGCGGCGGTCACAGTCGATGGTCCAGCTTAGCGACAAGCGTCTGAGAGATGAGGACTTCTCTGATTGGTCTTTGATTCGCCATTACGTCGGTCGACTGGGCTCTTGGATGAAAGCAGCACGAACGGTGGTCTCTTTTGCCAGACAGGCACCGGCCCTCTTTCGCGAACTGCAAATCGAAGCCGTCCCAAACCCTCGCCCATCTGTCATAAGGTGGACAAGACAGCTGTCGACTGTTGAGGGCGTCCTCCAGTATTTGTTTCCTGCCTTCAAATCCAGTCCTCCCGGCCAAGGTTTCAAGCCGCTTGCAGAATCTTACCAAGAGTTCGTTACTCGAACGCTTCGATACAAAGGTGACCAAGTCGAGTTTCGACCAAAGGTACATGCCGAAGCCTTGATCGCAGATCACTTTTACCGTCACAATCTCCGTTTTGTCAATCAAGATCGATATATAGGCTGCAGTAAACCGTCGTGTTACTGTTGTAACTTGTATTTGAAACACCATCCAGGACAATTCGTGGAGCGGCCTTGCCATGGTAATACTTGGATTAAGTGGCAGCCTCCATATTTCGGGGACATTGGAGCTCAGAATTCGTCGCTTATTTCCGCACAGACACTGACGCATATGATGAGTGATATCGGTGACGACATCAGAAAGAGAATCATGGCTGGGAGCGAGACTGGAAGGCGCCTCCCTGGTTCAGTCACAGGGCTTTCCAGCTCGATCACACACTCGAACGAGCCTGATGGAGGGAACGCCCTGTCTAGGACCGTCGAAGGGTGGCTCTGATCTCGGAGGCCAAAGCCAGTCTGGTATGCGAATGGAAGAAGACAGATCGTGTCATACAGACTCGGAAGGTATGGTGTGGCACTGGATTACCAAAGGGACTACCACGGAACTCCCCCAAGGCCAATATGGAACTTGACTATAGACCGTTCACACGCGCGAGCCGGTGGACCTAATGTTCCCCCTCGTCCAACAGCATATCCGAACATGTTTTCTGGATTTCTTTTCCCCCTTGTCCTTGTCTGATTTGGTCCCGCGATTTTCGTTTCCCATGATTCGTCCGACCTTTCCCGTGTTTTGTCTAGTTTTATCTAGTCACAAACACAATCCGCACGCAAGCTCGGTTCGTAACACGGCTGTTCCAAATCAGAGACTGCAAAAGTGGCTGCCATCGCGAGACCTAGACGTCATGCCACGTGAGCATCAGGCGTTCGAAAATACAGAGTTGACTGTCTATGACCGTTGACTGCATGCTGACGTATTTCCGTGCCTGTTCTGGAAGCGATGTGCTTCTCCAGCGGTCGATAACTTTGTTGAACTTCTCATCTTTCTTGGGAAGAACTTTAGACCATCTGTAAAGTCAGTACTTGCACGTCTTATCCCCCGCAGGATGGGGACATACGTCGATTCCGCAATGTCACATCCAAGCACCACAGCTACTCCAGGCCCGAAGACTTTTTCAAGATTCTTGAGTCTACTACCAACCTCAATCATATGTTTGATAGTGTTACGAATCTTGGGCAGCGTGCAGTTGCTGATGATCTCTGTGAGAGGTCGTATCACATCCGGGTGGTCGAGAGGAAGATGGCGGTGTCGAGCTTGAAATTCACACAGCAGGATACAGGTGCACCTCCGGATCATGGCCGACTAAGTATCGTCAGGCTCTGTCTGAAGGTAGCAGCCAACAATCTGGGCCTGCGGTGTAAGGTGTGCCAGGTTCGGTGTTGCCGGTCTCGTCCAAAAACGAGTAGGCTGAGCCATCCACAGACTATGATTCTCCTGGAGAAGGGTAAGCGTCATGTCGTCCGGACCTTGATAGTTCAGCAACTGATCATAACGACGCTTTTCATTTTGACCCGTTTCTTTGATCTGAAGCCCGACTCGATGCGCCAACTCGGCGTCCTCACTCAAGACGTCCTGAATAGGACGTAAAATGGAGATGAGTGATGCGGCATCCTTTCAAATCGTCATTGTCAGCGGAATCGAATGGACTCTTTTTGAATGTATCCTGAAGGTACCTGATCGACGTCGCCCACCAATAGTTCCCTTACGTTGAATGGACCGGTCATTGTGGAGAATTACAAGTAATGAGATGACTGTTGGCTCAAGCTCATTCAATCGATATTGAAACTTGTGGGATGCTTTGCGTGTGAGCGAGATCAAGAGAGAAAGATGCACTCATATCGCCATCAAGGGGCTTTTCTACTCGCCCTTTTGGGTGCGTTATCCGCCCATGACTTCTTGGACGCCCCGCCAACCATTACAGTCAAGACAGGCGTCCCAATGGTTGCTTGTAATTCGTCCAGTGCGTCGGTGTGGCCCAGCATATGTACAAGGGTCTTGCCTCCATCCCTGTGCCGCTAAATCACCCTACGGCGCTTTAGCAAAGAAGTCGCCCAAGCGGCTTGCAGTGAGCGTCGGGGGATGGCTGGTCCGCTGAGGTGGGGGACGATACCTGCACCAGTCAGGTTCCGCCTATCTGTGCTTTCGGATGCATCGCCAACCCCTCTCGATGAACTGCGAACGATACATTTAGTCTGACCAATCTGACGTCGTGGGTGTTCAGGTTTCTCAAGGCGGCAAACAGTGCTCTGATCTGTCAATGCAATGAATCTAATTTCGACACATCGCATCCGGTGCTTGTGAGTCATCTCTGGACCTGCAGCACCAGGGACCATCCTGAGAGAGTTCATTCCACATGGATATGATTGACCCCTCCGCTGGCGCCTAGTCAGCTCCAGCCCAACCACGGTCCCAGGATGCTCTCAATGCGGCTGAACTTCATCCGATCGTGAAACCTATCCTGGAGGCCACATTTTAACGTGCAGTTTGTGCAACTAATGCCGGTGCTCCTGCCCCCGTTCGCGATAACGATGAAGATTAAACGAGAGATTCACTGTCTCTCAACCGACGAAACTTTACTTCTATTGTATTTGTCCGAAATGTCGGAAGAGAAGTTGGGTTCCTGAGGCGGCGGGCGGGCGGGCGTGCGTACGAAGGGAAAGGCAAGTGGGAGAGACCTCCATCCTTCCCTTGCTGCACAGATCCTCTAGAACTCAGCCTGTGTTTGAAGTGCTCAAATCCAATCAACCGGACAAGGCTACATGTTCAGGGTGGAGGGATGTGGATCCCCACTTCTCACACCACGTCGCCAGTATCTATGTCACCATGAAATTAACCTGCCAGAGCCGACAACATTTGTCTATCTGCGAAAGTATGAGTGTTGTGTCGTCCGCTGACGACGGTCGGATACTGTTCTTGTTGACGATCGTCGCGCTCAACTTGTCGTGTTTTAGATGTCCGCCGCTACAAGACCTCTCGATGGCACACCCCGCCGGCGTCTGCTGTGTAACCTGAGCTGACTCATGGATCGTCACGACGCCAAACGGAGTTCAACTAGGCCATTGAGGGATCCCTTCCAATCTTTGACACCTACACCGACCTTTCGAGGACTAAGATCTCGACATTCCCGCCCTCGTCTTCCGACGTGGGGAGATTCAAAAGCCTCACTCCTGGTGAGCACGCGCGCCTCGATGTGGGCGTTCGAGGACTCCGTTCTCGCCCAACGTGCGAGTTCATTCATATCTCGTCTGACATGGTCGAGGCTGTTCTTGCACTGGCCAACGATGCTGTCGGAAGGGGAAGTGACAGGGCTGCCTCTGCACTATCTCCCAACACGAAGGACAATATGCAGCCTACGATCAAGGTTTGTCAACTGTGCATGAGTGTCTGCGTGATTGGGCGCTGTCAACCATTCATGTCGATGCACGTATCCTTGTTGTCTGCTGGGCACTATCCATGAATGGTCGAATGCGTCTCTCAGCCATGGACCATGGACGAGGCAATTATCGACCGACGGGCCTGATATTGCAACGTGCATTCTCCTCTTAAAACTCGGGGCAGAGCCGACGTTTGTTGCTGGTATTTGGGAGTCTTCTCTACGAACCTCGCCCGCGAGACTGCGACCTCAAATTTATCACCCATCCGGAAATTGTTCACAAAAGTTCCTATCTTTGCCCGAATTCGCTCCCCGACGTGAGAAATCGTCCGTTGGCCGTTTCTTACAACATGAGGGCTCAGTCGATGGACGGATCACAATCGAGCCCTCTTTGGTTCATGATCCACCACATGTTCCTCCCACCCAAACTGCCCCGTGAAGATGACTCCAGTCCAGATCATGAGAAAGCATTGCTGGACACCACGATCGCCGCACTTCGGGAGTTCAAAGATTTGGCGATAGAGGACAGCAATGGTGCAGTTGACTCGGTCATTCGCATGGTCACCAGCTTGAGTGCTGTCCTCGATTCGGATGGCACCGTCAACCAAGGGAAATTGTCTGATGCCTTGAGAGACTTACCCGAGAAAGGTGGATATCTGCACTCCTTTCCCACACGAGTGGCGATGTTGACTCAACTCCAGGTGGCACTTTGCTCCTCCATATACGGGCCCAGAATGCTGGCATCATGGTCGGTCAGGTGGGCCGTTCCATCCACGTGGAAGTGTTTGAGCTGTCCCCGCTGAATGGACCGGTCATCACCACTAAGGGCCGTCTCCAACGCTCCTTTCCCGGTTCCGCCGTGGCGCTGACGATCGACGCGTTCGCGCAACCAAGTTTCCAGGCGACCGTGGCACACACGCTTGCGAAGATGAGCCATCAGCCGGTGGTGGACACCAAACCGAAAGCGAGGAAGGCAGGCCGCATGCACGACGAAATTCGTGATACCACCCATCCCAAAATGGTGACCGAGTTGTTCATGGGGTTCCTAGGTCCAGTCGGGACACCTATGGACGTTTCCCGCCTATCAAAGAACACCCGTGAAGAAGTCTTATGGCTTGATGCGTTGTTGCCGTGGCGAAGGTCACCCGTCTGGATACTTCTTCGCGTCGCCATGCACATGGGCTTCTCGAGATCGGCCAGCGACGGAGATCTACCGGCGGGCTATTACAAGACTTTCATGGTGTTCCTGATGGCAAAGGTGCTACAATTGTCGCTCCAGTCCGAAATGCCCTGTGATCTGCTGTACATCATGAACGCCAAGCTCAACCGCCGTCTCATCAAGCTCCATCCATCCGCTTCGAGAGCCGGAATCACGGTCGTTGAAAGCGTCATGAGCAGGACCGCCGCATATCTTTGTGACAAGTGGAAGGAAGCCATTCGGCAGGCCTCGCTCCGCCTGGATCTGTCAGTCCTCGAAAACCTGGATTTCAAGCAGGACGTCTCTGCTCCTCTTCACGGCTTGGCTGGATTTGTCAACTCCCTGTCCGAGGGAGCACATCGGACCGCCACCAACCTCTACCGCCCTACCTCGGTGCTGGTCAAATACCAGGCCGACGCCCTTCCGACTATTCCGTCCGCCTCCGAAAAGTATACGGTGTATAACCTTAAGGCCTTCGAAGAATGGGTGGCGTCGTGCCTGCCACAATGGCTGGAACACCACCGGGGCGATGCCGACACGTGCGGAAAGTTAGGTGCCTTGATCGTATCGTACTATCGAACAGCGTCACCCCTATATACTGGCAACCCTGAGAGCTTCTCCACACTGCTACTAACCATCATCGAGCTCTGGATTGCCTGCGATCAGTCTGCCGTGCATTTATGCAAGCTTCTCAAGGACTACGATCCGGGCGTTCCGCCTGAAGTGGCCCAGGGCTTACTCCTACCATTCAAGTGCCAGATGCAACGACTGCTCCGTGCGGAAGACTATCTCAAGAACCGTCAACGAGTCGCACACCACGCGTCTCCATCTATCTTCCGGGACTATGGTCAGTCGGGTTGTTTTGCCGTGAGATATTTCAATCAGTCCTCCGAACATCAGCGCCTTCGAGACGATATTGTTCTCAGTGCCACTCGGACCAGAGATGCCAAAGTGCAAGAACTGCACCGAAAAAAGGAGGAATACTGCTCACTCATGCAACGTCACGATCGCAGTGTTTGCGAGTATCGGGAAGTCGTGGTCGATCGTTATTATGACATCCGAGAGTCACGCCATAGCGACCATTGCGTAAGGTGCGACTACAAATCTCGGGCGGACAGACTTACCATTGACATTCACGAGTGGCCATTGCCCCAAAAGGACCTGGAAGCGAAATCGACCGTCTTCGAGCTTAGGGTGCCTCCATTTTTTGGTCAATGGCGCGACACAGCTCTGTTTCTGCATGTGCAAGTTTTCCAAGTCAAAACTCCATCCGCCATTAGGCCCCAGGCAAATCATCCTTTAGAGAGCTATAACGGCCTTTCTTCCTTCTTTGTACCCCACGGCCTGGGACGACGTCTCAATCTTCTCTCTGAAAGCAAACCACATGCCGTCACCCATCGGCGCCACAAGTCCATCAACATTACCACCCAAAGCGATGTGTGCCTCAGTAATGGACTACAATATCGGTATTTCGACGGCGCAACGGGCAATTTCATCGACAGCTTCGAGACAACGGACGTTGTCGCCGACTTGCTGACCTACTCCTTTCCGGCCTCCTCATCGCCGCTGCGGCAATTTCTCTTTCGTCCAAGTACCGCCCCCAGTGGCCCGTCGCCGAACACCGTCATCGCAAGCCAGTCTGACTGTCCCGCGCACATGTCTCTGGATGAGTACAAGGCACTGTGTATCATTCCACTAGGGTATCGCATTCAGTGGCACAATATTCTCTTGCAGCTCGCTGTCCCCTCGGTGGATTTCGGAAAAGACGAAACTAGTCTCGTGGTCCTTCAATCGATCTACCAAGCTGGACCTCCGCAAGACGGCAATGTGTTAAGAGCCGGTCACGAGGTCCTAAGGGATCCGAATTTTGCGACCGCTCTCTTACGAGGCATCGAGGAGAGCCTAGAGCGTGTCCGGGAGAATTGGGAATCTTCCCAAGCAGTCGCCACGTTCATCTCCGTGTTGGTTCGACTGTTGTCCCTGACCAGCACGGAGGATATCAAGACTCGGTGCCGG